CTTTGGCATTAAAGCTAAAGAAAAGTGAGTAGGTTATAGCGGTTGTTTTGGCTCTACGCATAACATTCTTTTGAGAAGCAGGTAGCACTCATTTTTATTTTAACGTTTCGAATTTTCTAGATCACTTTCAAAAGTGTCGTCTGCCAAGCAGAGTGCCTCAATAGGTGAATTCCACACATAATTATGCCCAAAGATATCAACATCCTACTGCAAGACGAGTTGTATTTTTTTTTTAAATACATGTATCTTATGATCTCTTTATTCAATCTTAAATCCATGCTAAATCAGTTTTTCAAAGATCATATATTTATGTAGGGCCTATGTAGTCAGATAATCGTCCTGCGCGAAGGTATTTTTAATAATCACAATTTTTCGGGTTGTGTGATTTCATATGTTATAAGTTTTTTTTTATTGGCATTGTCGTTTTCTGCAAAATAATATCAGATTTCTTCCAGGTTTGTTTTTTGCTTAAAACAGTGGCTACTTTCCATTCGCCAGGTAAGAAATAGAAAAATCCTTCAAGGCTTTTTCAAACACATTAGCTGATAAACTGCGTAACCGACTGAACTCTAGTAGAGTTCAGTGGAACCAACAGCACAGCGAGTCACGGGACCATACTCCTAAAGCTGACCTGAGATGGCGCTAGAGATAGTTGTTCTAGTACATTTAAAACCAAAAAAGTGTGCCATTTGCAGGCCCCAAAAAATGAAAAGGTTAAATTCCAACGGCATTTGAAAGACAATACTAATTTAGAACTTCCCTAAAGAAAGGGGGGCTTGAAAATGTCTTTAAATAACGACTATAAGTTGTTGAATCGACTTAGGAGCTATTATATAGAGCCAGTACGTAATAGTCTGATTTTTCAGACCATTGTACCGATTGGTCGTACGTTTTATGCTGCGCAAAGATTCAATCAGTTTAATTTTGGCCATTACAAGAAATGAGTTATTGATGTAGACAAATGCTCATGTACCCTTTACAGCTCATTTTATGTATAGTAGTACCAAAGATGAAAAAGCCGGTCAGTCACTCAATAGTGTCTGACAGTGAAGTCTAGCAAGTAAACGGGTTTCCTTGCATAATTTGAATATTAGGATACTGCTAACGTTTAAATTTCACAGATAGGACATACATGACATATTCATAATTCCTGCAAAGTTCGACAGAATTCGATGATGGCTGCAAAAGGGACATAGTATCTTTAAACGATTTGCATTTGTGGAATAAAGTTTAAAAATTAAAAATAGTATGGTATACACTCGCTGCACCAACGAGATGGACATCAGACCGACAGTGGACGTAAACCAACATTTACGTTACCCCACATGGTCCAGAATTAGTCGGTTTGAAGTAGGTTAGACAGTGTGGCATAGGTACAAACAATGTCAAAAAGTCAGCAACACTGCCCAAGGTCTGCAATACATTAATTTTCTTAGATCACTTCCCAAGCTCCCTGGCAGAATTAGTGGAGAACTTAAAGCCATTAGCCCCACCACATAATCCTATATATATATATATATATATATATATATATATATATATATATATATCCGTTAGCCTACCTGCATCAACCATTGACACCAAAGAAATGCACGAGAATGTATAAAGACCAGGACAAATACTGCAATCAATCGTGTCTATTACCTTTGTGATGAAAACAGTGGTGTAGGCGGACAGGATTGTCAGTGATTATATAGAAATCCTGCCATTAATCAAATTGCATCATGATAAGGACAAAAAGCAATATACCTTCCTGCCCACTAGTCCTTTAAATCTATCATTCTTTCCCTATGCCATTAGGAACCTTTGAATAATAATATTGTACCTTCTGGTGCCTTTAAAAAATCTAACTTCTGGACCAAGATTGCGGCCATTTCTGCAGATTTGCTTTTCATACCCGGTAATCTCCGTCGTAGTCCATGATATAGTTAATAGCCTTTTGATCATCAATTATAAAGTTGTTTTTTAACAATCTCCGTTCCTCAAGAGCAAAGAAAAACCAAGAGAAATCGTTCTGAACCGCATTTCCTCCTGAAAGATTGTCATGGAGCGGACGTTATGAGCTAAAAGTAAAAGTAAGTACTTTTTAAGATAAAAGTTGAATACTGTTCGTTTAGTAACTTTGTTTTTGATCAGTTTGGTTATATATTTTGTTTCGCTGGTGTTTGTTTTGCTCCGTTTATGTTGTGATGTTGCAGAAGTAGATTCTTGTCCATGTGTTGGTTGTATTTTCTCCTGTGTCTTTTTATGTATGAGATCTTGGTACGCAAATTAAAACTGTGCAGGAAAAAAGTTCAGTTTATCAGTCGGACAAGATGAAACAAAATCAAAGTGGAAATGGATGTTTGATTATTGGTTTGATAAATTGGATCGTAGTTTGGTTATAAAAAAAAACTGTAAATGTGATCCAAAATATGTTTTATCTTCGAAAAACAGAATTCAAGAGTTCTATCGTGTAGTACATGTATTAAATGTCCATTTTTACCTTGAAAAAGGAAAAACTGTAGCAAAATAAACAGAGTAACTCTAGTATTGAGAAATGTAAAGCAATGTTATGGTTTAACGATAATATTAGACAAAATGGAAAGATGTTGCTATTTAGAAATTTGATACGATCAAATATTTATTTGTGGGTGATTTAGTAGCCAAGAACAATTTCATTACAGTTAATGGATTAAAAGATAAATTTTGTTATATTAATGGAAAATGGTTAACAGAGTACAAAAGTTTTGTATTGAATATTTGCCCCAAAATTAAGGAAGAATTAAAAGACAACAAGTGATTCTTGTTCAGAAGATTTAAAGAAAATATTTTTAGGAATGAATCTTTTGTATCATTTGCAGAAACAGTAGCCTACCTACTAGTTGTTTTAGTGTAACGCGGGTTTATAATGAGTTATTGCAATTAAATAACGACATTTCAAGGGCACAATTATTTTGGAGTGAGAAGGTTGCAATAGAAATAAACCATTCATGGACAGCTACATGGGCATCCGAAATAAAAAAGATTCAAGATGATGTCGTTGTTCAATTTAATTTTAGATTTATGTATAATTTACTGCCAACATTATATAATTTAATGGAACATGAGAGGTAGCGATATTTGTATTGAATGTGATCAAGTAGGGGATTTATTACATATGTTTTGGAATTGCCCAGAAGTTAGATAATTGGAAACATATAGAATACATAAAAAGGTGCTCCAATCAAAATTTTATTTTGAAGATACAGTATGTAATTTATGGAATTCAAGAAACGGAGAAGGAAGAAATTAATTTGATATTGAATAAGGCCTATGCATTATTTCAATTTGTAAGTGTATTAATAATATTGGAATAGCTTCCACTTCGATATTATGATGAAAAACACAAACGAAAAGAAAATATTTATATGAGGCTGAAAAAATGGAATAGCATATTAAACAATTTATGGAATTTATGTCTGTATTGTGAATTTTATTTTAATAAAGAAGAACAGGTATGTTTTTTTAATAAAAAAATTGCTCTTCAGTCGATTTCGCTAAAAAAAAAATCTGCCTTTTTTTATATATAATTTTTTAACCGGACCTCAGTTGGATTGTATAATGGCTCAAAAATATTAGGCGGATGTTTCATTATCATTTTAGTGACGTCTGCCTGCCTGATTATTTCACTACGGAGGAACAGGATTAGATCAGCCAGGATGATCGCGGCAGTAGCAGCATTGGTTAATGTACTCTTCATTTTACAAGGACCTGGTAAGCCTCTTCTCCTTCTTTTGTTGGGTTTATTGTTATTGATGCTGTTTGCGTGTGTGCGTGTACGTGTGTGAGTGTGAATTTGCGCGTGAGCGTGCTTGTGTGTGGGTGTGTGTGTGTTTGCGTGTGTGTGCGTGTTTGCGTGTTTGCGTGTGTGCGTGTGTGTGTGTTTATGTGTGAAGTTCGAGAATTGCCTTTTGGTGAAGTACAGTTTGCGCCAAGTACAGCGAGCCGAGACTGCGCTAACGTAATCCTTCAGTCTTAATTCGTTTTTATCATATTATTTTTTTGCCAAAAGTAACCCTTCACCAGTCAGTTTGGAAAGCAGTAGCTACCAGTCACATAATTTCACCAAAGAAAGCCTGAGATACCTTCTCTGAGCTCCCCTGTAATGTAAAGGTGATGGAATCGCGGCAGAACAGTTTTCACAAGAGCTCTAACATTTGATCATCGAAAAAAATATCCACCGTGCCCCGTTAATACACTCAAGGGTGCAGCACAGATAAGGCTCAATAAATTAGGACATTTTTATTAGACTGAATCAATCGTGACTACAAATTCTTTTTATCGTTGAATATGTATATATTGTGAATGATGAAAATAAACGCTCTGTTTCAATTACATGGTAATGCACAGCAGAATTTGAATAATTAAATCAAAAATCAGCAAAAGCTACTTCACGGAATTAGAAAGTTGACAAAGACAAAGTACTAAACTAATCATGCACTCCACAGAGATTGACATAACATAAGTGGTATGATAGCATGGAGAAAAAGAAGCAACTAATCATCAGGAAATAAGAAACCACGCAGTAAGTACATTGTCGTGTAAAATTCCACCGGTAAATGTTCAGGAATTCAGCAAGAAGAAGAAAACAAGTAGAAAATAAAATATATATCTATATATATTTCTGTATCCTCTTCTCATATTTGAGTCATCAATTCCCTCCTCGTCTACTCTCTTCACCTTATTAGTCTAATTATTTCATTCCCCCTTCACAACTATCCATCTGTAACCTAAATGTTCACCTTCATTTCATCATCATCATCATCCCGTGGGTCCCCTCTATGGAAGGGAATGGGGATCGAGCAGCCTTTTCACCCACAGCTAAAATTCATCGTATTTAGAGATGATTAGTATAAACGTGTTTAACTCAACAGTTTTAAACATGTTTATAGAAAATTTTCCCTGTGTGAACATCGTTTATACGATGTTGGGATAGATACGAAGTCGCGGTTCATACGCCCCTAAAAGCAGGCTGCAGATACGAAGTTCGTATCTAGAGAGCTTGACATTTTGTGTGTGAACGGTTATTCGTGTTTAAACGTGTTTAAACTGGATGGAGCGTGCGCTTTGATTAATATGACATGACCTTCAATGCGCAATGGCACTACTGCGCATTTTACGAGCAGTAGTTAATCACGAAACGATTAACGATCGCACCGAAATTTATGTGTGTGAATGATGTCGTATGTACAGGTGATTAGTTTAAAGCCCTTTAAACTAATCATGTTTATAAAATCCTCGTTACCGCTCTCCATCTCATCGGCCCGAATTCACAAAGGAGGTTTGTCGACAAACCTCCTTTTGTTTCGACAAACCTCCCTTTGTCATTTACAAACCAGGTTTGTAAAAATTGCGTCAAAACGCGTCATATGACGTACATAAACCTCGGTTCGTCGACAAACCTCCTTTGTGAATTCGGGCCTTTATGTCTGTGGCCATTTCCAAGTCAATGTCTCTACCCTATTCTTATGTTTTCCTTTCTTTGTTCTACCTTTCTCCCTGCTCTCTGCTGCCCATCTAATTAGTTCATCGTCCTTTTCTCGTGTCCATACTATCTCAGTCTGCTCTCTCCCTTATCCGTGTTACTTTCGCTTCCTTCGTTTGATGTTGGTTAACGTAGATTTCTTGAAATTAATCATGATACTGTTAGAACTGCCTCGGAGATTTGTTCGATTTCCTGTTCGCAATTTTTTTTAGCAGACTGATTGGCAAATTGTCTGACGACCCCCCTCAAAATTTCACAGCGACACCCTTGTGCATATTATTATTACCACTACTATGCGACACGTTATCGCCAGGCGCGGATCTACAGGGGGGTTTAGGGGGTTTAAACCCCCCCCCCCCCTTGGGCGCCCCCCCCCCCCCAAAAAAAAAAAAAAAAAAAAAAAAAAAAAAAAAAAAAGAAAAGAAAGAAAAAAGAACGCACGCTGGAGAGAAACCCTTTCAAGTGCAAATATTGTGAGAAGATATTCAACTCATCTGGTAACTTAACCAAACACATGATAACTCTGGATATAACTTTGTATTTACTGTTACTTGATTTAAAAAGACGTTATCATGCACTGCTTTTTATGGTCTCCATTGTGTTAATAGATGCCAGGAAAACATCACTTACGGAGTTCAAATAAACACCCCCAAAAAAAATCGGCTCGCCGCTTCGCGGCTCGTGGACGATGCTCTGCATCGTCATTATTTTGGTCAAACCCCCCCCTTAGCAAAAAGCTAGATCCGCCCCTGATCGCTTATTACTTGGGACTGAAGGTTTGGTGTGTTATCTATTGATCCACAGGTTTGGTAAACGCTCGTCTAAAAGCCCGGCTAGCTGGCGATGATGGTTACAAGTCTGTCTCCTCCGGCCTCCTCCAAATAACGGATACCAACACCAGCAGCCCTGATAATGGGGTGTGGCACACACCCTTCTTCCCACCGCTCTTCTCCTGGCACTCCCTGCCCAGGGTACTCAACGTGGTCTGCCGCGAGCTCGGGTTCCCCGATGGAGCCGTGTTTGGCGCAATTGATGAGGGGAGGATGTACATGGGGTACTTATTGCTCGATCCTCGACGGCTGGAAGACATCCTTTGCGGTGGAGAGGAGATGGGGATAGATGAATGTTTCCTGCGGAAATGGAGCCATGCTGAAGATGGTGTGATAGGATACCATCCGTTGTGGATTAACTGCGATGACGGTAGGGGGTATGAGGTCACTTCTGTTGAGAGCCAGAAGGGCATTAGATCTTTGTAAAGTATGCGAATTAGCGAATTTCCGACTCCCACCAGGCAATATTTGTGTATTGTTATTGGTCTGCTATAACGTATGTGCATTTTATTAGTGTATTCACAATGTTTCAAGTGTAATATAAGACTAGATTCTTTGTGCCTTTGCTGTAATTTTACACAGACTCTACACACAAATCCGATTGACATTACTAGGCACAAATACAGTTATGTGCCAAACAACGAGTTAATATGAAAAGGAATGATGGTTAAAGAAGAAGAAGGTGATGAGGAGGAGGTGGAGGAGAAGGAGGAGGAGGATGAAAAATAAAGAGAAGGAAGAAGGAGAAGAAGAAGAAGAAGAAGAAGGAAGAAGAAGAAGAAGAAGAAGAAGAAGAAGAAGAAGAAGAAGAAAAGGGAGAAGAAGAAAACGAAACAGAAACTGAGATAAACTTTAAAATCATTAAAATGATAACTGAATGATTTGCATAATGTTTAAGGTAACTACGAATGGATTGAAACATAAACATGTGAGTGTATTCTATGTCTTCTTGTACTTGATAGGTCTTAACAGCGTTGGAGTAAACTGCTATAACTGGCATTGTGAAGCCTACTTGGAAGGGTATTACGAAAACCGTCATTACCATTGCCAATGCGATCCGTACTGTGAGCTCTTTGGCGATTGTTGCTCCGATCATAACGATCCCAAAATGATGGCTCGACGTCGGGACTTTTTCGGCAACTCCTGGACAAGCGTCATACCAGATCTCGCTTTCTGGTCATGTGTTGATCTGCCCTTCGGAGCACGCGTAGAGGAAGGGATTTGGTTGGTCACCAAATGCCCGCAGTCGTACCAAGATCTGACGGTAAATTGATTATTAGGATATATATAAAGTGGTCATCACCATCACCAAAACCACCACAATCATCATCACCATCATTAATATCATCATCATTTTTTGTATTTTATGTTTTGATGAATTTATTGCCCCACATTTTTTATATTTCATGTTGCCTTATTCCAATCAAAATAATAGAAATTGACTATTAAGTAACACGCAGTCATCTATGCTGAAATAATGAAAAGTTTAAAACAGGAAATTATTCTTTTGTCTATTCTGTGTTTGGAACAGTTATGTTTTTTAAAGATAAAGAACAAGTACATGCCACATTTATAACTCGAAGTCGTTATTTAGTTATTATGTATATGGACGAAAAATGTTATAGAAGGGATGACTGTGTATCTAAACGATATCTTTGGTCCCAATTTTTTAGGTTAAGCAACTCTGTGAGGCATCATCGAATGGACACGTTGACCGACCCGTCTATGACCCGGAAGGTATTCACTTCCGAAACGTGTATTGCGCCCTCTGTCATGGCTCAGAAAACACGACCATGTGGGATGTGTGCATCTCTAAAAGTGAAAATATCCTAAACAAGAACGAAACATTCTTTTACGTACGCCCTGGATATTCTAACTCTAGTAACCAACTTCCGGAAGAATATTTTGCCCCTCGACCATGTATCAGCAATATCATTCGCGAGTGTAGACCTGATCTCAAAGGTTCTTTTCGCAACATAGATATAGCCTGTCGAACCCTTACTGGGGACATTGCCGAGGAGAAGGGTAAAGTCTTTGCGAATAGTAACTGCGCTATTTGCAATGGTGCTTTGGACGCTGGCAAAACTTGTGTGTATAATTTAGGCTTCGATGATACGTTCAGACACGTCCCCTGGTATGAGAAATTCGAGATCTTTTGTAACCCTGAACTGAAGCTGGTCAACGGGCGATGCGTGCCACCAGGAAGAGCATACTGGCCACACTGCAAAAGTGTGTCCTCACAGCTGACCATAGAAGATCATCAACAGGACCAAGCCTGGGATTGCTCCGGAGAGGACGCTAACATCTTCCGATATCTTGAGGAGTCCTCAGTGAGCATTGGTCTGTTCACTGTTCTCCACGAAGACCACGTCATCGTCGAGGTAGACCTGATGGCAATACATAACATGTCACGTGGTATAGATTCTTATATAGCTGCGAATCCCCGAGATACAAGGTTACTTTGTGCGCCCACTCGCATCAGATTGGATCATGGCTGCAAGGTCCTTGTAGAGCATTCACGCGAATCATTCGTTCAAAACGGGGAGTGGGTCCATGGGGACCTTTCAGACTTCGAACCAGTTATAATAGGAGGAGAAAATCTACTTCTCTTTCGACAGCGGTTATTCCTCTCTAGTACCATTTACCACAATTCTACTATCTATGCTCTCAACGAAGATAAATCTGGGTATACCAAAACATATTCCGTGAGTGTGTTCGGCGTGAAGCGAGATATTTCGAATTGTGTCATGGCGATCTTGACACCGCCTCAGTTTGGAATCCTTACTGTTGAAGCAAATTTCTTGATTGTATCTAGAGGGATATTCTTTCACCCAAGTGAATACTTCATCTTCGACAACGATTCGGTGTTGGTGTGTCTTCGGACGCCCGAAGACGTCAAACTCTTCATGGATAGATCGGGGTTCTTGACAATTACGACCCTGGGTCGTGTTGGCTTTGGCATCTCTTCTGTAAGTTTGGCATTGACCCTCGTCACGTACTCTCTCTTTCAAGAGCTTCGCAATCTCCACGGATTGGTCATCATCAACATGGTCCTGGCTTTGCTTTTGTCTCACATCCTCTTGGCGTTTGTCGCAGAGTTTGTGACTCATCTGCCAGTCGTTTGTACTGCCATCGCTGCCTCTTCCCACTACTTCTGGTTGGCTACGTTCTTCTGGAAAACAGTTCTTGCCTTTGACCTTTGCAAGACCCTCTCATCCGACCCAGCTACTGCCCTTCTTGCCAACTCAGGCAAGGTTAGGAAATTCCTTGTCTACTCCGCCGTCGGCTGGGGGGTTCCCTTCGTCATTCTCGCCACCTGCCTTGGGTTTCACTTCCATCCTTGGCAGGAGGAGTCGTTGCTGCGGTATGGAGTCATGGAAAATGCTGACATGTGCTGGATCGTTCAGCCCATGGCTAATGTTGTCGCATTTGCAATCCCGTGCGCCATTTGCCTCTGTGTGAACGGGGTCCTCTTCATATCTACAATGAGGAACATGCTGAAGGTTCGGCGACAACCGGGAAACGTGAACGGTACCAACACAATTCTCCACAAGAACGGATGGCGAGTCGACCTGTTGATACATGCGAAGGTAATTCATCGTCAATTGATCAGCAAACGTTTAGTACTAAAAATAAACAATTTCCTTTTCGAAATCACTGAAATTTGCAAAATTTGAATTTCATTTTTAGTTCAGTTCAATGCATCGCTTCCACATTTCACATGGTACAAATATTTCAATTTAAAACAATTCTTTGTAAATTATAATCACGCAACAGTTATTGATCGAGATATTCAACAGCTTTTTCAAGAAGACGAATATATTCATCTGATAGTGAAATATGACGGAACCTAATTTATGAAAAATACAGCAAAAGGGTAAAGAAAGTCACAAGATAATATAAATGTATAGTGGAAATTAGGTTTTAGATTTAGATAGAAATCAGATTCAACCAACAGGCAATTCGTAAATTCTTTAATTTATCATAGTTTCGCAATCTATCAATTCAATTGCACAAGCAAGGGCAGAACGAAATCAAATAACCATGATGACCGTTTCACACAAAAAATATATGGGGTATAATTTGTAACAACAATTATACATATATACATATATATATATATATATATAAAGAGCTTAATTCCAAAAGGAGCTAAATCCACTTTTGATGAAAATTGAGTTATTGATAATTGAACATTGGTCACTTTAGTACCCGCTTTTCAACAAAATTACTTACCTAAATTTGGGGAGCAATTATGAAAAATGCACCTTCTAATATCACTTTTCCATAGACGCCTGTACAAAATCTGGTAACCAATTAATTTTTTTCTCAGAAGTACAAAAATGGATTTAGCTCCTTTTGGAATTAAAAGTGTTCATATATATGTGTGTGTATTCAAAGAGAACAAAACGTGTTTGTTTGTACTAAGATAATAGTCTTGTGCAACATTTTTACACAGATTTCGGTGCTATTGGGATTCACTTGGATATCTGGATTTGTCGGTAGCTTCCTTCAACTCGATGCCATGTGGTATGTGTTCGTCATCATCAACTCACTGCAAGGGGTGGTCATCTTCGGTTTCTTCGGACTCAACAAGAGAGTGCGATCCCTCTGGAGAGGTATCTTCTGCTGCCATTGTAACAAGTAGCAACACAGAAGCGAGCTCCTGGATAGACAGCAAGCAGTGATGTACCCAGCATAATCATGATGAACCCGGCGTACGCCCCCCCCCCCTTCGGCCTAAAAAAATTGTTGTATTGCCCTTTAGGTGCCAATACATGGGTCGGTCGGTCGGAAATCTTTTTTTTTCTTTCTTTTTTTTAACTTTTGTTTCTTCTTTTTCTCCCTCTTTGGGCTGATACTTCCCAGTGTTGAATGCTTTAATACATATTTTTGTATTCATTAAATTAAAAAAATTAAAAAACATTTTATAAAGCCGACCGAAGATTTCAAGATTTTGGGGTCGGTCGCAAAGGGCAATACAACATCTTTTTTGATTACGCCTTATACAGGACTGCTTATCTTTCTAGTCTCCCTATCTCTCTCTCTCTCTCTCCCTCTCTCTCTCTCTCTCTCTACACCATATTTTTCTTCCCCCTCTCTCTCTCTCTCTCTTTCTCTTCTTTCTCTACACCCCTTCCCTTTTCCCTCCCTCTCTTTTGTATCTTCTAAATATCATTCTTGCATATGTATCACTACTGTCTTACATTACATTTTAAATTTATCATGTCAATTTTTCAGTATGAAGTTTTACTTTTGTCTGTCCATCTCGATCCCTCCCTCCCTCCCTCATTCTTTCAGTTCTATCAGTTGAACATTATTACGTGTACATTGAAACATGAAATTGTTACCTCATCTCTGTACTCTCTGCCTGGAGGCGTTTCACAAAACTTGTGATCAGTGACAAATGACAATTTTTGTTATAAGCTACTGAAATGCTTGCTTCTCATTGGTTATCAGCAGATTTGTCACTTACTTTTGTCAATTGTCATTGAAAAAAGTCTTTGTGAAATGCCCCCCCCCCCCCCCCGTACTATACAAAAATATGATTATATCAGTTGTTGTACATGTATATATTAGCTTAAGTACCACTATATATTGCATGCGCTGATGTGGTGGGAACATTACATAAAAGGAAGAAAGCCGTAAGTCCAAAAAAAAATCAGAATATTAGGAAAAGCTTTAATATTTCGGGAAGAGTTTAATCTAAAGAATGTTTTCAATTTCACGGAGTCATTGATATATGAATATTCATTATCTTATAAATGGAAACGATTTCAATTTGTCTCTTAAACTTATAAAACGAAATATAAACGCTTTTCTTGATAACTCTTGTGTCTCTAGATGTCAATTTCAATGTAACAAGCTTCTAAAAATACAACTTCATGAATATTCATTATGGTGTGTGGGTGCATATTATCATAACCAGGTCACTTCGCTTGCTTCTTTTCTTGCAAAAGATTTATGTTATATAATGTTTTAAATTTCAAAATGTGGAGGCTTTAATTCTTCAAAATATCCCGCGCATAAATAATCTAAAGTGTAACAAAGGTAGACGTCATTCAGCATCATGAAGCGACGCGGCAAAATGCAATGTTGATCCGTTTGTGAAAAGAAATTTAAATTCCACAATGAAAACTCTAATATCATCATTTGTTTAGTCAAGGAAAATAAGATTTATTAGTCTTTGTCAATTCCAACATGTGTACATATTTTCAGACTTTTAAAAAGTAGCACAAAACATATGTATGAACATAAATGTACATGTATTAAAACAGGTTAATAAAATGATGGTTAAAAAAACAACATAGATCATGACAGATTTATTATTTTGCAAAGGCCTACCTTCGGCATTTCCAAAACATAATGGACATGTTTAAATAAAATTAAAAATTTCACCCCAAGAAACGGGATAAATATATTCTATTTTTTTTTAATTCTCCCTAGTTCAATGTATTTAACTTCAGTTCAGGTTTATACATCTAATAAGTGAGAACAAAAATCATATTTGGAATAGCGTTTTATTCGACTTTATCAACTATACTTTAATGATAAAATTCTGCTCGTAGCCGTTACTAATATAATGAAACCTTATTACATTCTCTTCATTTGTCCTCCTCAAACGACAGTGACCTTTTACATAGCTAGTGTTACAACAAAATTCCACTCTTTTTAGTTTTGTTGCAGATTGAACTGAAGATGAAAAGTTAGAAAAATTGAATTCATCTTGACGCCCTGCATACGTTTTATCATTGTAGCAGCAAAATTAAAGTACATGCATAAACAGGATCGGACGGACGGACGGAGATCGTTGTTGGTCATGTAGAAAACTTAAGAACGCTAAATTAGCAAAATTAAATTCATCTCGACGCTCTGCACACGTTTTATATTGTAGCAGCAAAATGCATTTACAAACAGAATCGGACGAACAGAGATCTTTGTTGATCATGGAGAAAATTAAGAATGATACGGAATAAAAAAAGAATGTAAATGACATTACAAATAAACTGAAACACACGTAAACAGCCTTAAAATTGGCAGTACTGTCATTTGTCAGTGGTTGTAAAGATTTTCTTAAAAAGGTCTACATACAAAATGCAGGCATGCACTGGTAAGGGAATGAGAGTAGCCTTCTCATTCTAAAACTCTCTGGCATCCCTCTTCCCTCTTCAGAAAAAGGGCCTCACATGTTTGGGGTACTTTTTCAATACAAATTGTTCTGGAACACCCTCACGGTATTCCCAGCACTATGTGTAAGGCTATCGTATCGAAACACATGTAAATAGCCTCAATACTGGTAGTACTGTAGTTCTGAAGATTTAAACAAAATTGGTCTAGATACAAAAATCTGGCAACCGACCGCCCTTCAAAGAGGTCCTCAAATATTTTGGGTTTCTCTTCAAGCACCACCCTCACGGTTCACCCAGTAATACATGTAGACTATTATACACCCCCGTCCCTCTAGCACCCCCTTCATCGATTCATATCCACACGTAAAAACATTTCAATTAATCTATTACGCCAAAGAGAAAAGTTTTCTCTCTTTGATAAGGACGTTCTACAGTAATGTTCGTGCGCTCCTTAGCTGCGGAGGTCCAGCTGATTATGTATTCACCATCGAAAATGCATGGTGTTCCCGATATTGTGTAGTCAGCTTGTTCTTCGTAGCTAAGGTGCCAACGAACATTACTGCGGAACGTCCTTAAATAATCAACAACAATAAAATAAAAATAATAAGGGAAATCCACCCGCACCAATTGTTTTAAACACTCCTACATTCCACGTACCATCAAGGACTGGAACCCACTACCCCCTCCCCCCCCCCCCGACATCCAAAGGACCACAAACATCGACACCTTCAAACTACAAGCAACCAACTTTTCCGCAACCAAGACTCAAGCAATAAGAACTAAATAAGCAACAGTGCGCACCCCTCATCCACCTCGTTTGGTTCATAACGGGACGTTGAAGAGTATACCAAAGAAGAAGAATATGAGATTCGCATAGATTTAGTGCCCTCACATTTCAAACATTCATATAAACTCCCACATTACGATTTTTCAGACATTCGCCATTCTGTTTCTCTCATTTCTGTTCTGCCCACTCTCCAAGTACTTTATGACATAGGTTATGCCTCAGCCACACCGCTGCGTATTTGGCTTGCGTATTGCTCCATATTTATGTCAAGCCGTTTTAACATTAATTTATTCCTATTTCTTGATATCAAGAAATGATTTTCTGTTGTAAAGCAATAGTATTTCTTGATATCAAGATTTCGATTTCTTGATATAAAGAATTCATTTCTTGATATCATAAAATAGGAATAAATATTATAACGGCTTGCCATACATACGCAGCAATACGCAAGCCAAGTACGCAAAGGTGTGACTGAGGCGTTAGATTGCCCTTTATTGGCATCAAAGCTTTAAAAAGATCTTTCTCCGGTAGAAGATGTAGGCGATGACGAGCCAGAGGAAACCGGACCAGGCGGCCAGAATGATGTACTCCGTGTGGTTGTAAACGAATGGTTGCCATGAGAACGGAAGATAAGGAGTCATTATCTCCGATCCGATGTAGAGGAGGATGGAATTCATTCCTAAATACAGGTAAGACAACAAAAAAAAGGAAGAGAATGTCTAATCACTAAACCTTAATCTATATGGAATTGATGGTGATGATGGTGAAAATATCAATATTTACAACCACATTATCGACAATAAAAATACTATTATTAATAATTATATTAATAATAATGGAAATAGTACTAATAATAATTATAGTTATAATAAAATGCTGACGATATTGATAATAATGATAATAATAAAAGCAATTACAAAAATGATGATGACGATGATGATGATGATGATGAAGATAATGATGATAATAAAAGTATTAATAATAATAATGGTCATAATTGCAATAATGATAATAACAATAATAATAATAATGATGATCATAATAATAATGGTGACAATAATACAAATAATAACAATAATAATGATCATAATAATAATAATAAGATTGATAATGATAACAATAATAAAACTGAGAGGATGACCAGGATTGAATCTCTTTAAGCTAACCTGCGTAGAATAGAGGGGCTCCATTCCAGAAATGCGTGACGTCAATGAGGACATGAAACAAGGCCTGAACGATGAATGCTGTTCCACCGGTGAGGGCGATAAACGAGACGGACCTGACAGAAAGATGAAGGCGAGATGAGGAAGAGATATGATTGTGGAAATCTAGGGGACGTTTCACAAAACTTATCATCGGTGACAAATGACAGTTTTTGTTATAAGCTACAGAAATCCTTGCTTCTGATTGGTTATCAGCAGATTTGTCACTGATTTTTTTTTGTCATTTGTCATTTAAAGAAGGCTTTGTGAAACGGGTCCCAGGTCTGTAGTTTTAAACTACTACCAATTAACCAGGAAACGTAATCCTTTAATGATAATTTAGACGAGACTAACTTCGGAATCTGAAAAAGTATGGTTTCAAAAGTATGACTGGATTTGATTAATATGGTCTCGTAAAGTCCTTTTTGTACTAAAATATAATCATGCGAAATATGTTGATGTTTCTACAATTTCCGATGAATTTTAAGCCTCGGTCACAAATGCCATTACGAACTGCTCCGAACGCCGTACGAACGATTTCCAGATAATGGAAATTCGGGAAGACAATGGAAAAACAGGGGTATTCGTACGAAATTATCGTTCATACGAACCTTTGTTACCGTAGCATTAGCGACCACAGTCGGTCTTTTTTTTTGTTACAGTGTTGACAGAGGTTGCTCATATCGAACATTGTTGAAATCTTCGAGAGTAAAAACTCCGTGGTCACATATTAAAAAAGGAGTACTTCTCATCTGGGATGCCAGAGATGAAATTATCAAATTAAAATAAGTTTTACTTTTTTCTTCTTACCATAAGTTCTTATTCAGGGGAATCCATCCATCGGCCATGGAGCATTTACAAAGAACAGCACTGCATGATATCTGCAAAAATTAAGTTCCGAACAGCTTTGATTACTTCAAGGCGAAAAGACGCAGACGCATGAATTTTTATACAGGCTATTTTCAGTTTTGGTAATAACGGAAAGTGACTTCTCATAGCATTAAACGACACTAACGATGAAAATGGTCAAGAATATGGATTTAAAAGATGAATTTAAAAGATGTATAACAGGTAGAAATGAGCCAGACTGATATGAGATCGAGCTTAAATGTTCCTACCTACGTGCACAATCACACGGTCTCAGTGTGCAAATTGAACGGGAGATCAGCTTTAAATAATATGAATACAAGCATGATTTTTATTAGGATGTTTACAGTATGCAAATAAATATCGAGATATCCTGACTAAATGTAGTGTAGTGGTTGTTATTTCACCTGACTGCTAAGAAAGCATAAATGCTTGTCAGTAAGCAACCAGAGGACCTACGGCTTTAGGTCCTCTCTGAGAGACCTGGTAATGAGGATTTAATGCCTTACCAAAGGGCACTAGCGCATCGCCTTGGTTTCGAACCCGGGTCGCCAGATTATAAGACCACTGCTCTACCGACTGAGCTATCGCGCCTCCTCTACTGCAATAACTTACCAATGCCAATCCCCAAAAGAGCAGTCTAACGATGTGATCGAAAGATCTGCTTTACATTAAACATGATTACAAGCAATTTTTGTATCAGGATGTTTACAGTATACATATAAAAATCAAGATCTACTGCAATGACTTACCAATGCCAATCCCCATAGGAGCAGTCTAACGAGGCGCCCTCTAACGGTGGTAAAGAGGTGGAGAATCTTTCCAGACTGAGAGGGGAACAAAATATAAAGATCTTGAGATCAGAACATGAAATATTAAAAACCCTGTCGGAAGTTAAATATGAAGTAGATGAATAATAGATCAATGGAAAGCTAACGAGCCATAACATTATATTACAATAACATGAATTATATGCCAGTTTAATTTCTGCAAACTCGAAATCTAAAGCTTTGACAATCGGAAGTTGTTGACCTAAAAACTAGCTATTGACTTGATGACATCATCTTCTGTGGAGTACGCATATTGACAATGACGTTACATTAATTAAGCAGGGCTCATCGCCTCAGTTATAATATATAAGAGAGCCGATCGGGTCCAAATTTGACCCCTGTTGACCCGAAGGGATGCGGAGAATGAGCTTTTAATTTACCTTTGTGCAACACTGAAAGGGAATATATTTTGTATATATAAAGAATAAAAATTCTATATTCATTCAGCTTTCCATCGGTAAAAATTGTGTTTTTCATCGGGTAGGTCTATAATGTCAAAGAGGTGGTACCCAAGACCCAATCGATCCCCCCCCCCCCCCTTCGTAAGAATACAGAATAAAGAATTAATTTGGATAAATAAATCTTGAAAGAAGTAGGGCACATGAGAAAAGAATAAGAGAGAGGATAGGCTAAAAGGAGGAGGATGAGGGGCTGGGAGCGGAGAAGAGGGGCGCTGGGAACGGAGAAGAGGGGCGCTGGGAGCGGAGAAGAGGGGCGGAAAGAGGGAGAAGGGGGCCCGTTGATTAGGTGCACTCATACACATGTATGTTTATGTGATACCTATACCATTTTGTACTCATGTTCAATTGTGTGTTGTATTTATTCCTTATTCTGTATAAATTGATAGTATGTTAATTGATGTTGTATATATATTTGCAGAAACAGCCGGAAAGTGATTTTATGTTGTTTTGCGCATGATTAATAAATTTGAATTGAATTGATTTGGATTGGATATGAGAGGGGGAAAAGGAGGGGAGATCGTGAGAGATAGGAGGGGAGATCGTGAGAGATAGGGGAGGAGAAAAAAAATGGAACGGGAGAAAAATGGGAAGGGAAAAAAACACAAAAATCTACAAATGAACACAGCACGAGATAGAAAGTCATTGGACATTTCAAATCAAATTCCGGGTGTGTACCTGTAGACCGAACACACACAGTGCAATGGAGGTGAAAGTACCCAGAATTCCTTCCGGGTCACTGCGCACAATGGTTCGGTAAACATCGTCGCATGTGTTTACTAAGATGAGGTGAGCTTCCGTGAAGAACGTACGATCGATATACCCCGAAGCTCCGCCCGTACAGTTAGTCAGCTCACCGTTCTCCCCAACTAGCGGACCACCAGGGCCTTGATAACCTCTGAACACAAAAGTGAATAGATGGGACTGTGGTTTAAAAAGAATGTTACTCTTGATATCACGTTTCAGTACAAAAGAAAACCTTTGGTCTACTAGAAACGTAATGTAATACAGACATAACTTATAAACTTTTTTCTTTATTTCACATTGGCATGAATCAAATGAATAATTTTCAGAGATTTTGTTCGAGATTTTGTATTACACCTACAATCTATTTTTTCATTTTTAAATAGGGTAGCACTTGGATAACAATATAGAATCACATGATGATACAACAGATCGCAATGCGCCACCTATTGAAATGTGTGAACATGACAATGATGTATTACGTAATCCGTAATCCGGGCAGGCCATAATGTTTGTCCTACCTAGCAACAACTAATATATGCAATTAGAATTCTGAGAACTGAGATACATTATTCGAAACAGGTAAATGGAATAGTTTTTTTCTAGGCGCTGTACGATGGTAGACGCATATATTTGAGTACACTTCGAAAATTGCCTTTTCACCAACCGTTACACTCCAATCAGGGACATCAATTAAGAAAATATTTGGAATATGGATGACCCGGATATGAACTTACAGCGGACATCCGGGAACCGGTAGTAGAAAGGTCAAACACAAATGAACGACGAGACAGCAGGCAGCCAACGGAAGTTCGAGGTAATCTGTGATGTCCCGAAACATCATGTAACATTTACCCTGAAAATGGTAGATGAAGAACACATAAAAAGGAGGAACAATATTGGATTATAATTTGAAAATTAAAAAAAGTAATATCTTCCAGATGTTCGCAAACATGTGAACATGTGTACGCACAAAGTTTTAGTTTTAGGGTACTAGTTTTTAATACGTATTCGATATATAGGACGAAATGGGGTTACATTCAAAGGCATAATTGTAAATTGTTTACATTCAAAACGGGGTCATACTTGTGGAAAACGTTTTTGAAAGTATGCAAAATATGGGGTGATTTCCAATACGGCGAGAATTATGTGATACAACCCAGGTCGAAATTCCAGTAGAAACCAGTAGAAACCAGTAGAGACATTCTAATGGTTATACTGGTTTTCCAGAAACCAGTAGAGTCATAATGGTTTCAGGAGGAACTGTGAAGTAAAACCAGTATAAACCTTTACAAACCAGTAGACTCTAATGGTTTAAAGACCAGTAGAAACCAATAGAAACCAGTAAGATCTAATGGTTTGAACATGGGTGTAAAAATCCTGAGTCAAACCATTAGAATCCTTAACAAACCAGTAGAGCCTAATGGTTTTAAAAACCAGTTGAAACCAATAGAAACCATTAAGATCTAATGGTTTGAACATGAGTGAAAAAAAAAAATCATAAATCAAACCATTAGAAACCTTAACAAACCAGTAGAGCCTAATGGTTTTGAAGACCAGTAGAAACCAATAGAAACCATTAAGATCTAATGGTTTGAACATGAGTGAAAAAATCCTAAGTCAAACTATTAGAAACCTTTACAAACCAGTAGAGCCTAATGGTTTTGAAGACCCGTAGAAACCAATAGAAACCAGGAAGATCTAATGGTTTGAACATGGGTGTAAAAATCCTAAGTCAAACCATTAGAAACCTTTACAAACCAGTAGAGCCTAATGGTTTTGAAGACCCGTAGAAACCAATAGAAACCAGGAAGATCTAATGGTTTGAACATGGGTGTAAAAATCCTAAGTCAAACCATTAGAAACCTTAACAAACCAGTAGAGCCTAATGGTTTTGAAGACCCGTAGAAACCAATAGAAACCAGGAAGATCTAATGGTTTGAACATGGGTGTAAAAATCCGAAGTCAAACCATTAGAAACGTTAACAAACCAGTAGAGCCTAATGGTTTTGAAGACCAGTAGAAACCAATAGAAACCATTAAGATCTAATGGTTTGAACATGAGTGAAAAAATCCTAAGTCAAACCATTAGAAACCTTTACAAACCAGCAGATATATCGAGCTCAGTGGTTCTGAAACCAGTTGAAACAAAATTAATATTAGAAACCAGTATATGATCATTCTAGCACCGCCTCTTGATCAATCTAACTTTTTTTTTTTTATTTAAGCCCAAAACAGCTAGGGGTGAAAAACTCTCAAATTGCATTAGTCATTATATTAATAGTTTTATTTTACAGATTGTGCAACATCTTGACATGCCCTATAAGGTCTGCAATATTGATCAAGACTACAAGCCCCAAAACCCCCAAATGCAAATGCGACTCCCGCCTTTTTTGAACGGGTACATACAGCATGGCATCCCTCTGTGCTACACTATATAGCACTGTACTGTGTGTCAAGGCATGCAGTGTGTGCGTACAACCAGCCAGCTGCCATGCATGCCGTATGAGACACACACAAGACAGCAAGACAGCCATTCCTATCAACAGCTACAGGAGCCAGAGCAGAGACAAATCCTTTTATTACTTTGTTTTCCCCTGCTATTCTTCAATATGGGTAAGTTTTAGATTTACCTAATTTATTTGCAATATGTGCAGTAACTGTTTTCTGTTTTGAAACGTAGTTATGTATGATTGTGAACTAGTAGAAGTAGGAGTGCTTTCAACGCCTGCCGCCAAGATGAGAAATGTATTGTATTGTCCCATCTATCTATTTTCATGTTAGATCTTGATGGAATCATCATTCAAAGCAAAGTTTGTGCATTCACCTACACATGGCTTTAAAGGCATCGTTTAACAATGTTAAATCTGAGATGCATGGCCCTACGTATCATGCAGTGTCAGTGATATGGTGTAATATTGAAGCCCTGAAAAATTTCGCTTCAAAATGATCATGAATGATGAAGTGCCTCAAAAAGTAAAAATCTTTGACTTTTGAGTGACCGGTTTTACCATACTCATTTTTCCCAATAGACTGTAGTGTTATAAAACCGTTGGGGAAAATGGTTTTTTGAAATTTCGAATTCCAATCATAATCTTGATAATCAGACGGGCGATTGGCTTGTATTAAACGTCATGGGATTTTTTACTGACCTAAAGGTTTAGGCCTATAATTATGATTGCAGCATGAGCTTAATCCAGGATTTTGTTTCAGAATCTGAGGCAATGTTATCGAGTCACTTTAACTCTGCTGTAAACCATGCCAATTTTGAGAATTGAGTGCTTTATTCTTTTTTTAAATAAATAAAGTGCTGCATTAGAAGCATAAACGCCTGATCTGCAAGACTACAGTAGTTTTAATTTTATATAATTTTCTCGTCTTTTTTAAATTTTGATTACATTTATTTCAATTTAAACGACTTAAGATTTATATTCCTTAAATTCTGTTTTAAACTACTGATTTAAAACACTAGTCAACGCACCCTTTCGCACCCAACGCACTAGTCAACGCACCTTACATTCAGCTATTCAGGTTCGTGGCTATAACTCACCCCCCCCCCCCCCCCCCCCCGTGCTTATCCCGAAAGGGTGTGTTAAGGCGGTACTCCGTTCTCAACGCACCCTAATTTCGAGACAAGCGGGGGAGGGGGCTTTAATCTATTTATGGTGTGTTCGCACAATATATACAGAAGCCCTTATCTGGAAATAAACGGCTAGAACCGTAAATGGTAAACAAAATTCTTTACCCACAGGCTGTACGAAGTAAGAAGATTAAAGTAGGCCTACATGCATGTGTGTTGCACGTGCGTCAACCGTTCAATTTGTTTTAAAGACCATCACCACTACTGGGCCAGAAGGGATTAGACCACACAGAGAGCCATCGAGGTCACTGTGACAGGTGGCTATCTCATTAACTCAGCTCTCATTTAACATAAGAAAAAGAGGATCATGGGGGACCAACAGGCACCGATTGGGGAAGTTTTCTATATAGAGGGAGCAAGTAGCTACAAGTATGGCAGTGTGCCTTTAACTTTATTTATTTTCTTATTAATTGTAGGCATCTGTTGACATCTTTCGCCAAACAGTGGATTCAAACACATTGTGGCAACAGTATATTGACGTGAGACCATGCAGAACATGCTACTTTCTCTCAACCTTCTGGATCAGCATTCAGCAGCGTAGCAGCCTCATGACACAGTTGAAGCCTTTATCGGTAATTGGGCAGATGTACTTGTATTATTCCTGTACATATATTTTTCATTCTTCCATGATCATGACACTGATTAATTAGACATCAAGAATTATTCATTTCATTCGAATAAAATGAGTTTCATATATATATAATTCAATTAATTTCAGATCACTAAAACTTGCAGGTATGTTGCAATAACCGACCATATTTTGTGAGTTTCGAACAGTGTTCTTTTCCCTCCTCAGCAATGGAGCTTTGATTCTTCTTTTATCACCAAACTAGAATTGTATTGATAATTATTTACAAACAAATCCTGAATCATGTTTGCATTGCCAACAAACTTTTAAAATGCAAAGGCATGTTTATATTATGTTTGTAAGCAATGAGAGATTATTTTATTTAGTACTTTTCAGACAGAATTTATTATTTAATTCATTGTTTACGTTCTAGTTTTAAAATGTATAAACGTTTTTCTCAACTTGTTTTCCTTTCTTTTTGCTCCATTGATGCATTAGAATTCTTTGCGTGCATGTACCCTGGATCAAGCAGCACTTGAATTATACAGGAGATTCCACCCAAAATCTAAACCATGAGTCCCAGCTGAAGAGGAATATTTCCAAAATGAGGTCTACACACACAGAGGTTACTTTCCCCTTCATTATAGAGATACAGAGAGAGGGAGAGAGAGAGGGGGGGGGGAGTGAGTTATAGCCACGAACCTGAATAGCTTAGCTGTAGAACTGAAATGCCCATATGTCACTTGCCATTTTGATGAATTACAGGGTTTACAAACATACATGTAGGCCTACATTTTTACCCTTTGGGTAAAAGATCTTGGTATTTGCGTATATTTGTTATTACTATTTATGAAGTAGACCTGTTTTATAATGCTTATGTAGTAGATCAGTCTCGTGCTCACCCCCACCCCCTTCGTATCGAAATGTCAATTCCTAAAACCTGTGGCAAATTATATAAATTGGTAATAGAGAAAAATTGAGTGAGGTAAATGCAATACAAATCTATTCCAATCTTAAGCACTTAAGACTTGTTAAGGTATGGCACGTGAACCGCCAAAAAATTAAAACAATTGTGTCTTGAAATAAATGGGAAAGTAGTCCTGCAGCTCATCATAGTGACGTACATTACCGATTCAGCCAATTTAAAATGCCCATAGGTTTAGTGATCACAGCTTTTAACAATCCATAACCACCTTATTTTGTGTCAGATTTAATGTGGTATTTTTTAAAAGTATAGTTGTCTGTTAAGGTTGGATTTCTCTTTAAAAAGTGTAAAGGGTAAGCCCTATGTAACATAATGTGATGAGGCAATTTTCGTTATAAAACCAAATCAAAGTGCCGCGGAACAAATTATTTCGTTCACCTGTTAAGAATAATTGTATTTCGATAGTCAGAATGCGAAATGCAAACATGTGTTGTTAGGTAGGGCAACACATAATGTATTCAATTTGCATTCTGACTATTTAAATACATTTATTGGTAAAAGGTGAATTTAATAATTGGTAATGAGGCACTTAACAAGGACCTATTCATTAAATTTGATAATTACAATACGAAAATGGCCTACATGTATTCATATGAATGGGAAATCTTTGAACTGTTATGTCGTTTTCTGAGGGTTCATAATTTTATATGTTCAAGGATTCATAATTCTACAAATGAAGTAGGGTTCTTAATTCTGAAAATGAACTAGGATTCATAATTCCAAAAATGGAATATGGTTCATAATTCTGAAAATTAAATAGGGCTCAATATACTTCCAAAAGTTTATTATTCTGAAAATGCAAATAGAACCCTTTATCCTTTTTGGAATTACGAACCGTCAATATAATGAATCCTATTTTATATTCAAAATAATACCATTTCATTTGCGGAAATATTAACCCTATTTTAATATCGGTATTAACGCCCCTTTTTCGATTCCAGAATTACGCACCCTATTTATTTTTCGTAATTATGAAATCTATTTCATTTCTAAATTCAAACCTTTTAAAATATGGACCATATTTCATTTGTTTATCAAATGTCAGGAGGAAATTGAAATTTGTCATAATACACTGTACTATCAAGTTACATTTATTGATGAACAGCACACTCTTTAGTTACCATAATATCACATCACTTGTCAAAATAATAAGGCCATGAATGATTTTCTTTTGCTTGTGAATGTAGTAGGCTTATATTATGTAGTACACAATATTTCATTTCCAATTGCTGCAACTTTATATCAATCCTTTACATATACTTTGACAATCTACAGGTAAAAATCATGCTTTGAGTTATCATTTGTGAATTATTCTCCAAATTGAAATGCATGAATAAAGTACTTAAATTTGTGCAAATGAACTTATTCTCTATGGTGGAAAATTACAAAAGAAATTTCTCATCAAAAATGCATGCTCATTGTTTCTACTCATGATACTTACCGTAAGAAAACTTGTAAATTGCCAAACCTACTCTTTTAAACATCTACTCCAAATTTTCAAGATTGATTTCTCTCTGTTAAAACTGGCCATAACTTTTAGACAATAATTAGACAATTTAACAGTTTTTTTTGTGTCTTCTTTTGTTGTTAAAATGTGTAAAAAAAAAATTAAAAAAAATCCTTTTTTATTTAAGCTGTTAAACGTTCATGTAATTGTAATCACTTTATGATGAATGATATTCTGACAGATAATAAAAGGATACACTGTTAAGTGTTAAATATGATAAAGATGAACCAACAGGATTGTGATGTCTTTTGTTAACAGATGTTTGCGAGAGAAGTGGCTGAACCTCAAGAAAATGGTTAATTGTGTTGGAAGCGAACTGCATGCCAGCTCTTGTCATTTTCGTGTCTTCTTTGCAGACCAGCATGCTCTTTCAAAGTAAAAACAAAAAACAAACAAGGGCTGGCAGATTTTGTGAAGAGTACTGTGTTGGAAGTGCATTGAGGTAGTATAATTTCAACTGATCAAAACAATGTCAACCATGTAATGTAACCAATGCTATGGTTCCATTAGGGTTTTCTACTGGTCTTCTACTGGTCCCCTAATGGTTTCTGTACGGATTCCTACTGGTCTCCTAATGGTCCCAGTTGGGATTCCTACTGGTCTCCTAATGGTTCCATTAGGGTTTTCTACTGGTCTTCTACTGGTCCCCTAATGGTTTCTGTACGGATTCCTACTGGTCTCCTAATGGTTCCAGGACTTCTTTTTTACTGGTCTAATGGTTCCAGCACTTCTTTTCTACTGGTCTCCTAATGGTTTTTGTATCGATTCCTACTGGTCTTCTACTGGTTCCAGTGGGGATTTCTACTTGTTTCCTACTGGTCTCCTAATGGTTCCAGTTGGGATTCCTACTGGTCTCCTAATGGTTCCGTTAGGTTGTTCTACTGGTCTTCTACTGGTCTTCTGCTGGTTCCAGTACGATTTTTTTCTACTGGTTTTTAATGGAAATAGCGCCACTTTCCATATTGAAACCAGTAGAGAATTGACCAGTAGAAACCATTAAAAATCTGTACTGGTTTTCTCTAATGGTTTCTATGGGATTTTCGACCTGGGAATCATACACCTATGAAGTGAAACCACACGGAAAAACCTGTAGATCAGGAAATCTCGCCATTTACCGTTTTCTCGGCCCTGCGGGCCTGCAGACGTCGGGAGAGGAGGTAGGATGACGCAACAATGAAATATGTGATGCCAAACCGCTGTAGCACACCAGGGATGCGAAGGTTACGCAAATCATTGTGAGCTGGAAGTGCAAAAATAAAAAGACATTGTAAAAAAGAAACATTGAAATTGATTGTAAAAGAAGAGAGAATTGGTCTGTTATTCTCTATTTCTGATTAACATTCCCATATTTGATCACAAAATTATCGAAAAACTTTACTGCAAAACGATTGCAGAGAGCCATAGACTTAAAAAAAAAATCAACTTGTAGTATTTTTTTGTTTACAACGGATACTACTACAAAACAAGCAAACATATAATAATTAATCAAATTGGCAATTCTCACATTGAATACAGACGCCCATGATGAATAAAGAAATGCTACGGAATACTATTTTCTTGAAGATAGCGCAATAACTCAGCCCTTTGGAGAGAAGGATGTTGAACGATAGATGGATAGAGGTACCCATGATAAACACAAACCTGAAAGAAAGCACATGGGACTGAGGATGAGAATATGAGCATGGATCGCAGAGAAATGGTTCAAGATAATGATTTTTATAATAATTGACAAGATTGGTCAATGGCAAAAATACTATTACTACTACTACTAAAGTACTACTACCACTATTACAACAACTACTACTTTACATTTACTACAACTACTACAAGTAGGCTACTACTACTATTACATATACTTTAACTACTACAACTACTACTATTACTACTACAACTACTTATTCTACTACTACCACTATTACAACTACTACTTAACTACTTAACTACTTAACTACTACTACTACTACTACTGCTGCTGCTGCTACTTCTACTTTACTACTACAACTACTACTAGTACAACAACTACTACTACTATTACAACTGTTGATGTTACTAATACTACTACTACTAATCATTGTAATAATAATATTGATATTAATAATAAAAGTAATGAATATATGAATAATATTAATACTTATAATAAAGAACAAGCAAACTAACAAAACACCCCTAACAACATATAATTTACCAATGGTAAAATGTACTTACGATGAAATATTAGAGTATTTTTACTTACCACGGGAACATGAAATCTGCAACAGTAATACCTGTAATACAAGGAAACATGCATCATTAAAGTCCCACAGAGCTATACAATGTAGTTCCTATTAATAAAAATGAGACAACAAAGACTTTCGAAAAATCAATCTCTGGCAATTTCATTAGGGTTGTGCATCAAGTGTTAAGATGTGCGACCATTAGAAAGGGGTATTATGCAATCCGAACAGAGTTATGGAGGTAATACAATAGGTAGTTTCAACGATGGTTTGAAATTTCATGAATCGACTATTCAACTTAACATATTTTGACTGGTTATTTTTCTATTACTAGTACAATGATGCTTACCCTAAATGTTGTATTTGATTCCTCCTTTGTAGCTGTACATGTATTACTTCTGTACTAAAATTCACATAAATTTGTAATTATTTTGATTCTAACCTTTTTTAATTCTTTTGTAAAGTACTTGTATTATTGAAGATTATCCAAATTTTGGATTCTATTTCAATAAATTTTGAATTGATTTGATATGATTTTGCGTCGTAGAACGTACTTACCATACCATCTTGCATGGTTTGAGTACCAAAAATGACCGTCACCACTTGTACCGAGTACAAGATGAGTAATAGCAAGCCTAAATCAAATCCATCCAAGACAAAAAAAAACAAAGAAATATGAGTCGAAGAATATCGTATAACCTATAAAGTGCTGTTTCTTTATATCCTCCTTTAAAGCCCCACTGCACTACCTATAACTACTTGCGCCCTCTATATAACAAAAACTGCATAATCGGTGACCATTGGTCCCCATGATCCTCCTTTTCTTATGTTAATTGAGAGCTGATTTGATGAGATAACCACCTGTCCAGTGACTTTACAGGGTGGTCTAATCCCTCCTGTACACTAGTACAGATGGGCTCTAACGCCCATTTTAATACCCATTTACACCTGGGTGGAGTGTGGCAAAATAATGTGGATTAATGTCTTGCTAAAGGACGTTAGTGCCGGGCTGCGATTCGAACCTCAAACCCTTGGGTTGAGAGTCAAGTGAATGAACCACTACACCACAACATCTCCACATTTTCGTTTCTAGGAGCGCTGCCTCTCTAAATGACTTGATAAAGGGCATTGGTGCTGGGCTGAGATTCGAACCCTAAACTCTTGGATTGAGAGTCAAGTGAATAAACCACTACACCATGGCATCTCCACATTTTCGATTATAGGAGGACTTACCCTCTAAAAGTGTCGACCGATCTGAGTCGAAGGGAGCTCTTAGGCTTGTCACTAGCCGGGAAGGTCAGGGGTGTTTGGTCATCCTGAGAACCGTTCTAGACGATGCAGATGATGTTTAGGAAGAAAGATAGAAGAAAGATCGATAAAAAATATATGTATTTGATATGTTATATTATTTGTATAAAATTATGATATTTCATCGGATGCCGCTGGAATTGAGTTGTATTGATAATCACGATTTCGTATATAGCACTTTACCAGTTGACGGACGAAAGCACTTAAAGTGTTAAGTTTAATATTAATATACCGATTTTCACTCTACCATTGTAGTCGAAGTCTACACCTGATTGTTGCTTCATGTTTTATATTTTAACATGGACGACAAAAGCTTTATGATTATGTATTTTCCAACGTAATCAGTGGAGGATTCGTGGGGCACAGGTGCCGTGCCCTCCCCCTACCTCGGTCTGCTTGCATGCTTGTCAGAACATTTTGTAACCAAAAAGGGCATATAAAAAACCTGATGACCTTTTTGTTTTGTTGTACTTGTTATTAAATCATCGAACTTGTCCTCTCCATTCCCCCTACCCCCCCCCCCCCTTTCCCGCTCGAAAATCCTGGATTTGCCACTGGTAATAACGACATAAATCATAATACAAGAGAGCAAATCATAACTATACTCACCGATAGTATACTTCCGTTATGATTGATTGGTAGGCTCTTTTCGGTGCATCTTTTAATACAATGACTTCGAGAGAAAATGTGATATGAATTATGATTATAGAGCTTAAAAAATAATATTTAACTGAAAGAGGGAGGGAGAAAGGGAGCGAAAGAATGAGGATTAAAGGGTCCAGGAGGAGATAGTGCACATGAATAGAGAATAAAAGTAAGGTATACATCTACCCAGTACTTATGTATGGTAGTGAAACTTTAACTTAAGCCTCTGATTCTAAAAAGCGTTTGGAAAGTTGCAAAATGTGTTTTTTAAGAAGAATGATGAAAATCCCTTGGACTGACAAAGTTAGTAATGGGCAATTCCACGGTAACGGAAGGACACTCAGACAAGATTTTTGAACTTCAGGTTCATTCTAAAAGAACTGTTTTATTAGTATAAGATGTGAAACAGTACAGATATAATACCTATATAAGTGCCTTTAATTCTCCCCCAAAAAATTGTCATTATAGTTAAGTAGTTTAAGAATGTGCATATTAATTATCTCGGTAACGGAAGGACATAAAAATGGACATGGTTTTTCCAGTTAATTAGTGTTTATCCAAACTTTGTGAAGTTGATGAAGCTTTCCACTTGACTGAAACACATTTTGTTCCCCATAGTTTAATACATACTAATAAAACATTTCTTTTAGTATGAACCTGAAGTTCAAAAATCTTGTCTGAGTGTCCTTCCGTTACCGTGGAATTGCCCTAATGAGGAAGTTCTTAGACGAGCTGGAGTGCAAAGAAAATGATACGTGAGAATGAGATGTTGATTAGGCAATTGAAGTTCATGGGTCACTTTACACGTAAAGAAGGCATAGAGAATCTTTCTTTGAGAATACTTGGGATGGATAGTCTGCAGAAATTGTTGGAAGAGATAGGAGTGAAGAACTGGGAGTGATGCTAATAGAGAAGGCTAGGAATCGAGGGTTGTGGAAAAGCATGCTCGACGAAGTCAATCAATATGGCACTTAGAGAGAGAGATAGACACAGAGAAAAAGAGAGAGGGGGAGAGAGAGGAGATAGAGAGAGAGAAAGAAAGAGAAGGGGAGAAGAGGGAGGAGAGAGAAGAGAGGGGAGAGAGGGGAGAGGAAAGAGAAAAGGGAGGGAAATATAAGGAGTGACAAATACAGGGAGAGACAGAGAAACAGAGAGAAAGCTGACATCTAAAAGTTTTCACCAAAGGCACTGATTCAACTAAGCCATCATTCACTCTTGAGTAAGGTAAAAAGAACATCAAATTTAAAGAGTATGAATAATTTCGTTGTTAATTGTAAATCAAAACCACCACGACGGCAAAGCAAAAAGAAACAATTGCGACACCTACAGCCCCTTACAAACTTAGGGCGTCCTTCTGCCCTTCCACCCAAAACTACCCTTTTCACGATGACTAAAACAGGGATTAGTTCCTTTAATGTTTTCATTGAAGTAATTTAATTCAAAATGTTCAACAGAGCCTTTCTTCCTAGCATGTTATGCGACCTCCAACAGAACAACGTTTTTTTATTGACGTAAAATGTTGACTTTACAACACACACTTCATTCGTGTTTGCATAAAAACATGATGTCACATAACACGCCTGCAAAATATACAGTCCTGGAAAAATGGTATACCAAGCTCCTATTACAAGAGTATTAGAATGTATTACACATACAAAGTATTAAAGGAAAACAAGAAAGTGTGCCTCTTTGAATGAATAACATATTACAATTTTACAACAATCGCATTTTATATGAATGTTGTATTCTATTTCTTTTTAACCATGTACAGAACATTACTAGTGCATTCAGTGGCGGATCGGGGGGGGGGGTGGGCGGGTTGCCGCCCACCCCCTGGGAAAAAAACACTTAAAAACACGTTAACTTTACCTTTTTTTTTAGATGCCCCCCCCCCTCCCCCTCCCCACTGGCGCTCATAGGGGGGGGGGGGTGCGCGATTTTTCAAGGGCCCCCCCCCCCAAAAAAAAATGTTCACTACCGGCCCCCCCCCCCACCCCCCTTCATAGGAACTCATAATTTTCTGCTTATATTAAAATCCAACTTAATATCAGGCTTCACTTCCCCTTTAAAGAAGAGCATTTAATAAAAAATACTTACACCCAAATGGCAGCAACGAAAAACGCGAAGAATACTGATCCGTAAAAGACTAAGGTACCTGTAAGGAATTATAAAGAAATTAAACAAGATAAGATCGTTGAGGTTGATACAGAGCCATTTTATATCTATTTTATACAGGGTGCCTTACCCCCCCCCCCCCCCCCAAAAAACAAAAAAACAAAAACAACAACAACAAACAAACAAACAAACAAACAAACAAACAAAACAAACAAACAACAACAACAACAAACAAACAACAACAACAGCAATAACAGCAACAACGGCCTAGCAATAGCATATTTCAAACGATGTGGGGTGACATTCACTGATACCAGCGGAAGGAGAATACTTTCGCATGAAATCTCATACCAAGATTGACAAATTTGGTAGAGGGGTTTTCGTTTTAGGAAGCATATTGTCACGCAAAGTAGGAGTTCAATTTAATCTGTCCAGTATCAATGATGCTTTGTTTTGAGCAATTCGTGAAATGTCATGTTTATATTTGACACGTCATCAAGAACGCCTGAAAAGGGGGAAGATGAGAGGTCTCGGGTTCATCTCCCAGACAAGCCCTTCCTTCCCCCTTCTTCTTCTTCTTCTTTTTTTCTTTTTATTCCATTCTTTTCCTTCTATGTCTTCTTCGATCTTCAATTCCTTCTACTTCAACGTTGCCTTCTTCTTCTTCTTGTTCTTCTTCCTCCTCTTGTTTTCCTTCTTCTTCTTCCTCTTCTTCCTCTTCTTCCTCTTTTTCTTCTTCTTCTTCTTCTCTTTCTCCACCTCCTTTTTCATCATCTCTTAAAATTCTTTAAACTTTTTTTTTGAACAATTCGTTAAATTTCATGTATACATTTAACCCGTCATTAAGAACGCCTGAAAAAGGGGGAAGTGTGTATTGAATGTAGTGTGTGTGTGTTCAATCTGACGTTTACATTAGCTTGCCCAAAGTTCAAGCATTATACTATATGTATTTCTAAAACTGCACAATGATACGTTGTTTTCTGCAAAGCGCACTGCCAGTGAATGTTTAATACAGTACATCGTTTCACAAAAATACGTCTTGACATAAAATATTCAACTAATTTTTTGGGGGGTAACTTTTTTCTCTTATCTACTTGTACTAGTGAATTTTCCTCTTTTTGTTCTTCCTTCTTGTTCTTCTTCTTCTCTTTCTCCTCCTCTTTTTTCATAACCTTCTTCAAACTGCTTATAGGCATTATTTTGGATTCATTCTACATCAGATCACCTTTTATTGAGAATTACTGTATATCTATGTTTGTGTCAAGTTTCACACTTAATGCCATTACAAAGGATACAAACAAAAATAAAGTGCGCTCAAGCAGTGAAGCTAAGAACTATTACAGCTCAATTCATGAATGGGTGGCTCAGACAGCTCAGGCTTCCTGATCCATTCAAATAGAATTTATGTTTTGAAGCGAGAATAACCCTTGAGCTAGTGGCGTAGTGGGGCGCATCCCCCCCCCCCCCCGCCACCATCAAATGCCTAAGAAAAATGGAAGAGGAAAGAAAACGGAAAGGAGGGTGTAAAATAAAACCCTTCCCACAAATATTATATTGCCTTGATATTGCTAATCCACATTTAATCCACTTCGTAAGACCGGTGCCCCCCCCCCCCCCCCTAATGAGTACCCTCTTGTTGCCTGACCCCATGCTGGGCCGCTGCCCTTGCGTGGCGCCTGCAGAATCAACAGATCAAACCAATTTAGTGCCACTACAATGATACAAATATTTCATGTTCCTTGATATTGCTAATCCACATTAATCCGCCCAGTAAGACTGGTGCCTTCCCCCTCCCCCTCCAATGAGCGCCCCCTTGTTGCCTGGCCAGATGCTATGCCGCTGCCCTCGCGTGGCGCCTGCAGGATCAAACAAATTAATTTAGTGCCACTACTATGATACTCTCGCTATTTCTGCTTTTTCAAAGTTAGGCAACATTCTGACAAATCGCACAATGGGTATGAGGACCAGAATAAGAGTACAAAATTGTTACATCTACCCTTACTTAAAGGTAAAGACCAGTATTGGAAACGCCCCAATTTCAAAAAATGAAATGGAAGCTCTCATTACCAATCATGTGAAAGAATATGTTTTGACTAATACATGATGATACAAAATTTGCCGGGAAACCGCCTACTAATTCATATATTTGGTAAATTTGTTTTTCTCATGGTCTGTGATAGATATCGGATAGTACCATATACATCTTTCTGTGTATAGTGCTTGTAACTTTACGAAGAATGGGCCAAATTTCTTATCATTTTGATGATTCCAGAACCTTGCAGATGCTAGATGCTAGATGATCAACCTTTTCTGATCGATTCCACGTTTCTTTCACAATGCAATCGCATGACCATAACTAGTCTTTACCTTTAACATGGAATTTAGCCTCTGACACTAAAAAGAGTTTGGAAAGTTGCGAAATATGGTTTTTAATAAGAATGGTGAAAATCCCTGGGACTGACAAAGTTAGTAATGAGGAAGTTCTTAGAAGAGCTAGAGTGCAAAAATGATACGTGATATGTTGATTAGGCTGTTGAGGTTCATGGGTCACATTACACGTAAAGGAGGCCTAGAGAATCTTGCGTTAAAAGGGAAAATTGGGGGAAGGAGGAGTAGGGGAAGAAGAAGGATACTTTGGATGGACAGTCAGCAGAAATTGTTAGAAGAGATAAGAGTGAAAGAACTGGGATTGGTGCTAATAGAGAAGGCGAGGAGACGAGGGTTGTGGAACAGCATGATCGCCAAAGTCAATCGATATGGCAGAGAGAGAGAGAGAGACTATGATACAAATATTCCATGTTCCTTGACATTGCTAATCCACATTAATCCGCCCAGTAAGACTGGTGCCTCCCCCCATAGGAGTGCCCCTTTTTGCGTTGTTACCATGCTATATCGCTGTCCATGCTTCGCGCCTGCAGAATCGAATGCTTAAACAAATTTAGTGCCACTACTATGACAGAAATATCGACTTATACAGTGTGAGTCAACAAAAATTTTACACCTAGAAAATTACAATTATTTTAAAAATTATCTAAGAACAGTTAATCTTATGCCTCCTGTTCATCCAAGCGTGAACACATACCACACAAAAATGATACCAAACGATTCGGGACATAACACTCTTTCAAAACATGTATTATAAACTTTCGTTCATATCTGACTTTTTAAAAATATGACAATTTTCTGAGTGTAAACTTTTTTTGACTCACACGGTATAGGCCTGACGTTTTTATAAAATACTGCTATTCATTGAGGGTATTAGTTTCGCTCATGAAGTTGAACTTACTTATACGGATCATCTTTTAAGAATACTTCAACAAACATATATGGCTACTTCTTTTTTCCGACAGTTAAAAATGATCAATAAATTTACTTTCTACCAAAAACTTAAATGGTTCATTTACATTTACAAAATAAACATACATGAAATTTCCAACGAAAATACATTGTACATCGCATTCAAATTATAACATGTAAACAATTCACTTCAACTTTTTCGTAAATCCTTATCATAATACAATAACACCAATCGATTTAGGAAATTGCGTCATTTCAACTTTAAGTAATGAAATAAGTTTTCTTTTCAGTGTAGTTACCTGTATCAGCGTAAGTTGGTTCTTTCACTGTTACCAGTCCGCACTTAGTCCCGTTCGTGCCGTTCTGTTGCTTGGAAGGTACGGTCAAATTGTATTCGCCGTATTGCCCGAATAGATAATATAACCTGACCATGGACAAAGATGAAAAATAATTTGAGAAAGGTTTTACATGAGTCCGTATTCACACTCACTCGTTAGAGCGGTCTTTTTAGCTAGAGTGGTCTAACTAGTCTTAATATGACCGATCTAACGTGAGTGTGGAGACAGAACAATGCCAAGAAATGTATCTCTAGACCGGTCGAGAAGCCCACTTCGGGTATGACATCATTCACACTCGCCCTGTTACACCGGTCTTAGCAAAATCGGTCTTAATAAGAGCGGTGTGACAAGTGTGAAAACACATGTGCCAAGAAGCGTAACTCTATAGACCGATCCAGAAGACCACTTCGGGTATAACCTCATTCACACTCACCCCGACCGGTCTTAGCCAAGTTGTATTAATAAGACCGGTCTAACATAAATGTGAAGACATAACCGTGCTAAGAAGCGTAACTCTAGACCGATCCAGAAGACCACTTCGGGTATAACCTCGTTTACACTCACCCCGACCGGTCTTAGCCAAAGTTGTGTTAATAAGACCGGTCCAACATGAGTGTGAAAACACAACCGTGCCAAGAAGCTTACCTCTGGACCGGTTCAGAAGATCACATTAGGTCACTGAAGCCCCTTCCCCGATTGCGAACTATATATTCATAGCCTAGTTTTTCGTTGTAAGGCGGAAGAATAATACTATTATATTTCTCCAACCAAAGACTTCTTCTTCTCGATACAAATTTATCAAATTGTTTCTTCCGTAATACGAATGAAGTTGCATCGTGTTTGTTAATACGGAAATCATATTTACAATACCATCATTTTAAAAAGACACTATCAAAAACAAACAAGTCAATGATTGTGAAGTCACAGTTGGTAGCTATACATCGACAGCCTGATCATTGCCTACTGATGTATACCATGCAATATCATATAATCTGAACATGATTATTGAATTTGAATTTGAATTTGAATTTATGAACAACAAAATAACAACATAACACAATGCTACAAAAGTTTCAAGTGGGTAACAAAATAACAAAAATATCCATGTACATGAGTTACAAAGAAAAAGAAAATATCCATAGTTGAACTATGTGTACAAATTAAATTAATCATATACCATGTCATATCAAAACCTGTGAATTAGCTATAACTTAATAATACGTAGAGATTTGCGGCTGGAATTGAAATTAACAGAGTTCCAATAGCGTATAAGTGATTCAAATAAAGGATATGTTAAACTTAAAAACTCCAAATGTTGTTAAAGGGAGATCCAAAAGTTAGCACGAGTGCTAGTCGGGATTGGTTCTCCAAGTTTCTAACACTGTATGCCAATTCATATTGATATTTATTTTGACTTAATATATTATTTGATCCTCATGATTCATCTCTGCTTAGGAGTTTAATTCTGAGATTTTGACGAAATGATGATCTTGTTTTTTCTTCTCTTATATTTATGGGCAAATTTTTCCACAACTTTGCTCCATTATTAATGATAATATAATAATACAACGTATTACAATTGACCTAAATATGATTTGCAATCTTTGATAGCTTGATTACTAATGTATCATTAATCGTGATTAATGTTCTATTGTTATATTATCACCCGTACGTCGATCCTCCCCGCAATTCATGTGACTTAAAATAAATGTATTCAAAACAACACACCGGATCAATTAACCTGATGCTAACTTCCGAATCGTTTCACTTTCATTTCAAGCTTAATCGACATAAGGTGTAGTTGATTCGAGTGATTTTGTGTACTACCCCCCCCCCCCCCCCACCCCCGACCCCCCACCATCCGTTCAACAAGCCTGGTTATGCCAGAGATAATGAATATGGTTCCTGATCTGAGCTTTTCAAATCATTGTTTGATAAAATTGCTGGTATTTAAGTGTGCTCGGTTGGTACTGTATAGTATACATGCATTTAAAATTGGAGGCGATGATTAACTGTTTTGGGCTGGTTGAGGGGAGGAGGTGTACAAGGTCAATTGCCTATAACTATCAGGAAACAATATCATATCCACCAAACAGGATCCCATGTTTTTCACATTAAATTTTGCCAATAATAGTAACAAAAAAGCATATTTAACCTCAACGTATCTGCTTGTTATTAACCATGACGAATTAACTTTACTGAACGTAGATTTTGTAGGAAGGAATCATTTGCAATTTTCGGAACACGTTAGGTGCATTTTCAGGCACTTCCTGGAGTAATATGACGTAAAATTGCTCTTTCCTACCCCATCAAAGAGTAGGGATCCAGGGGCGGATGATGGGATCTGGCTTTTTGCTAAGGGTGGGGGGGGGGGTTGACCCAATGACGGCACGGAGCACCGTCCACGAGCCGCGAAGCGGTGAGGCCATTTTTTTTGTTGTTGTTGCTATTTTGAACCCCCGTAAGTGATGTTTTCCTGGCATCTACTAACACAATGGAGACCATAAACAGCATTTCATGATAACGTCTTTTTAGATCAAGTAACAGTTTGAGGGGGGTTCGACCCAATGACGATGCGGAGCATCGTCCACGAGCCTCAAAGTCCGAGCCGCGTAACGGCGAGGCGATTTTTGTTGTTGCTATTTTGAACCCCCGTAAGTGATGTTTTCCTGGCATCTACTGTGGAGACCATAAAAAGCAGTGCACGATAACGTCTTTTTAAATCGAGTAACAGTTTAATGGAGGTTTGACCCGATGACGATACGGATACTGTGTGGGTCTGGACACATGATAGCGTTTTTCTATTCACATCACATTTTCATTTGGCAGCCCAAGGGGGGGGGGGGGAGGTTAAACCCCCTAACCCCTCCCCCATCCCCCCCCCCCCCACAGATCCGCCACTGCATGGGATCTTTTGCAAACTGGAAGCAATAAGCATTACATGTAGGCGATGGAAAAAAAAGTGCTTGCGAAACGGATAGAAACTTCGCGGCCACAGGGATGACAGAAAATAATATGACAATGAAACCAGCAACTGTGGCAGGATTAATGGCGGGGACAATCTGCATGCTGAAAGAGCACTTAGAATAGGTATATTCGGAAAATTAATTCAAGACTAAGTTAGAAGTTAGAAGTTATAAAGGAGATAAAATCTTTGGTATTAGTCATGTTCGACTTAAAATTGCATGCCCCCGCCCCTTTCCCGGTAAAAAAAACACATTCTCATAATATCACCCCCCCCCCTTTCTTTCTTTTTCCTTCTCATTATTCTCCCTTTTCCCCTTTTCTCTCCTCCGTCTTTCCGCCTTTCTTCTTTTTCCGCCTTTCTTCTTTTTCCGCCTTTTCTCTCCTCTCTCTTTCCCTTTCCCCTCCTTTTTCTCCTCTCCCCATTTCTTTTCTCCCTCTTTTCTTCTTCTTTCTCTCTTCCCTTTTTTTCTTTTTCCTCTCCTTTTTCTTTCCCCCTCCTTTTTCTCCTTTTCTTTTTTTTTTTTGGCCGGGGGGGGGGGGGGGGGGGCACGTGCCCCCTGTGCCCCCCCCCCCTGGATCCGCCACTGAGAGCCCAAAAGTAATAGTCTTGATTTTCAGACAATTGTACCGAATGGTCATACGTTTTATGCTGCGCAAAGATTCAATCAGTTTAATCTTGGCCATCACAAGAAGTGGGTTATTGATGTAGACAAATGCTCATGTACCCTTTACAACTCTTTTCATGTATGTTATTACCAAAGAAGAAAAAAAGCCAGTCAGTCACTCAATAGTGTCTGACAGTGAAGTCTAGCAAGTAAATGGGTTTTCTTGCATAATTTGAATATGAGGACACTGCTAACGTTTAAATTTCACAGATAGGACATACATGACATATTCATAATTCCTGCAAAGTTCTACAGCATTTGAGGTTGGCTGCAAAAGGGACATAGTACCTTTAAACTATAACTATAAATATAACTATAACTATAGCTACAACTATAAATATAATTAATATAACTATAACTATAAATATAACTGTAACTATAACTAAGGTATTAAGTCTGAATTTTCGGAGGGTTTCCCCTCCCCCTTTTCACAAAAACATTGATCAGCCCCTAACGTCGCGTATGAAGGAAGTTATTCGGTCTTGCCTTTTCCATCGTTTCAACCCTACTCTGCCTGTAACAACCACTTTGACACATGCATTTGAAGTAAGCCAAACTATGGCGGCAATAGAGTATAATTACTCTTAATGTGTTTTCTTTACGTTCAGATAGGCAGTATTTTCTGTCTTTCGTAATTCCAGTCAGGGGCGGATCTAGCTTTTTGCTAAGGGGGGGGGGGGGGGGTTGACCAATAATGACGATGCGGAGCATCGTCCACGAGCCGCGAAGCGGCGTGCCGATTTTTTTTGTGGGTGTTTATTTGAACCCCGTAAGTGATGTTTTCCTGGCATCTATTAACACAATGGAGACCATAAAAAGCAGTGCATGATAACGTCTTTTTAAATCAAGTAACAGTTAAATACACAGTTATATCCAGAGTTATCATGTGTTTAGTTAAGTTACCAGATGAGTTGAATATCTTCTCACAATATTTGCACTTGAAAGGGTTTCTCTCCAGCGTGCGTTCCTTTTTCTTTCTTTTTTTTCTTGTTTTTTTTCTTCTTTTTTTTCCCTTTTTTTTGTTTGTTTGTTTTTTGGGCCGCCCAAGGGGGGTTTAAAACCCCTAACCCCCCCCCCGTAGATCCGCGCCTGGCTGATGGGGGGGGGGGGCAAGGGACTCTGTGACATTTGTTCGCCCAACCCCCCCCCCTCCCCCAAAAAAAAGAATAATAATAATAATAATAATAATAATAATAATAATAATAATAATAATAATAATAATAATGAAATAAATACATAGAAATAGAAAAAATAAAATTACAAGTTTAAAAAAAAAGATAAGATTTAAAAAAATGGTCCCCGGATTTTTTTTTTGGGAGGGGGGTTGCAACCCCCCAACCCCCCCCCCCCCCCCCCCCCTCTAGATCCGCTTCTGCCAGTTGACCAAGGCATATGACCACAATTTCCTTCGATTGATATTAGACAGGCCTATAATTCTTTATCAAACTCATACAAACACTACCTTGCCTATGACAATAATTTCAAACAAAAAAGTCCTGGGAAAATAAATCGGTTTCCATGGTAACAGGGTGAACTTAGTGACTTACTCGCAATAGGTGTTGTTTACAGCCGGATAGCCTATGACAACAAATTTAAACAAAAAGCGTAAGGAAAACATTTATCGGTTTCCATGGTAACAGAGTAAAGTTAGTGACTTACTCGCAATGGGTGTTGTTTATAGCCGGATAGCCTATGACAACAATTTTAAACAAAAAGCGTAGGGAAATAAATCGGTTTCCACGGTAACAGAGTAGACTTACTCGCAATAGGTGTTGTTTATAGCTGGATAGGGTACATCTCCTGACGTCACAATGATGTGAGTCGCCCAGGCGGTATCGATTATGGCCGATCGTTTCTTCTCCTGTGTCTTCACCGTCAAATTGGCAACTGGGACCATTTTACACTGAAATAAGCGAGAGAGAAAAAGTGATAGATTTGGAGCGAAGCTGTTGAAAAGGGACTACGTTCAGAATTTCAGAACAAGGCAAATTCGACCCATAATGCTCCGACATAAAAAGCGATTTGCTGATGAGCAAAATGATGGGAGGGAAAGACCTGACCGTCACATACCGCAAAATCTTTAAAAAACTGTGATACTGTTGACAACTTTAAGACAAAACATTTCTTTTCAAAAATAATTTCCAATGTTAACGAGAGGAAGAACATGTATGTTGAGCATATCTCACTCTTCTTATGTTACTCTATCCACCTTTTCTTCTTACTCTCTCTTACAGCGTATAGAGACATATTGTGATATGCGCTATATAAGTGAGGTATATTATTATTATTATTATTTATTATATAAATTGAACTATTATATAAATAGCTTTTTTGTTAATGCAAATTCATACAGGTAATCCAAATTTGTGCAGGTACTGCAAATTTATCAAAATTATGTAAATTATTTTGCTAACGTTGCCCTTTTTTGGACTACGAATTCTGCTACTGGGATTGACATAAAGAGCTCGTTCCCCCTATTTTTCAAAGAGTATCAAAAAATTAACTACCCTTTGGGGCGCATATCTTGCACATTCGGCCCCTCCATATTTCACTCTTTCTTTTTTGTTCAGTCCTTTAATTTAATGCACTCAAACAAATTGTTACGACGTACTCACTTTCTGGAAGGAAGGGGATGGGGAAGGGGGTAATGTCTATGTTAATAGCCTCAACGTTTACTTGTACCATTTTCTTTGAGAAATCTTTGCAAAATATTAAACTTCTTATGTAAAATATGAAACAATTTGCTGAAACTTAGCTTTACAGTGAGAGAAAGGACAATAATCAATGAACTACATAAATAAATGACAGCTTTAGAATTAAAATGGAAGCAGTTTTGAAAGTACAATTGCTCCTAGCTTCTTCTTCTTCGAGCTTCTTCTTCTTTATCTTCTTCTTCTTCTTCTTCTTCTTCTTTCTTCTTCTTCTTCTTCTTCTTCTCTTCTTCTTCTTCTTCTTCGACCTCTTCTTCTTAATCTCTTACAAACATAGAGAGAGAGAGAGAGAGAGCAAGAGAAATAAAGATGCGGGGAGAGAAAGCGACAGGGAGAGAGTGCACGAGAGCTAGAGCTAGAGAGAGAGGGAAGGGGGGGGGGGAGATACAAAGACACAGAGAGAGAAAGATAGATAATCAAAGAGAAAGCATGATGCAGTGAAGTGGACGTGGACCCTACCCCAATGCAGATATCAGTTTTCATCCAAACTCGAAGCTTCTCCTTCTTGCCGATATCATCGAAGAGGAAGAGAACCAAGGCGACGTCGTAGTGTGGCGAATGAAGACGGAGCACATCTCTGCCGTGACCGAAGCCGTCACTGTTACTCAATGGCTTGTCCCATGCATCTGAGTCCGGGTTTTCCAACTCGACCAAGGAGTCATTCTCGACTTCAACTATATATGACCGTCATGTATTAGAGATAGCGGAGAAAAGAGAAATACAAAATCAGAATGTTAATCTTGAAGACATTATATTTATGTGTCAACAATGTATACGTCATCCCTTTCACCCCGCACATCGTAAACACTATGGGCCTACAATCGAATGGATTTTCGACATCTCCCCTCCGAAATGTATGCTTACTACTTGCATAATGCCCCCCCCCCCCCCCCCCCCCCCCCCCCCACCGGAGTGACTCTCCCAATAACCGACGGGTATTACGCGGTCGGTTTCATTTTCATTTTTAAGATTTATATAATATGCATGTACAGAGATAAATATTACTGGAAATTTCATATGGAAAGGTCAAAGATTACTGGAACTTTTATAACGATTAATGATTTTCATTTTTCTTCCTCTCCTTCCATGTCTTCTTCTTCTTCTTCTAATTCTTGTTCATCTTTTTCTATTTCCCCTGCTTCTTCTTCATCTACTTCTTCTTCTCCTACTATTACTTCTTCTTCTTCTTATTCGTACAATTTAATCCAACATAACATAGCTCTTTTTTTTTTAATGTTCAAACGGAAAATGTTTAAATTCCAATTTCAATGCTCTTCCTTGGTTACATCCATGGTTACATACTAAGGACAGGGATATCCTTGCTCAAATTGTGGTTTTCAATTCCAGTTGTCGCGATTCGTGCGATGTGGTTGGCATCCGACATTCCTAGAACCATAGTCCCTCTCACCCCTCCACCATTGCCTATATAGCTGTTTTTCATTCCCTCGCCCTCCGTTTTCATTTCATTTCAGAAACTTTCCCGGTATGGGACCTAATTTGTGACTTGTTGACCTCCTGTCGTGGCATGGCCGATACCCTGAGGTAGGCATGTCCTCATCAGCTCGAGATTACCAAAAAGCCCGCTATTTCTGATTTGGGAAATAAGCCCGAAGTTACAAATCGCGTCCTCATCAGCTCGAGACTCGACCTCGAGCTCGAGAAATAAGCTCGAGACATTATGCTCAGCGTTCGCGCATAGTGCGAGTCTTCGGGCTGATGAAAGGCACCGGACAAAATAATAGCGGGAAACTGTTTACCAAATATCGTGATATTTTGCAAACTAGCCCAAGATATCTTGGGATGATTATCTCGACCAAATATCCCACTAATTGCGACGTACTGCGGACTGATAAAGACGCAAATTAGCTGGATAATTTGCGATCGGGATAATTCAAATAGCGGGTTCATATTAGGCAATCTCGAGCTGATGAAGACTCAAACCTGATGTCATCCCGAGTAGCGGATGGTATTTGCTTTAGGGCTTAGAGGCGTAGCGTAAATTTTTTTTTACTGGGGTCGGGGGGGACAAATCGAATTTAAAGGGGAATCGAACCTTGATAGCAAACTTCTCTAGACGAAAGCGGAAAAGTATGATAAAAGTCATGTTCGGATAAACTAATGTTATGTCCGCAAAGCCGCAAATTTTTCAATAAGGGACGCACAACTTGCACAAGGACATATGAAACTCCGTCATTTGTTATGCTGATTTCTTGAAAGTCTATACGATCGTGCTCAACCTTAAATGTAGATCCATCACTACTATTTTCATTTTCCCCAAATGAATTAGATCGAAATCCGAGAAGAAAGATTGTCCCAGCCGATTCTCAGGAAGAGTTCCATATGACACTTTGACCCATACATTATGGAGTTGACCTGGACAAAAAAGCTCTGACCAGTGCTCAATCCCTGATCAGATCAGATGGGATTACCTTGACCAGTCTAATGATGGCAAAACATTCTCAACTTTTGATACACCCATTGATCAGAAGTAAAGTTCCTACCACAAAACATAACGTGCATATATAGACTTCTTTGTCACCTGATTGTAATGTAATATTTAACCTCGTATATCGAGCAACGATCGACAATACCGTAATTCATTCAGAGTGCGCATCGCATCACCTGGCATAGCCTACATTATACGACCAGGGATATAAACTCACATCTCTGGTATGACTGGCATTATTGCTAAATGCTAGCCACGTTATATATCCAAAATACGAATTGAATTATTCGTGGATGAAATAATTCGCATCTGCATCGAGGCACTACAAAAAGACGTACATTGTATTTGGGGTACATATTAAATGCATTACGAAAACTGGTAGCATTTCTCTCGCACTCTCTCTCTCTCTCTCTCTCTCTCTCGGTCTCTCTTTCTATCTGTCTCTCACCACGATCTATGTACCTCTCTCTCCCTCTCTCTCTCTCACCATGGACCTACACATATCGATCCCCTCTCTCTCTCTCTCTCTCTCTCTCTTCTTCTTCAGCCAACGGAATTTATACACACATTCCAGGTTTGACAAGGGTCAAAGGAATACCACTGTCCCTGGTAATAATGACCTTTATCATTCTCTAATATACCATAATAATCGCTATACATAAGGTGTCATAAATACCATGCAATAACTTACCACTTGTGGCTGGGGCAGCACCACTCAAACAGACGATTGCTATAGTAAAAACGGATATCCATCGAGGCATCGCCATAGCATTAGCTGTGTATGTTGCTTCACGATTGGCAGTTCGGCTGTTTCTCCGCGGCGGTTGTCTGCGGTATGCTACCATTTGAAATGTATACACATGTACATGTATTCTCTCTTTTCGCATTGAATGGGGGAATAGTGCAGGGTACTGTCTCTATTTAGTTTGACTCGCCCGAGTGGACATACATGAGAGCCAATACGTTGAATAGCAACTGCGTGCATGGTTTGGCCATCCATTGATTTCTGTCCCTCGTTTGAACTTTGAAGAAAGGAAGAGATAGAAGAGAAGGAGAAGGTGGGTGAGTGAAAGAGAGGGACAGGGGTGGAAGAAAGAGACTTACTCGCAGATATTCCTTTCTCGATCTCGATCTCTCTCTCCCACACACACTCTCTCTCTCTCTCTCTCTCTCTCTTACTCACTCTTTTCCCTTTTCTCTCCGTATTCCTCGATCTCTTCTCATTTATTTTACCTGGCAATCTTTCTCTCCCACCCCTTCTTTCTCTCTCTCTCTCTCTCTCTCTCTCTCTCCCTCTCTCCCATCCCTTCTCTCTCTCTCTCTCTCTCTCTCTCTCTCGCTCCCTGCATGTCTATATAGCTCTTTTATATTCTTGGGATATCGGCAAAACTAATAAGAGATACAATAATAATTATGGTCTAAGAGTAAGAATGGGGAGAAATGTGGGTCCAGGTTATATTATAGGGCCCAGTGGGTGGAGTAGCGGGGGGGGGCGGGGTCCAGGTACCACGCCCATGCCTATGGGCTGGAAAACACCTGCACTTTAAACACATTCAACATGTAGTCTCCCTGACCCTGATTAATAAAAGTTATTCAAATTAAACAGTAGTTGTCAGAGATCACAGAAAGATTTTGCCAATCTTTATAATGTATAACAAGTAACTTATTGTATGTATCACACACCATGCTTATTATAACTATTATGTTAACGAAGAAGTCAATTAAACATTTTCCAGTCTTTTTTGCAGATAAAAATATTGAATTATTTTTAAAAGTACTTTGATAGCAACGTAACCTGCATCTCCCGGAGTAGCACTCTCACTATGAACATGACAGACAAAGAGAGCGGATAAAATATACAGTTCCTCAGCTAACAGTGGAAGTTACAAACTGATTCAGCCGAGGACGCAGGTTCGAAACTGAGTCACGTCTTTCGGATGGTGACGTTAAAGGTCGGTCCCCAGACGTAAATAATCATATCTGATTGATACACGTCTGTAAAAACCCAATTACACACACACACAGTTCCTCAGGTAGACAAAGGAACATTCCTTCACTGCTATTGTGTAAAACAGGTGTCATATGCATATTCACCTGTTCTACACATTTTTACATAATAGCAGAGAAGGGATGTTCCTTTGTCTACCTGAGGAACTGTATATTTTGTCCGCCTTCTTTGTCTGTCATGTTCATAGTGTCTGCCAAGCCGATATCTCTCGAAATCCGGTTTACATTCTCGCCAATTATCATCCACCTCGATCGCAATCATGCACTCTGTGGCCCGAATTCACAAAGCAAGGTTTGAGCTCAAACCTCCTTTTGTTTCGCCAAACCTCCTTTTGTTATTTACAACCTGTTTGTAAATAACAAAAGGAGGTTTGGCGAAACAAAAGGAGGTTTGAGCTCAAACCTTGGTCTGAGCTCAAACCTTGCTTTGTGAATTCGGGCCTGTGGGTTTCCCACAAATATCTATTGTGTAACATGGTTTGCTTACATCACTCAACTTAAATACATTACTGGAAAGAAGTTCGATAAGTGACATTTAAAAGGAATTTGAAGGTGACAGATATGTACACTAGTAGGCTTCATATGGCAGTGTATATACTGCTTACCACGGACATACACGTGGAGATCATAAAAAAAACATCGCCCTCTACAGTTCCAAGGCTACAATTAAAACTCAATTGCCCTACTACATACATGTATTACTATATTACCCAGGGCCCCTCTTATAAAGAATTGCGATTGTCTAGTTTGGCTTATGTCCAACAATTTGAAAGGAAAGCATACATGTACTTTAATTCTACATCATGAACATAATTATAGTAAACCTTCAGTGGCGGATCCAGGGGGGGGGGCACAGGGGGCACGTGCCCCCCGGCCAAAAAATGTTAAAATCAGCCCTTAAATTCACCCAAAATGTACTGAAAAACAAGGACGTGCCCCCCCCCCCCCGACCAAAAAAAATTATTAAAAATTTTATTTAAAAAAAAAACAAAAAACATGGCAATGGCTGACCTGAAAAGGTGACCTTACCCCCACCCCCCACCCCCCCCCCCCCCCAACGGAGCAAATAAAAAAAAAAAAAATTCGTGGCCAAAAAAAAAGAAAGAAAAGTTTCCTCTTACCCAGTGGACGGAATTTATCATTTTGGGCCTTCATCACACTTACATATATTAATAAGAAATTATATTACTATTCGTGAGACAAATAATTTCAGGAGCCTCGCTCGATTTAAAATGCGGGGAGTTATACCTGAAGGGAAGTGATGGGGCCCGGTTGGGAACACTTTTGCTTGAATCGTTGATGAGAGCTGGGAATGGGTGGTGCACCCGGGTTACATCAAATTACATAAAATCTTACCCGTCTGATCGGGCACAATAAATTTCTGACGGCTAGCAGGGGGGCTCGTGGCAAGTCAGAGGGGACATTCGTTTTTTACGAGAAGGGGTTTCTAGCCGTGGTTCCCCCTTCTCTGGCTACACGCTTGGATTTCACATATTTTGATTTTAAGGGTTATGTATGGGGTGCAGATTTTCCTAATTTTTCAGCATAGATTCCAGCACTAGTTCTGTATTTGGGTTGGATACTCAAATCGGTGTGTAATACAATTATAATACAATTATCATATTGGTGTGAATTCATGTACCGACACGGTCATGGTGTGGTACGGTATGTCACTAAAACAGCTCCCGTAGGATTTTTGTGCCAAAGTTGATTTCTTTGCTGTTTTGGCTTCAAAAGGGTCCCAATTGACCAAAAATGATGGGGATTCAAACTTTCAGACCCCTCCTTCATTTCCTGGGGGGTCGTAGACCGGGAGCCAGTGGGGGTCAACCTAGCTGGGAAGGAAACCAATTTTAATGTGCACAGACGTAAAGATCGCATAGCTCCATATACAAAATTGGCCGTCTGGCATGTTCTAAGTGGTGGGTGTGGCCAGGGGGACGCCCCCACCAAAAAGTGTCCCTTTTGACGACAAAAGAGTATTATGTAAATCATATTTTAAGGAAACCTTAAACCACCATGAGTGTGGTGTCATATGAAACAGAGAGTCAAATTATCTACATTTTGATACCAATTTCAAAGAAATTGGGATTAATTAACATCGCAAATTTAAGTAAAAAACATGATTTTTGTGATTTTTTTCGAAAAATTTAATTTTATCAAAAAACATTATTTTCCATATATCAATATATCAATACTACTGGCAAAATTCAGAGGAATATCTACAATAAAACACCTTTTTGGCTCAAAATTTATATTTCACACACTACATCACTCATTGAAATTGATATCAGAATGAAGGTATTTTAATTATCCATCTTTTGACACCAAATACATGGTGATTAGAGGTTTTAGTTCAAAGTTATCTTTAAAACTCGATGTAAACACACCAAACAGGTCCTTAATACACTAATGCACGTATATGCATCCAGTTATTACACATGTAGGCAAAAATGTTGTTTTTGTGGATATCAAATCAATAACTTTGGATTGCTATAACTTTTTGTTGAAACAATATATAAACCTCTCTCTCTCACATGATATTGTCGTTGTACACAAGCAAATTCCTGGAAATTTATGAAAAAACGCAATTCTCCGATTTTGATATATGGAAAATAATGTTTTTCGATAAAATTAAATTTTTCGAAAAAAATCACAATAATCATGTTTTTTACTTAAATTTGCGATGTTAATTAATCCCAAATTCTTTGAAGTTGGTATCAAAATGTAGATAATTTAACTCTCTTTCATATGAAACCAAACTCATGGTGGTTCAAGGTTTCCTTAAAATATTATTTACACAATACTATTTTGTCGTCAAAAGGGACACTTTTTGATGGGGGCGTCTCCCTGGCCACACCCACCACTTAGATTATGACAGGCGGTCAATTTGTTTTGTGGAGCTATGCGATCTTTACATCTGTGCACATGAAAATTGGTTTCCTTCCCAGTTAGGTTGACCCCCCCCCCCCCCCTGGCTTCCGGTCTAGGACCCCCCATGAAATGAAGGAGGGGTCTGAAAATGTGAACCCCATCATTTTTAGCCAATTGGGACCCTTTCGAAGCCAAAACAGCAATAAATTCAACTTTGGCACAAAAATTCTACGGGATTACATACCATACGGCACTATCGTGGTTAAATGATACATGTGTAACCCCCATAAAAATGGCAGTTACTAAAATCATATTTTGTTAATTATTCTTTTCCTATCTCTATCTCTATCTCTCTCTCTCTCTCTCTCTCTCTCTCTTTCTCTCTCTTGTCTCTCTCTCTCTCTCTCTCTCTTTCTCTCTCTTGTCTCTCTCTCTCTCTCTCTCTCTTTGTATCCATTCATTTCATCTCATACTTCTAAGAAACAAACTCTGCTTTGTGCTCCTTATGCAGTTTAGTGCAATATAGGTTTGTTCTCACCCAGATTATTTTCTTCTCCCAGTTAAAAACTATTGCTGGTAGATAGCTTATTTGCTAGAGCTTTGACCATCAATAACACTGGACACAGTGTTTGGGATTATATTGTCTCCCACAGAATTCGGTGCCCTTTACCCTTTGTCTATTCCCTTTAATAGGACCCTCTTTATTTAAGTGGTGTTTGCAGGTAGATTGTGTCCCTTCAGGATGTTGCTACTGTTAATCTCTGTATTCAGGAGAAGTATAGTTTTAAGTGGTTGTACTAAGAAAAGACGAGCTTTTAGACCATGCTGTAGAGAGCTGGCTTGGAGTATTGGGTTTGAGACAAAGGATGGGTCGTTTTAGTTAAGGATGCAAGCTTGGTCCTATCACATGATGTTAGGTAACCAATAAGAAGTCTAGTTGGAAGGAAGGGTAATGTGGGTCTGGACAGTTTAATAAAACTTTGAAACTTATAAGTTTCCAGCTCATTCTCTGCCCAGCTGCCATTGCTTCGAACACTGCCCTGTATATATTCAATCTCCATGTTGGAGCATGTGCTACTAAATATATCTGTAGCCTCTACCTGATTTTCTTCTTCAATATATATATATATATACAAAACGTATATATCAACTTTACCTTCTTCAAGTTTCTCAAAGTTTTGAGAGAGTTTCCTGTGTTATATTTGATTGGGCATTTCATCCAACTTCAACCTTTTTGAGTTGCGTGGTTATCATCCCAGTTCCTGATTTTATATTGCAAGCAAGTGTTGGCTCTTTTACTAGGTAAGAACACTATATTTTGCTATGTATGTTTTCATTACTCTGTTGTATGAAGTGTGTGTATATCATGATGATATCTATATTTTGCTTGTATGACTCTGAGCGTAGTTTGAGACTGTACATACATGTACATGCTATAACTTTTTAATTCAGATGTGTGTTATACAAGATTGATTCTTTCTGCTGATCAAACAATTCAGTTAAATGAGAAGAAAAGATTATTATGGGAGATTATTTTGCAGTTATTATACTGCATAGCATGCGAGCCCTAAAATAGCCCATGCTGAAAGATAATTGGCTTTTATTTAGGGTAATGGCAACTCGTGCTAGAGGTCATTGGACTCTCACTAAATTTGGTGGTTTGAGATACTTGGTTGTAGATAAGCTTTACTAACCTTATCTACTGATGTACTGGTAATGTGTATTTGCTGTTCATTATGGTTATGCGCAGCGTGGAGCATTATTACGCATATTCAATTGCTGGACTTTTCCATTAATTGTAAAAGTCAAATGTTATTTTGGCAAATTCTAAATCAAGCGATATGGTCAGGTCAATCAGATAGATCGAGCTATCTATCTGTGGCATCCCTATCGCATTCATTATAGCTCATAATGATATGAATGAAAACTCTACTGAACAGTTGGTGCATTATGCTTTCTTCATTGCATGCAATTATTGTGATGTATACGTATTTTATTTATATTTACTAACGTGGGATAAGTACTATTTTGAAAAGGATTGTATCATGTTAATCATGAATTAAACTAAGTTATAAGTATAACTGAGTAAATTAAGTTGACAGAATCGCATTGATTCTTCCAAAGTTAATTAGATAAATCAAGAGGCAAACTCTCATTCTTTTCTTAATTTAATCTATTGAGGGACGAGCTCGTTATATATATATATATATATATATATATATATATATATATTTATCTTTCCCTCTGTTAAGGAATGTTTTATTAGAAGAGTTCTGTTCATTATGCTCTTTTACTAGGCGGCTCTTTTACTAGGTAGATCTTTTACTAGATCGGTCTTTTACTAGGACTTTTACAAGAGTCTTTTAATTGAGGAAATTCATCAAGCTTCAAGCTATCGTTCAACTTGTTCCTGTGTTCTGCGTGCTGCGACGTCCTCTTCAACGACACAGAGACGCCGGATATATTGATCAACCGCGTATCGCGAGCGAGTTCATGAACATTTAATAATTTGGTTACTTTAATATTTAGATAATAATCGGTTTAGTTATAAGTTATAATACCTTATAATGTTATAGTTGTAAGTTGTGGAAGTTTTGTTTATTTCAATGTTTACTTGAATTGCAGTTGTTATTGACAACGAGCTAATAAAGGCATTGCCAGGTTATTTTGTTAAAACGTAACCTCAAGTGTAATTTCTTTATTTATGGACCTGGGAAATTGTGACATTCGGGTTACATAAATTGGGGGCTCGTCCGGGAGCTAAATTTGCATATATGCATAATTAATATTCCTTATTTGATAGATACTTTATAATTACCTTGTAATTAATTAATATTCTCCGATTATTAAGTTTTAATTGCTAGTGTAAGCAATTAGTATTATACATTGTTGAAGGCATTGTACTTGTCTTTGTCATTATAGTTAAGAGTTTAAGAGCCAACACTTGCACAAGTTAGTAGAAGCAATGGCAGCGAACAGTTTGAAAGAATTTGGGCAGGAGTGGTGCAAGGAGGAGGGAATAACGGCAGATAATGCCCTCCTACTTGTGACACCAACAATGGCAATGCCTGATGAGGTATTTGCCCTGGCAATTTCGGATCGATTTCCCACCTTAAGTGGGATACTCAGAAAGAATGAGCCAACTAATAACGAAACTTTGATACTTTGTATGTTTGAGGGAGCCTCTCCCATTGTAGGTGTAGGGAGGGAGATACACATTTCCGTAGATGGGGACACAGTCTTCCAGGTAGTTAGGTTGGAAGATAGGGACCCCTCGAAAGAAGGTAGGGTAAATATTAAGGACCTAAAGGATAGTGGGTTGGTAGACGAATGGAAGAAAGCTAAAGAAGCCGCATTACTTAAAGAAGAGGTTTCCAAGAAAGAAAATGTTTCCCCTAGCCCTAGCCCAGCCACAAATATCTTAGATCGGGAAGTCCCTTCGTTGTCTGCGTCGTTATCAAAATGCGCGCTTACAACAAATTACAGAAAATTGCGCTGTTTCTCAGGCGCGAGGAACCCCGCGCGCGATGAGGACACTTATCCTTTGTGGATAGAGCATGTTGAGGGTCAGATGGATGAGTGGCAGGATCTCGGAGACGGCGAGCGCCGAAAGCGCATTCGCGAGGCGCTGCGCCCTCCGGCGTCAAGCATCATTAGTGACCTCCGCCGTGAGCTTCCCCACGCAGATTCGTATGAGTACCTCAAGGCCTTAGATTTGGCCTATGGGGACACGAACACTGACGATGAGCTGTTCGTCAAATTCCATAATACCACGCAGCTCGAGGGCGAGCAACCCTCCGAATATCTTTCTCGCTTGCAGGAGATACTGAGGCAGGTAGTGAGGCGTGGAGTAGTAAAACCTACAGACTCCAATCAGGTAAGACTAAAGCAGTTTATCAGAGGCATCTTGTATAATGAGATGCTCCTGATCAACTTACAACTCCGCGATAAATTAACCCACCCTCCTTCATTTCTGCAGTTATTATCCTCTGTAAGGAAGCAGGAGGAAGAAGACTCCATGAAGGCCAGCCTCACCCGGCCGAGACAAAGAGTAGACGCAGGTAAGCGTGCCGCCGCACATAACCGTGTGGAGGCCCCAGTTCAACCAGTCCACATTTCTCGTACTTCTATCCCCTCTGAATCTACTCCAATCCAGCAGACTCCTCACAGGCCGCCTCCTCCCAGGCCACATGGCAACACATCTGAGGTCATTTGCTTCAAGTGTGGGGAGGTAGGGCATATAAGTAGAATGTGCAACAGCCCAGCTGCCCCTGAAGCCATCAACAAGAAACTGATCCAATTTATCCTAGGCAAGCAGGGAAACGCCAAAGGACGCCTGGTAAGGGGAGACCAGGAGTCCACTTAAGTACAGCACCCCAACAGATATGCGATGTTCCCCCAGGACTGGTTGGGGACAGTATCACCCAGAAGTGCTGGGTGGATGGGATAGAGACTACTTCCCTCATAGATAGCGGCTCACAGGTGACACTCATTCAGAAGAGTTTATTCGATAAGCTCGATCGTGAGTTGCATTCTATGAGGGATCTAGTACTCTATCATGGCGGTGACGGAACCTTACCCTACTTAGGCTATGCCTATGTTAATATAGGATTTGACAAGGCCTTTAGCGGGACAGGGACCCAATTCAGTACTCTAGCCCTAGTAGTGCCAGATGCTAAGCATCAAAGAAACCATTCAGTAGTTATAGGGACAAATTCCGGTCTTTTCCGTAATTGCTTTGAGTCATGTAAGAGGTTAGCTGGGGTTCGATTTGCACAAACTTTGCAAATAAGTCCTTTTTGTAAAGACATCTACTCTTCTCTCTCTAAGAAACAGACACTCCCTGCCGATGGTAAACTCGGCACTATCAGAACAAGAAAAAGACACAAAGTTCATATTCCACCTCATAGCCGTCATACCATAATAGGTCAATGTAGAAACACACTCCGGGCACCAGCGACTGCGGTCATTGAGTCCCATTCCCCAGCTAGGTTAGCAAAGGGCTTAGAAGTGATACCCTCGGTAGTTGAGGTCCCTGGGGAAGCTTTTTGTAAGGTCGAGGTTCTACTTGTCAATAAGAGCTCTAAGCAAATCACCATCCCTGGGAACTGCCCACTGGCTGATCTATTCATCCCAGAGTGGTGCCGCCAACCTCCCAATCAGGCCTCTACTAATGCTATCCATGCATCATCTTCTTCTACAAACGCAGAAATGGGCACCACCATTCCACATGATATTGATGTTGTGGACCTCCCTATCAGTTGGGGCCCCATAACCCCTGAATGGAAGGAACGTCTTCTACACCAGTGTAGGCGGAGGAAAACTGTGTTCTCCAGGCATGACTTTGACCTGGGATGTTCTGCCTATGCTGAGCATCAGATCAACGTCAACGACAGCACGCCATTCAGGGAGAGATCTAGAAGGGTAGCCCCTTCAGACTTGAAGGATCTGCAACAACATCTGCAGCAGCTACTTGACCACAAAGTAATCAAAGAGTCTCGAAGTCCATACGCTTCTCCAATTGTTCTTGTTCGCAAGAAAAATGGGAGTTTGAGAATGTGCGTAGATTTATACCATGGACCTACATGCTTACTCGTCTTAAAACTAAAATCAACAACAACATTCCTAGCATGCGATCACGTGCTTTATTTCGGGAGTTATCACTCTTTTCTGAATAAGACTCTTTGTCAACACTCCACACTTGCCACTCCTTGAAAGCAAGTCGACCAGAAGAGAGGTATAGCTGCCTGAGATCCAGAGAAATTTGTTTTCTATCTTCAATTTTGCCGGATCTGTCCCAATTTCTAAAGATGGTAAGTTGTTAAAATAATTTAATTTGATTTAATTTGATTTACCTTCCTGAATTGTGTTGCTGTCGGATATAGTTCCAAAATAATTTGGAGGTATTAATACACATGATATCAAATTCCTTTCAGGCATATTTTTGTCCCGAAACCCTGGTCATTTTATTCACATACTGTCATAGGTGTAGCCAGGGGGCACAAGGGGGCCATGCACCCCTATTCAGCCCCTAACCCCCCCCCCCCAAAAAAAAAAAATGCAGTACCTCAGGTTTCATGTATATGAATTGTATTCACCCCCGGACTCTTACGTGCGTTCGTGTCACTTGACCAGGCCGAAGCGTGCATGCACTGGCGTACTGATGGGGGGAGGGGGATAGTTACCCCCTCCAAATTAATACTCAAACGTGGTTATTTCTAATTCGATACCAGTGATTTATGTTGCTGAAATGACATAATTTTCCGGGATTTTTCCTCGCTTTTTAGTTAATTTAACTTTTTAATGCATATGTTGGTAAATTACAAATTACCAAATCAACAGTCAGGCAATAAATATGCTTATTTAGAGGTCTACATGCTTTTGGGGGCGGACCACACGCCAATTAGTGTCCTTTCAGTGTCACAAATAAGGTATCAAAATATGCTCATCTGGCTGTAATTAAACACCTAAAACCCCGAGCTTCCGGGGCTCTGCCCCCTGGACCAAACCAAGGGCCCTAAAGCGGGCCCCTGGATGCCCATCTGACCGTAATTTAATGCCTAAAATCCCTGAGCTTCCGGAGGCTCTGGCCCCTGGCCCCATGCCCATTAGTGACATGCCAGTGTCGTAAATAGGTATCAAAATATGTTTATCTGACCGTAATTAAATGCCTAAAATCCCTGAGCTTCCGGCGGCTCTGTCCATGGACCCCAGCAAGGGCCTTAAGGCGGGCCCCTGGATGCTCATATGATGGTAATTTAATGCCTTAAACCCCTGAGCTTCTGGGGACTCCGCCCCTGGAGCCCTCGCCAATTAGTGTCCTGACAGTGTCACAAATAAGGTATCAAAATATGCTCATCTGACCGTAATTTAATGCCTTAAACCCCTTAGCTTTTGGGGCTCTGCCCCCTCGACCTGCATGTCGATCCGTCACTTCTGCCCCCCCCCCTATTGAAAAATCCTGGCTACGCCTGTGCATACTGTATAAAGCATAATGGTTTCTCTATGGATGGAATCCACTTTCCATACATCGGCACGGTTGATACGTTAGGCAATAATCTGGTCAATAATCACTGCAGCAATAGTGAAACAGACTAGCACAATTCAAATCAGACTTATATTCTAGGGTTGAACTTACTTACAATAATATTACTTTATGATTTAATCACTTTTTTTCAAAATAATATTCCATCCTTAACCTACAAGTTTTGGGCTTTTCACTAAAAAATTTGATTCCTCCATTATCGTGTAAGATTTATCTTGGATTTTCCTTTCTAATCCAAAATTTCCCGAGTTTTGTTTGTTTGAATTTAAACAAATTATGCGATGATTTTGTTTCCTTTAAAAAACGGATAGTCCCTGAGATCGATATAAAATCCACTTTAAACATGGGGGAAAGGTGAAGCGCCATTTTGCACATGACGTGCTTGAACAGATCGCGCAAGCGCTCGAATTTCTAAAACCTATTTTTCTTTTTAACTCTCACTTTCTCCCCTGCTACTGAACGAGGTTATCCTAGATAACCCTAAGTTTTTTGTTGTTGCTTTCTATGTAGTTGATAATGCATGATTAAAAGAAATAGAAAGAGGGAGAGAGAACCACCATCATTATGCAATAGTTCAGGTTTGTGTACTGAACATTTTAAACTATTTTTTAGCGTCTCAACCCTTACAAAATAGCGCAACTATTTTTGAGGACAAGCATTATACTGATTCTGGCTAAAGAAAATGTGGAATCGGCAAAGAATTGAATCTATAAGATCGGATTTTTTTTAAAGAGGTATTCCCAAATGACATTATAATAAACTGTAAAATATAATGGACTGTTCTGTATTCATACAACTGATATTTATGATTTCTTAACGTGACATAGCTTCTTCTCCCCCTGTAAACGAAAAAGAAAACAAGGTTATTAAAAGGATCATGCGACAAACAATTATTGTGATTCAAATTGATGCAAATTTTCTTTTGAAGAAGCACTGCTTTTCACCAACTTTTACAAATCTCAGCCATGCTTACTGAGTTGTGACATTCCATTCAATTTGAAATACTCTTTGAAGAATACACTTCTCCTAATCTGACAGTAATCTGACAGCACACTGGCAGAATTGCAAAATGCCCTTTGATTAATATACGATACACCAGCCATGCTTACTGAGTTGTGACATTCCATTCAATTTGAAATACTCTTTGAAGAATACACTTCTCCTAATCTGAAAGTAATCTGACAGCACACTGGCAGAATTGCAAAATGCCCTTTGATTAATATACGATACACAGGCCCAGGGGCGGTAAACCGGGGGGGGGGGGCACGTCCCCCCTCAATTTTTTTAGGGGGATCTTCCCCCCAGAAATTGTTTAAAAGTGCCTTCGAACTGCACACTTATTACCGACAAAGTAAAAGTGAAGTGCAAAAAAGGGAAACAGCTTGGTTTTATACAATAGTTTTGCTATGGAATGTATTTTTTTTAATACAACAAAACTTCAAAAACCTGTGACGGGAGAGTCACTGCCGTCATCTTCGCCCCTCTCATTCACTTTGCTCCCTCGTCCCTTGATCTAACGTACTGATGGGGACGGGGAGGGGGGCTTGGGGCAGTTGCCACCCCCAAATAAAATTCAAACGTTTTTCTCACTCTTTTGTATGCGTTTATGGAAAATGACAAATCCCCAAATTTAAAGTCAGGCAAAAAAATATGCTTATTTAGAAGCCTACATGTCAGAACCCGTGGAAGCACAGGGGTTTTTAGGCATTTTATTACGGTCAGATGGGCATAATTATTATTTGTGACATGCACTGGCAGGCCACAATATTTTTGTTGAATGACGTAAACCATAGTCTGAAGCAATATTTCATTCAAATGAGACTTGCTAAAGATTAGATCTCTACATCTTTTCCTCTCACATGATTCTAAAGTTTGTGGCAGATTTGTTTTGTAGAGCAATATATTTAATCAAATATCGCGGAAAGTCCTGGACTTACCAAATAACAAGTATTACGCACGAATTTTGCAAAAGCAGTGAGTAATTGCTTCCCACAGGACGCAACAAAAATTCCCAGTTTGTTATCCGGAAGCTGGAGAAGAATCATTTTCGCATCGTATACTGGTTATAATTTCAATGATTCTCACATCTATCTATAGTGTAACAGTAACGACCATCTGTGACACTATATAATAAACGATGTGCATGAGAGTGATTTTGTTTGGTTAAAACTTTGACTGACAGTTCGTCTTCTACGCACGTGTATTACTGAATGGAGTGCTTTTAGCCATATTCTTGCAATAAAAGTGTATAATTTGTTATTATTTTGTATTTAACAATTAATATACGTACAAAAAAAATCTCTCGATGTTAGACCAACAAATCCACACAATTTAAAGCCAATCATGTCTATTTTTTCACATTTCGTCCTTGCAGTAAATCCCTTTACGCCTAAGCCTTCTAACAATGACAAACTTAAACTAATTTGTATATTCTATACGGTATAACGAGTCATTGGAAGGTGCCCAATTTTACTTCAGATAAGTGCCCCTTTTTATTTATAAAAGGTGCCCGTACCACATCTTACCACCCCTAATAGGTGCCCTCTCGTAATTGTCCCTATTCAAATCTGACAGGTGCCCATTTTCTTCTGTGATGAGTGCCATTTTTACTTCTGATAAATGCCCTTTTCTTGTTTAATAAGAGCCACTTTCCTTTCTCACCAATGGCCCTTCTCACACGTCTGATAAATGTCTCTATTAAAATCTCACAGATGACCCTTTCCTTTCGACATGTGCCCATTTTCCTTTGTAATAAGTGCCCCGTTCCATTTTTACAAGTGCCTCTATTCATCGCAGGTAGGTGAGTGCCCCTTTTTAGGTACAATACATACCCCTTACCAACTCTAATTTTCATTTCCGGTAAGTGCCCTTTTTAATATTTGAGAGGTGCTCCTTTAACTTTGTAATACATCTCTTTTAAGTGCACCCCTTTTTGACGCGAGCCCCTATCCTTTCTAATTCGTGCTATTTTCCTTCTGATAATTGCCCCTTTTCCTTTGTAATAAGTGCCCTTTTTTCGTTTCTGGTGAGTACCCCTTATAAGAGTAGTGCGCCATTTTGACCTTTTTTTTTTACCTTGACAGGTGCTCCTTTTTTCTAATAAGTGCCCTTTTAAATTTGGATGTGTGCCTACTTTTCCTTTCATCATAAAATGTGCTCCTAATTTAAAGCGTCTAAGAGCAACTATTCTTCAATTTCACCCGAAGCTCGCTTGCTACGCTTGCTCGTGAAAATGAATTTTGTTTCTTAGTAAAGATCTTTTCAGTTTTTCAGGATCAGGATTGTTTCTCCTCTTTATAAGATTTTTTTTTCGCACTGCGCCCCAACAAATCTTCAATATTTTGCTCGCTCGCAAATAAATATTCCGACCATCACACCCAACTGCACAGTATCTTGGACCATGTAAAGAGAGAAACAAAAACGAAATCATCCCCATCAATCTTATCTCAATGTAGGGGTATAAGGGCCTACCAATGTTTAAAAATTGTATATTTTCGCTTTGAGGTTTCCCTTTGTAGGAGACCCCTCTTTTTCTCTAGAAAGTGCCCAGTTTTGTTGGTGTATAATAAGTCAATGAAGCAAAATACGACATTTCACCACGTAGATCGCTCATCGCTAATAATGTTCTTTTAATTTTGTTTATATCTTTTTCATTACAGGCAGCTAACTTATTGTTTTCCAAAGATCAAATAAAAGGTACGAAAAATAAAAGTCCGAATGTTTCAATTTTTAAAGTGGGAGACCAAATCTATAACAAAAGGGTAATATAGGATTTCCCGGCCAAATTCGCGAGTTTGTCAATTAATTTGTTTTGCGTTCAAATTCGACGGTTTTAGTGCAGTCAGGTATATCTCGGGTTTATATTCCCTTTTCTAGTTTGGAATTTTCGTTAGAATCTACGTATGTTTCATTCAAATTAATGAACAATGCGCTTCTTTCGCTATTTGGTCATTCGATTTGGCGCAACACGATTTTCTGACAACGCGACGGTGTACTTTTAGCATTCTAATTCATTTGTAGCATTCAAATTAGCCCCACCTTTCCCGGGTATATGAACATGTCCGTGCAGAAATGCCATATCCCTTGATTTCGCCCCTTCTTTACTTTATGTCTGACTTTACCCATCTTCATTGTCCTGAAATTGAATGGAATAATAGAATATAACCCCAATGGCAAATCATGCATTTTAACTGCATTATTTAAAAACTGTAAAAGTTTGTTGCAATTCTTCCCCCTAACATTCCTAACTTGAATAAAAAAATATTACGAATACGAATGACAGGTGTTAATTTGAATGATAAAAATTATGCTTCGACAAGTGAATGTTAATTTGAATGCTAGTTGAGCAGTTTCTAAATTGAATGACAGATCTATGAAACCCTTCGACCAAAATCCTAAATTAAATACAAACACTGGAAAATTGAATGATAATTGGCATGGCAAAGCCGATCTGCGCTAACTTAAATGAAAAGTAAATGAATTCAAATGACAAACACGCGAATTTGGCCGGAAAATCCTATATAAAACAATTTTAAACATGATACTAGTAGTGCAATTGAAGGGTAAGCTCTCGAAGAGCATCAACAGAAAATAAGATCACGAAAGATGTGAAAATAATAGCTGGTCTTCTCGGATAAACAAAATTCTCGTTAACATGAGAGGATATTGGTTGGTTGGCTGGTTGGTTTGTTTGGTGCTAAGAAAGCATGTGTGTGCTTGTAAGTAAGCAACCAGGGGATCTACGGCTTTCACTCCCTTCCGAGTGACTCGGTAATAAGGATCATGAATGCCTTACCAAAAGGCACATGCGTATCGACTTGGTTTGGAAAACGGGACCTCCCGGTTAAAGATAAAGACCAGTTATGGTCATGCGATTGCATTATGAAAGAAACGTTGTGGAATCGATCATAAAAGATTGATCATCTAGCATTTAAGTATTGGTGTGTACTGCAAGGTTCTGGAATCAGCAAAATGATAAGAAATTTGGCCCAGTCTTTGTAAAGTTACAAGCACTGTACACAGAAAGATGTATATGGGACTACGCACACGTGCGCGACACCGGTGCGTTTATCTCTCACAGTCCAATAGAAAAACTAATTTACCAAATAGGCGATTTCCCGGCAAAATTGTTATCATCATGTATTAGTCAAAACATATTCTTTCACATGATTGGTAATAAAGAGCTTCCATTTCATTTTTTGAAATTGGGGCGTTTCCAATACTGGTTTTTGTTTTGACTAATACATGATGTATTAGTCAAAACATATTCTTTCACATGATTGGTAATAAAGAGCTTCCATTTCATTTTTTGAAATTGGGGCGTTTCCAATACTGGTCTTTGTTTTGACTAATACATGCTGATAACAATTTTGCCGGGAAACCGCCTACTAATTGATATATTTGGTAAATTAGTTTATATATTGGACTGTGAGAGATAAACGCACGTGTCGCGCACGTGTGCGTAGTCCCGTATACATCTTTCTGTATACAGTGCTTGTAACTTTACAAAGACTGTGCCAAATTTCTTATCATTTTGATGATTCCAGAACCTTGCAGTACACACCAATACTTATATGCTAGATGATCAACCTTTTCTGATCGATTCCACAACGTTTCTTTCATAATGCAATCGCATGACCATAACTGGTCTTTATCTTTAACCGGGAGGTCCCGTTTTCCAAACCAAGTCGATACGCATGTGCCTTCTGCTTTACCACTGAGCCATCACACCTGCTTGCAATTTGAAGATTGCAATATTGAAGTAATCAAAAGAATAACGCCTAAGGAAAAAACAAATTCTTATTCAATCCAAAAATTTCTAGTCAATTATAGAAGTAATTTGCTTTCAAGAGGAACGACTTTGCTTTTGTTAGCAATTGCCAGTCTTTTGCTAGTTTACATGTATATCAATATAATATGTATATTACTCGATCTTTCCTTTTTACCTCTCTTGTTCCTTATCTCCTCTGTTTTACTGGCACCATATCTGCACTTTATTTTTTAATCTTTTTTGTTACCTCTTTGTAGAAATCCGGGAAAAATTCTCCACATTTGTCACGGATGGCAATAGCACCATCTCTAAAGAGCTCTTGGTTCCAGCGTTGATAGAAGTGGGTCAATACCTTACACAGACCACGGAGGAGGATTCGTCTTCTGGGCTTAATCAAGTGCTCGAGTTTACATTTGAGCGTGAGTTCAAAGTGGAGGAGACTATTGAATTTTCTGAGTTTTTGACGATGGTAGCAGAGCAGACAACGTATACTGCTACAATGAGACCATACTACACAGCTTTCTTTGCCGTTGACACGAATCGCGACCGAGCCCTCAGGTGAGTTGAACAGTGATAGTGATAGGGTAGTCTTAAGGGGTGCTTTCCGTGTCTTTTATGAGGATGGCAATATATTTATCAGGTAGATTTGAAGAAGAAGAAAAAGCCAATGGATTGTCTGTCCAAGTTTCCGCTGTTGGAGAAATGTGGACAATCATGGAATCAATTTCTTGCTAAAGACGAGGTTAAACAGCGTGTTAGGATACCCACTCCCTGAAGTTGCCCCTCCCGCTCCCTCCTTCCCTTCCCCCGCCCCGCCCCTCCCCCTCCCCCGACTCTCTCTAAAACTATCAACCAGACAATTATAGCTCCAATGCAAATAGAATATTTGTTTTAGGGATGACAAAAATATCCGGGTATCAGTAAATTTGTATCACGGGTTAGTTGTCCGGATGGTTGTGTGTTTGTAGTTTTTGCCCGGGTTATGATTGTCCGGATGGATGGGGATGATTATTGTGATTGTTTTGCTTGTACAAGAGTAGATCAACTATCATAATTTTATTTTCTATATGGTATTGTCGAGAACAGATTTAGCACCTCTATGCTGGATCAGTATTCATTACATTTGAAATTAAGCATATTCGATGATAATTTAGTCAATGACTTCAATGGAATGATCCAAATTCGGAGAAAGTGAACTGAAAAATAGTTGCTATTAACTTTGTTAATTATTTGCTTGCAGTGAAGCCGAGTTGCGTAAAGCGCTTTCAACCACTGATCCACCGATGAAGGAGGAGGATATCGATGCATTGATCAAGAAAGCCGGCCTTAATGAGGCCGGTAAAATCGATCTAACAGGTGAGTGCATTGAATGGATGATGTCAGTGGCATAGTGTAACCAACCCATCGAAGGGGAACTGGAATGATATGGGGAGGGGCACCGATCTTACTCGTAAGATGAAATACGAATTTGAAAGGCTGCTGCTCAGAGGAAGAGTATGGGAGGGGGTTCAGGAGTCTTCTTGTCTCGTCCCTTCCCCCCCCCCCCCCCCCCCAGTTTCAAAACCTCACAGTCAGCTGAGAGTATACACTGATTCTTATGTACTACTAAATGAACCTTCCATAATTGGTCCCAAACATCTTTTTTTCACCGTTAAATCGTATGGCCAGTACTCGAGTTTGCCTATAATCTTCAAAATATTAAAAGCAGTTCTCATTCGACGTCATTTTGTATCGCCTGTTTAGCGGAGCGAGACATATAGGCGTCACTATATCCGGTGTCGTTGTAGTTGTCGTCGTTGTTGTCATCGTTCGTGTTCTTGTTGTCGTCAACACTCATGTTGTATTCGCAATAACTTTGTATAGCTTCGAGGTAGGATCACCAAATTCAAACCCCAGGTACATCTCTTGAAGGGGACAGATCAAGTTTGAAAATGGGTCAAATCTGAATGAGGTCAAATGTCAAAGGTCAACTAATTTTTCGTAAAAAACACTGTACACGCAATAATTGAATAAAACGATGATCCACTACAATTTCATCAAACTTGATATGTACCTTAGTAGACCTTATGAACAACGCACAATCTCAAGATGATTTCGGATCGCCAGGTCAACATTTATGTCATGTGAGAAACATTGCACTTAAGGGATATTCAATCAGAGGCAGAGGCATAATTTTCAATCGTGCGCAGTTGAATATTTTTATTTTATTTTTTATTTTGTTTAATACCATAGGTTTTAAGATCGTATTAGCAGCATTCTTAAGTAGTGTTCTCTCATTTTCCAGGGATAAAGTCTCTGCAACATTAACATTATTGCTTTGCGTAAACTGCGAGAATCAAAATTTACAATCTGAACTTCTGAAAGCTCAAAATGATATGCTTTCCATATGTGTATTGAGTTATTATTCGCATGGTGAGACGCATGCGAGACAACGTTTGGAGATTGCCTTATTTCTTTTCATTCACAACATATTTTTTCTCCTTTTCTAATTTTCAGCATTCGTTCGTGTGATTCAGGATTCTTTTCTGCCACAATGATGAGTGCTTCTACTTTAACATCGACAACTTGTCCTTTTTATTCTTCTTGAGGAATATGTGGGAGAGGGCCATATAATCGTCTCGCATCATTTTTCTTCTCTTGATTTCATTATGTTCCGATGATTTTTTTTTTTTGAGCCGTCACTTTTTGTTTTGTTTTGTTTGTCTTTTTTCAAAGCTTGGTTCGAATTCCACTTCAATTTATTTCTTTACATTTTTTCATAATACCGAGGGTGTTTTTAAAATGTTTGTGTACTCCTTCCAGGAATAAATGTTGCGTTTTTCCTCATCTGAAAGCCAACTATTGGTATCGCATTATTTGATACCTTTGACATCATGATTTTGTTTATTGTTTTTTAATTGTATCATCGTGACCATGGTTAGAATGGAGGTCGACTAAACACCAAAGAATATGCATGTCCGAAAAGTGACATGGTATACAAGGGATAAGAGGAATTTAACTTTCTTAAATCTTGATAGGCGGTAAAAGCACTTATCTAACATTACTTTAATGATGTGGAGGTGTCGTGAGTGATTCACTTGACTCATTGAATTAAATTGAATGGTCTATTGAGCATACTTCAATAGATTGTTATTGATTGTTATACATGTACTTATTTTAATCTTACAGTTACAGGTACAGCTTAGAGTTAGTTTATTATGCTTTTATCAACCTTGCAGGTTACATGTTACTCTTAGAGTTTAGATTGTTTGTACGTACTGTAGGCCTAGTATAGTTTAGTTATACTCTTTGTAAGATTTGTTGTCATTATACTCATCATGTTTATACTCCCTATATATCTATGTAACATATGTTTTATGGACCTCTGCCTTGTGTAGTTGAGTCTGAAATAAAGTTCTGAATTGAATTGAATACTGAAAATGGCAGCACGAAGGCTGTTTTACAGTAAAGCACATGAAACAAAAAGCAAAGTTAAAATAATTACTACATAACACTTGCGAGAATACAGTCAAAGATTTAATTAATAAGATAAAACGTTATGACAAAAACCCCTCTAAATCTGGACCTCTAGGAAGATAAGAGCCATTAACTTAATGACTCTAAATATAGCTATTCATCCGTATTATTTTTTAAGTAATTAATTTTTGTATTAATGTTCAGTATATGTATTGTGTTTGTTTATACGGAAAATCAAACCAAACCAAACCAATCAAAGGCTTAAGAGCCCGACACTAACGTCCTTTGGCAAGGTATTAATATACATTTGCCACTCTCCACCCAGGTATTAATGTGTACCCGGTAATTGCTAGGGTAATGGTAATTGCAGGGCCCGTAGGAAGAGCATTATTAATACTGATGTTGCTACCCTGAGTTAACAAAATTAATATTTATATTATTATTATTATTATTATTATTATTATTATTATTATTATACGACAATATCACTTACAGTAAAGTGGAGAAAATGGGTATATGTAAACAATTATATATGGGGCAATTTATAATCATGCAATGTTCACTAAATAAAAATCGGCTAAATAATACTCTGATATTACTACCCTCCATTTTGTATGTTGTCTTTGAAAATTAATTTTCATAGTAGTTTTGGGAAATGTACATCCTTAATTCATGTAATTTATTTGCTGTAAAGAATAAATCATGTATTTAAACAAATATATCACAAACGTTACTCGCTTCGTTGACAAAATGGTAATGACAGCGATGATGATGATAATGACGATGATGATGATAATTATGACTGTCCTCCTCAAGGTTTGCGATTCAATCATTGTGATATATTATTATAAATATGAAATAAAATTTACACAAATAAATTATCTAATATCCATTAGTAGTAGTCACTCTATGCAGAGCGAATTTATTTCATTTTACACATAATATAAACAATGACAATATAATCCAAATAAACAACATATAAAACAGGAAATTAGCATTGAAATATCTTTGACAATTCTTTTTTTAGTCTTGTAAAGTAAAATTATTTAGTTACAGGAAATGAAAAATGAACTTTCTTTGAAGCATTGCTAGTTTAAGGTGTAAGTTCGCACAATAATAATTTAAACTTTATACATTCATAACTGATTTTTGACAGATTACGAAGTCAAAGAAATATGACGGATAAATACAACGAAACAAAAACAAATAAGAACAGTGACAGGATGACAAGATGAGGATGGTATATAGATGAAGAAAATAGGAGTGAGAGAGTAACAAACAGGAAAAGAGGGAAAACGGCAGAGAAAGAGAGAGACAGAGGTAGAAAGAGTGAGAGAGAGAGAGAAAAAGAGAGAGAGAGAGAGAAAAAAGTAGGGAGGGAAAGAGAGGGAGAGGGGAGAGAGACAGATAGACAGAGAGGGGGAATCATTTTTTTAGTATAGTATCATAATTTATGGAAACAAATCATACACGAGTCACAATTACGATGTGTATGAAACAGGATGAACGGTGGTTCTACCGCTGGATCGGGATTTCCGTCAGAGTCCATCCATCGTTCTTGACGATATTTCATTTCTTTTCATTTATTTTCATATTTCTCATGTTACATATACATTTCAAATAAAGTACAAGGTATTTTTTCAATGATACATAATGAATAACATAAAGATAAGTGGCCAATATAGAGTACTGATTTAACTAAGAGGACATTTTTTTTTTTTTTTGGGGGGGGGGGGGGGGGGGGGTTCTCGAAATTTGAAAATTTAACATTTGGCTCCGTTGGGGGGGGGTAAGGTCACCTTTTTAGGTCAGCCATGGGATTATCTTTATTATTATTTTTCTTTCTTTTTTTAAATTAAAAAAAAAAAAAAAATTAAATCTAAAGGGGGGGGGGTTTACACACATACAAATACCGAAGGGGGTTTAACCCCCCAAACCCCCCCCCCCCTGTGTACGCGCCTGGTTGTTTTTATACGCTCAAGGGGAGGTTACGAAAACAACTATGTCTCGAAAATTAAAGCAGTCATTATTACTTTTATATACTGAAAAAAAAGTCAACTTATGACACCACCTTGGCTTTAACACAAATACAAATACCGAAGGAGGTTTATCATTATTATTATTTATTTTATTTTTATTTCTTTTTTAAATAAAAAAAAAAAAAATCTAAAGGGGGGGGGGGGTTACACACATACAAATACCGAAGGGGGTTTTACCCCCAAACCCCCCCCCCCCCCCATTGTGTACGCGCCTGGTTGTTTTTATACGCTCAAGGGGAGGTTACGAAAACAACTATGTCTCGAAAATTAAAGCAGTCATTATTACTTTTATATACTGAAAAAAAGTCAACTTATGACACCACCTTGGCTTTAACACAAATACAAATACCGAAGGGGGTTTAACCCCCCCCCCCCCCCCTGTGTACGCGCCTGGTTGTTTTTATACGCTCAAGGGGAGGTTACAAACACAACTATGTCTCGAAAATTAAAGCCCTTTCGTGCCCTACCAGGCGATGGAAGATTATCTCTCCCGTCATTGTTCTCGCTCGGGACTTGGTGTTAATTTTTCACCTTTCTTCGCAACCCGCGCACAAAATAATCGGATCTTTTGACAATATTTTGAGAGTACTTCAACCAAATCAAGAGAAAATTGTGTGACAGGGTATTTTTTGGATCACTCTTTCAAATGACGGTCACAGAATTTTGAAAATATGATTGTAATCTACAGATATTAAAGGCGGTCCGGGGAAATTGGTCACGCGCGATGTATGGTCAATGACCTTAGAAATGTAACTTGTATGTTCACGGTGTGTCCATAATTATTTCTATCGTGGCCGGGATTAAACTGCGTAAACCGTGTATACCTTCTAAATATGAATCGATATGAAGTCGAGAATCTGGTACCATGCACTACTGCAAAAAAAAAAGAATCTGAAATTATCTTCCGCCCAAATTCTTCTAGGAATTTGGCTAGAAAATATGACAACGTTGTGGGTACATCACTGTATCGACTATTAAACATTAAGGAACAGGGAATAGTCACGGTAGACTTAAACGACAGAAGAAAGAAAATATAAAAGAAATGTAATTTTAAAAAACCTATCCTCTCTAAAAAAAAAATCGAGTGATCACGGACGTTACTCCTCTGGAGAGTGAAAATGTAGTGAAAAAAGAGTGAACATTCACTCTTTTCTTCTTAGAGAGCACTCTAAAATCAATCGATTTTCACTCCTAAACAAGTGATCGCGGACGTCACCCCCAAGAAAGTGAAAATAGAGTGAAAAATCACTCTCTTTTTAAAGAGAAGGATCTGATCAGTTTAACGGTCTATGCAGGGCATACAAAAGTGACTATTCGTTAAAAGTTGTTTAAATGCTTTTAGGCAGTGGTTTTGCTGTTTTATCATCCCGGTTGAAAAGGACAATAACCAGGCAACTAGTTGCATGCAGTATACCAATACACATCAGAATTATTGTACACATCTTTCACGCAAAATAATATTCACACAAATAAGAGTCAATAATGTTCATGCTTCGAAGGTATTAGTGTGCATTTATTGCCAAAGCTGGGGCCCACATAATATAACGTAATGCAATTTATTGCACAAACAAATATGGAATACTGACATTTTCTCATTGCAAATTGTAATAGCACAAAGACAACACACCCAACAGCAATGTATACATTTTTTTTTGTATATATGTTTGTTTTTTCGGATCATAAAAATAAAAATAAGAAATGCATCTCTCTAGAAGCTGGACGGAATTATTCTAATTTTCTGCTGAGATATATACACAATCTTTTCATAGAACACTGTAGAAAATAAATTTCAATGGGATATTTACACCATTCCTTTTCCGTAAATGATGACAGAACTCTAATAAAACCAAACTGTTGTGACAAGGCAAAGTAGATTACCTGCTTGGTCACAAAGACTCACACATTGCAGTGTTTTATTGATTTTGTCAATGAAATAAGAAACATATATTAATTTTGTCGAACTGCTCATGCACATAATATTAACAACATATTATCGAACGTATGTTGTATTTTCATCTCAGAGATAGTAATTACGAGTTTACTGAACAAAAAGTAACAATTAAAACACGACATCACGATATCTTAATATAAGTTCGAAAATCAAGAAAATATCTATAAAAAAAAAGGATTGCTCATAAACGAAATATAAATTAGGCCTGTGATCTGGAGTGCGTAAATTTAGAACAAAATCAGGCCTAAAATCTGTTGTGCGTAAACAAATATTCCTATGTCACGATCTAAAACGTATTATTTTTAATGTCTCCATAATAACCGACAGCTGTTTACTTTGGTACCTGTACAAAAAGAATATTGGTATTATATTTTACATTAGAAACGTGGACGATATATTAAATAACGGTTAAAAAGAACAGAAAGAAAGAGAAGGAGGGAACAAAAAAATATGACGCAAATTCAATGCTATTGTTCATCATGCATGGAGATCCGAAACTTTAGCATGTTTTGTTTTCTGCTCTTGATCAATGATTATTTTGTACTGAATATGTATATCATATAAACTGGTCTTTGGCTTAAAGTTTTCCATGGATTAGTTTACCTTCTCATACTCGGTGCCATTGTGTGTCGTTGACTGCAACAAACAATATAATTATCCAAAGAATAGCTATAGGCTAAGGATTGAAAAATCATACTGTTCTCACGTAATAACTAGTCAGTTGGCGAGTTGAATAGGGTTTTGACAGAGAGCAAAATTTTGCAGCAAAACGTCGCAATGACTATAAACCAAGTAAACACAAACGCACACCCATCAATTAATTCACCTGAACATAACTATCTTCATATCAGCGTATCAAGTTGAATATGGTCACAAAGGACGGATTTATATGGGAACATATTGTCCAATATTCAATTTTCAATGATCAAAGCTCGTTCAATATTGATATGTAACTCGCTTCCCTGATTACATCTTCCCATGAAACGAGACGATTATTTTAATACACACTGATTCATAATGTTGAATACTCTGATTAATATGCATTCATGCTTTCAATATTATAACACTGATTACACAGCAGCTTCCGTAAATTGGCAACGTCGGAAGACTTCGATCACACACAATTTTAGTAGTAAAATGCGTATTGGGACGTACACACTTCAAAAGCAGCAGCAAAATTTCAAACGTTCTCCAAATCGAGAATTTTTCTCTTTTATTGTTAAACCAATGGTGCCTTAAACCTTAACATTTTTCGAAAAAGGATATCAACATCTTCTATTTGTTTAATTGAATAGCATCCTTTTCATCAGTTCAAGTCAAAGATGGAACCGATTATGAATATAAAAACCATTCTATTTATTTCCGCTGTTTTTAAATCAAGTTTGTTTTAGGTTATCAATCAACAAATCAATTGTTTGAGACTTTCCATTATAATGGACGATACAGACATTCTCACTTTCTGAAATGTGCCTTGACTGTTGCTAGGCAACGTGACCATTACGTCACTCGATCTCTTCAGGCTCCATCTCAGCTCCTCCTTCCTCCCTCTCAGCTCCTCCTTCCTCCTCTGGGTACTCAGACCCCACCCCATCAATGCCCCCGTAGGGTCCTTCATCTAACCTCAGGGTCGTGCAGTAGTGCTGTGACCTCGAGACGTCCAACAAGGTCAGCGCCGCGCGTTCGAACCCGCACGCGATCAGGCGATTGCAGAGCGCGCCCGTGGAGGAAATGATCCGGCGGTCGCGGCAGAGCACGAGGGCCCTGGAGAGCTGCTCCTGCGGGTCACGGAGCTCCCGTTTGATCTGGGCGACGGTGCGGTCATCGAGTCCCTGGATGAGCTGGGATGGGATGTTTTGGACGATGGAAGGCCACTCGTGAGCTCGGCTGACGTGGATCCACGACCCGACGTACCGCAGACAGAATTCATTCATTGCACCTGGAAAAAGATAAATAAAAATATCTTTTGAATATATTTTTTAATGAAACCTCAATATTACAAAATAATACTTCATCATCAAAATTGTTTTGTTATGGTACAATAGTCCATATACCGACGTGTTTATGTTCGTGTGTGATTATATTTCTCGTCATTCATGCTATTACAGCGCATAGAGAAACTCTTGTTTTTTTTTGCACTTTATGAATATTGTATTATTTATTTATTAATTTATTTCATATTGGGTGTCGAATGGAATCCAAGGTAGGCCTAGCTTTGTCTTTGCACATCTCGGAGAAACTCCTGCTTTCGGGTTTTCAAAAACACTCCTGGCGTTATTGTAAGATGAGTATGATAAGAATTGGATAATAATGATACGATAATAAAGGATTCCATGCATCACTCTCACTAGCTGTCTTACTAATATGTGCCGAGTTTTGCCGAGCAAGCTCATCATGGTATATCTCGACACTCTACTCAGCAAAATATGAAAGGGGCTTGCGGCTTTCATCATCATTTCAACATCATCATCATCATCATCGCCACCACCACCACCACTACCACCACCACCACCACTAACACCACCATGTTACCTTTCGAAATGTCCACTGATCCCAAACGGTCGATGACGTCGATGGTCGCTCCAAGCTCGGCCTTGTCGAGTGCGCTGATGAGCTCGGTGTGAGACGCGTACTTCCCGCGGGTATCTTTCCAGCGTGTGAGCAGACGATAGCCCAAAAGTGCAGCTTCCGGTCCCGCCGGAATCTTCATAGGGGCCGTATCGACGTGGAGCTCGTCTGCCAATGCTTTCATGCTATCGGTGGGGATAAGCGTTGATATGTAGCGAAGACCTGAATAAGGAAAAGAAGGGGGAATGATTAATCCAATCCAATCCAATCCAAAAGATATTTTATATAGCGCCTTTTCCTTGTAGTTACAAAGCGCTGCACACACGCTCCACAATGTTAGGGCCACTTAAAAACAAAAGTTAGACACTTCTCAGAGATCAGATTAAACGTGTTTCCTTTGCATACAGACAGAACCAAGTCTTTGAAAATGTTATATCTCTTTTCACACCGCTAAACAGAATCAACATTTAATACTTTAAAGCGACTAATAAATTATTGGCCAATTGTGATGATGTTTTTTGTTTTTGTTTTTGTTTGTTTCGTTCTTTGGTCGGTCTGTTTGTTTGTCAGGTGTCTGTCTTGTTTGGTGTAACTAGTGTGTAAAGGATAAATCAACGTTCATGCCACATTCATTTTCTCATTTGAATGAAAATGATAAACCACTTTCATAGAGATGGATTGTTGTATTCCCATTTAGTTTACCGTAACTCATACGAGATGAAGAGATTGGCTGTCCTTACATAGGTACACAAAATAATTAGGCAGCTGTCGAGAATATGGGCCTGAAACAAAAGACTAAAGGCAGGGCCGAGCACTTCGGAATATACTAATAGATTTCGTCATAATATCTACCTTTCTTTAGAAATCTAGCCATCTGATTGGTCGAATTTGGAGTCGTGATTTTAGCCGTGCCCGCCTAACGGTCAATAGAAACAGCGATGCCTTTCATAGCAGTCAATATATCTTTATTATGTACTTACGTTTATCGTCGATCAGGACTTCGTCGAGGATAGCCGGGTTCTGTCCATAGCCAATGTCTTCCATATGAGCCATCAGATTCTCGTACGACGCCCTCGAGTCCTCGTCACCGCCCTTCTCCTTCCACATGACGAGGGCGTTGAGCAGGTAGAGACGCTTGTTGAAGTCCAAGCCGTACTCCCGGGTGATATGGCGCTTTTCGTCGTCGGTGAGACCGAACCTGTCGACGAGGGCGCAGATCTTCTCTCGGCTAATGTCCTTGGTGACCGTCCGAAGCATGACGACTACGAGAAAAAAATGGAGTGAATTCGTTAGCATTATTGACTATTGCTCATGTTCAAGCTACTCTTCATCGTCGCCGACGTCTGTTACATTGTTAGGTTCATCTTTTCATTTTGCCATTTCATCGTCATGTCTGTTTGTCCCTTTTTCATTCTACATTTCTTGAATATAGTTTTATTTTAATATTTCCCCTAATTTTTGTCATACCCCCCTGCGTCCGATGTTTCTTGTTTGACTCATTCCTTCTCCTACCGTTCACTGTCATTCTCACTCTTTATCAATTTATATAATATTCTCTATTATTAATAATTATCCTTTTACGGTTTGTTCTCAGTCTGTTTGATTATTGTTTTCTTTCTTCTACTAACACTATGAATGGCTACACTTTAATTCTTTTAACCCGTTTTCCCTTCTGTTCAACAATTTTCTATTCAATAATTATTCCTTCCTCCTTTTTATCCTTCTTCTCTCATTGTATAATTCTTCTGAGATTTTCGTACATGTATAATCTCAGTATAATTTCTTTCTCCTAGTATCAATATATCCTTTTTCTTTCTTCCCAAGTTCTTTGTTTTACTTTATTTTGGAGGTATATATATCTGTAAATGTTATCTTTCTTCCCTTCTATCCTACTCTTAATTTTTTGTAGAAAGATAACTCACTATCCCTGACGTCGACTGACGTCATATCCGTGATCTCATCAGCAACCGTTGGGAGGCTGATGTAGCGTAGCGCCCTCAGCAGTAGAGAATGGTTAGCTCGACCTCGAAGTTTCTGATGTGTGTCTTCTCTCCATCGCCATATAATCTGTGATAGGGTCAGGTCATGGTAAATACTTTGAATTACCGAACCAATTGGTGAATAACCATAACAATTCTTTTTTTGATACATTATAGGTTGGATCGTGAAATGAACACACAAAATAAAATGATTATCTCCAAATCAATTACTTGGCTGATAATAACCAAAGTCAAACATTTTCAAAACGATCACAACTATTTTCGAAAATTCAGCTCAAGGGCAATATAAATAACCTATTGTATCCCAAACCATGCTCGGATTATCTAAGACGTCACTGTAATGTTTTGCATATTTCAATAGGTGATCCACAATGGTATAAATATTCCCTTAAGTGTTTTTCGAAAGTGGTTGCGATCATATTCTTTTTTGATTGAACGAATGAATTTCGCGTGTCGCCTTTTTAATACACTACTCTCAGGAACTGTTTAACCATCTTGCATGTATTCAGTTGAGTATGAAATATCATGTAAGCCTACATATTATGAAGAAAATGAATCAAGCTAGTTTAAATTATACCTGAAATTTAAACTCGGCCATCTCGGTATAGAATTTTTCCTTGACCTCGTCTGAGTTGACCTTCATCGCATCAGCAAGGGGTTGGCTGTCTGCTGGAAGCTGCTTGGCTATTCTTCGAAGACCTATCCGAAAACAAAATTACATCAAAATGTCTCGCGGTTCTGAATAAAAGATGCACATTAGGTTTTCAAAATGAAAGTAAAAGAATATGTATAAAGACACCATTCTGTATCATGATTCCACTGCAAATAATGATTTGCTTACATGGTTTTACCGAAAATATGGGTAAATGCCTAGAATATTTATTTCAATCACGTAGGAACGCTATCAACATCGTAAAGATCTTGTTCAAAAATGCATCTTAGTTTGCCAGTACGATATTGCCGCCATTATCATAATGAATGATATGGAAATAAAAAGGTTAAGGAGTTAAATGGAAAACAGGAAAGGAAATAGATCACTATATCTTTGACTCATGCATGGCTTTCGTTCCAAGTTTAATTCTTGTATAACACCGGTTGTATTGTTTCCTTGGAGTTTAAAAAAAAAACAGCAGGTAGGGGCAAATCTTCTTCTCCGTAGTATAATCGATGGGCAGAAGCATAAAAGGGGCATTGTATTTGGATGCATCGTCACTCCGACAAGCGAAGAGAAAACAAGTCGTCACATTTGCAGTTGCATTCTGAACTAACTGTCCTTGGCACGTTTTTTGTCAGTACTTATGTGTGCTTGAGTTATACCTTGATCCACCACGAACCATTATTTCAACTTACGGTTTTCGGTGAGGAGATTCCTGTTGAGCGTAGCCGCGGCAGACTTCATCTTGACCGCTTGGAAGGCCTCGATGAGCTTCTGGAACGTCGCTTTGTCCCCCTGCTCTCCCTTCCACTTGTCCAGGACACCGTACCGTTGTTCGTCGAAGTCGCGATGATGAGGGAGCATGCCGAGGTTGAGGACCTCGACCTCGCTGAGACCGAAGAGATGCATGCAGAGGGGCGTGACGAAGTCCTTGGGGATGTCCTTGGAGATGGTTCGTAAAACGACGTCTGAAATGAAGAAGAAAATGAATCGTATGTTGAGGATGGTGGAGAAGATTACGATGAGGATGAGAAGGAGGAGGATGAGGAAAAGGAGCACAAGGGCGAGGAGGAGGAAAACCATGATAATAGTAAAGATAAGGATAACAAGGGAGATGACACTAATGACAATGATTGTTATGAAACAAGTAACTGTAATAATGATAATGATGATTCCAGGCGCGGATCCAGGATTTCTTAGGGGAGGGGGCCCAACTTTTTTCATTTTCTGCTCCCGAAAATTTGAAAATCGCGCCTGCCGAAAATTCGCTCAGTGGGGGGGGGGGGGGGGTGTGGGGTTGGGGTATTTTTTTTGTTATTTTTTAATTATTTTTGCTCCCGAAAATTTGAAAATTTAAAAAATCGCGCCCACGAAATTTAAAAATTTGCCCCCCCCCCCCCAAAAAGGTAAAAATCACGTATTTTAACATGATTTTTTTTCTCAAGGGGGGCCGGGCCCCTGCCCCCCCCCCCCCCCCCCCCCTCGGATCCGCCACTGGATGATTCCCCCGCCCTCCCCCACTCTCCGGTAAAGGGGATACTTTTCACGCAATGAAGTCCGGCCCGTATTGACTTATACACACCGGAGATAGGGTGTGCTTTCAAAGGAGGGAACATGCATACGCATACCCTAAATAACACTGGGTGGTGATGATGCTTTTAGTCAAAATGGAGGTGATGAAAAAAATGATAATGATGAGAATGATGACAAGGATGATGATGATGAGAATAATAACAATTACGATGAGGATGGTAGAGGTAGAAGTAGTAGTGGAGGTAGTAATATTGCTACTTACTATATAATAAAGATTGTCAAATACTACGGGGTGACAACAAAACACAGAATAAATATTTTACCTTTCGTCAAATGATCGTCATCGTATGTGTCTTGGACGTCAGGGGGCGCTGGTACATCTCGATCCTGAAAAAGCATAAAGTTTCCAGTGAGTTGAGGATGAATAAGAAAAATTGACATTTCTCTTGATGAAATAATGATGCAATAAAGTAATCTAACCCACTTTCCCTTCTTCCTAAACTCCTCCATGTTATTCACCCATGTTTACATATCTTATCTGTCTCCACCCCTACCATCCATTCTAAATCCCCCTCTCTATCTCTCCCTCTCTCTTTTTCCCTCTAACTCTCTCTCTCTCTCTCTCTCTCTCTCTCTCTAATAATTATTATCAATATAAACCTCCTCTTCATCGCCCTTCTCCCTTCCTCCTCCTCCTCCTCCTCCTCCTCCTCCTCCCCTCCCTCCTCTTCTTCTTCTCCCTCCTCCTCCTCCTCCTCCTCCTCCTCTTCTTCCTCCTCCTCCTCCTCCTCCTCCTCTTCCTCCTCCTCCTCCTCCTTCTCCTCCTCCTCCTCCTTCTCCTCCTCCTCCTCCTTCTCCTCCTCCTCTTCCTCCCCTCCCACTCCCCTCCTCCTCCTAATTATCATCACCACTATCTGTTTCTATTTTTTTCTTCTTCTTCTTCAGTCTCTTCGTTTGTCAGTTTTTATATCCTTACATCACTGACAAATATATGTATAAATACACTGTTTATTTCTCGTTTCCACGTTCTTACAAGTAACTAACCTTAAAGAGAACCAATTTGCTTGACGATGCTATGTTTCCGAGAACGCTCTCCAGGTTATTCATAATGAACTGTCGACCGCTTCCTTTGTTGGTAGTGCCCGCGTTCAGAGTGACGCGGTGAAGCAGGACCTTACCGGCATACTCCGGTTGGTACCGACCGCGGTAAACTCCGGTTATGAAGAAATCCTTGCGGTTGGGACGGTTACGTATATACCTTACGAGGAAGCGATCTTTCCGGTAGCTGTTGTCCGTGAAAGTGTTGACCTGGATGTCACCTGGAGAATGGAAACAAATTGATGGCTATAGAATATTCTCCTGGGCCCCGTCTTACAAAGAGTTGCGAAAGTTTGCAGTATCCTATCTCTTATGTAGGCCTACATAGTTGCGATTGATATAAATTGCAAATAAGTTGCGATTGATATCAACTCTTTGTTACACAGGGCCCTGATGTTAACAATAGGGACTTTTAGATTCGCACCAAGACAATGGGGATTGCTACGGTCGACGTCCTTTTAATGCACTGCCTTGAATGGACGTCACACGTATCAGTCCACGCAAATCTAAAAGTCCCTATTAACACTTCTATAGACGACCAAGATTGTTTTGTTCATATATATTTTTAAATAATAATGATTTGCTGAAGAATAATTTATTATTATTAACCCAAAGTTTAGTGATCAAAATGTTTATCTTCATTTTTTTTTAAATCGTATTTAATTAAAACACACAAAGGAAATGAGTTGTTGATTTGGATTTTGTAATTTCAGTTTTGTAAGTTCAACGCACTTAACCAAAGTGGGGGTATCCAGCATATCTGTGTACGTCCCCTCATATCAAGTCTAGAAAGAAAAAGATAATCACTAAGACCGTCACGTTGGATCAACTGGCATGCAGGCTGCCTACAGCCTGGGCACATTATTTCGTCCCCAGGCCTTACCCCCCTTAAAGGCACACTGCACTACTTGTAGCTACTTGCGCCCTCTATATAACAAACAATGCCTAATCGGTGACCATTGGTCCCCCATGATCCTCTTTTTCTTATGTTAACTGAGAGCTGAGTTGATGAGATAACCACCCGTCCAGTGACCTTGAAGGGCAGTCTAATCCCTCCTGTAAACTATGGCAGATAAGCTTTAATAGTTAACTTAAAGTACAATGACAGGATATGCCACTAAATTTTAAACTTAAATTTCATGATGCTGAATGTCTTACCAAGTAGTCGTATATAGAAGGCCTCGCCCGTCAGCGCCCGAACGGGGGCGCTCCTGTTCGATTCGCACACCGAGTAGCCGTTCTCTGTCATCTGCTCGCACACCTTATCGTGGTCCTCGCCGTCCTTGACGAGGTGGGCGACGATCTCGGTGGGGTCGTTGTCGCGTTGGTGCACGACGAAACGAATCATATCACGCTTGGGATGAGGCATGGTTGCGGTGGTTGTCGACGGGGTTGTCGAGTCCGATATGGGTCAAAATGTTTTCAGTTATGCGTACTCTCTTTCTGATTACGCCGACGCACGAAGCATAACCTGAAAGTATAAGAAAGAAAGATTTGTTTGTCGTGGATCCGGGATTCTCTAGCCGAGGGGGCACGTATCCCCAAAAATTCTTTTGGAAAATTAGTAAATAGAAAAAAAGAACCCATATTTTAAAGCTAACGATGTGTAACAATAGATAGACGAAAAACATGTTCGGAGTCGCCCCCCCCCCCCAAATAAAAAAATCGACTAGATTTAGATCATTTTATTATGACTAGGGCAGTTCCAGTCTGCCCCTGGATCCAAGATTCTATACAATTCTTTAAAGACTCAGAGAAGGGTTTTATCAATTTTTGCAGGTGCCTTTAGGGTTTGATATTCAAAAGAGAGAGCAAATGAATACATCTTGGAATGATTTTCTCTAATGCGTGTCTTTTCGTTTTCTTTCTCCAATTCACCTCCCAATCCAATTTATGGCATTCACAGCACGCTGTACAGCCAGGGAGCCGATATAGGGCTTCACGTCAATAGCCATTCGGCTTTATAAACGTTTGCAGTCGTACTTCAAATGAAATACTACAGTAGCCTGCAAAGATGTTCTATCAATGCAAATCACAATAGAAGCTTTACACAACAATAGTTTCTGGTTTATACCATGGATCTGTCTCCCGCAACACGTAAACACGGCTGAAATGCTTTGATAGTTCTATTGCATTTTAGCATGTAAGTGTGGCAATGAAAATATAGTAGGCCAACAGATATGAGTGCATTATGAGTTGAAAGCAAAAGTGAATCTTTATGAACGTGACTTTAAGGAGTATTAATGCACGTCTGATCAAATATCTTTAAATTGAGGCATAACAACGTTTAACTGATACTTTAACAAATGGTCTTGTTTTGCTGGCTTCACTACATAAGTATACTATTAAACTTAACGTAATACTGCCGGCGAGTTTACCAAATTGTTTCAACATTTCAAAAAAAATATACGGACCGATATATAGCTGGCTACAAGCTGATCCTCTCTCATGAAAATGGTGTCAACAAATAGGAATTTTTTGCAATATTTTCAAATTTATCCACTCTTTTTTGCCCAGTTCAAAAAGATTGAAGTGACCCGTTTATTGTAAATCAGTAGTCTGAATGCAGATTGCATATATTTGGTGTTTACACGCCGAGAAAAAAAGATTTGTCCGACCTAGCAACACAAATGAAATTTGCATTTATATAACTATTGATGTATGCCTATGATAACTTACCATTAATACATTAACAGGTGAATATATTGGGTTCTCAGCAGTCAATTGACAAAGTGTGTTACATAATTATGATTACATTACAAAAATGTCTTGTTGGAATCATTCCAAATAAGTTACAGCGTTGTCTTTAAACTTGTTTTTTACATAATCTACTCATGTGATGCGGTTATGTTATAGCGATAGTTACGGGTATGCCTATTTGAAAATCAAACGAAAGTTCTGTAGCCATTGTTTCAAACCACATTAATTAACCACGCGCACGCAAGTATACAATATACATTGAAATATAACCGCAAGGTGGTTTTTATAACCACATGAATATTATGACATCTCGATAACTTGACATCACGAATTTCCCTGCAGGTTCTGTTTCTGTCCCATGTTCCAAAATAGCCTTGTTTCTAAGAGTAAACATAATAGAAGGTTCATAAATCATTTTTCGATCCACTTCTCTCCATGTTTACTTTCTGTTTTCTCTGCAAATACTTCTGTCGCAAAATGCCTCGAAACATTGCTCAATTTATCAAATACCTATGGCTGATATACTCCGTAGACTGAGTGAATAAATTCTGACAATTCTAAATATCTTAGCAACCATTTAGTATGAAACCTTCAGTGTAAAAAAAGGGGCATTACAAGGAAATTTTCTACCCCCCCCCCCCCCCCCCCCTCTCCGAATTTCTCTTCTCTCTTGTCACCATCTCAGTTTACTCTCTATCTCATTGTTTTTTTAAAAACAATTTAAGGAATGATATGGCATGATCAAGATGATGTGTTTTGATTGAGAACATAATATTAGGAATGCAATCGTATGGTATATACGCAGCCAATGACAATATTTGATGAAGTGGACTTGAATGTATAATCATTGATCATAAGATATTAATTCGCTGTAATCATAAATTATGTTGCTATACCGCATCCATACAGACCTACGTGACAAAGGTGGTTTCTATGTACTGATGTTCATACATTTATCAACCTTTTAATAGGCTAATTTTGCCACTTTGTAAGAAAGATAACTCTCACAACACAAACCACTTTCAGTTTCAACGGGAGATAGAATTCTCCACCGCATCTTATGAAGTCAAGTTTTCAAGATGATTTCATGAAACCGCTCTATTCCTCAAAAAACTTACCCGTTCCAGACGATTTCTTGACTCGATTTCCTCTATACTTTATTGAAAAGTTAAGTTATCCCGAAGAAATAGGCCTATGTGTACCACTTCATTGCCACTACCGGCACAGACCCTAGCAGCAGACAAACTAGAAACGTGAGGGTGTCTGTTGTGACTGTGCGAGAGTCCCCGGCGCGGAGCGTGACCCGCTGCCTAGTTACGAACACGACCTTTTCATTTTGAAAGAACCCCCTCACAATACCCCCCCCCCCCCCCTCCTTCACGTTATTCCCCACGATCTGTATCATCACTCTTTCTCTCATTGTGATCTTGGATTCGGGTTTTCATTCACGAATTTCATCGATCGGTGTCTTGGATTCTTTAGAAAATAACGGTGACCAATCTTCTTTACATGATGATAATGATTGGGAATCCATTGTTGAAAACCAGCCAAGCCTAGGTTGATATGAATGGAAAAGAATAGCCCACAGTGGATTTTTTTTTTTGAGGGGGGGGGGGGTACCGAGGTGAATATGTATTAACTGGGTCGAACCCTTGAACTGTCTTCATCTCTCTCCCTCTCTGTCATTCTCTCTATCTTCTCCCCCTCCCTTTCTACCTTCTCCATTCCCTTCCTCTCCAATCTCTCTCTGTCCTACCTCTCACACTGTTCATGTCAACTCTCTCTCATTCTCTCTATCTCCCCTCCCTTTTTTTTCTTCCTCACTCTACTCCTTTTCCATTAAATTTTTTTTTTTTTTTAAGAGCAGCCAACTAACTTCTTAAATCCTTCACCATTTTCATTCTTTCTCACGTTTCTCTTTTTCTTTCTCATTTATATACTAGCAAAATGATGTAATGATACTCATCTCAACTACAATAAATTACATCAATTTCAATCTATGCGTAAAAAGCGTAACCGCCTGATTATATTTCATTTTCACTATCTCTGCTCCCCAGTAATTTCAATGATAATAATAATATACTTAGTATAATATACCCTTGATAGCTCTGAATCCAATGGCTTAATTACAAGAGACACATGGCTGATTCTGACAAGGATATTATTCATAGTTTTCTCACAAAAATAGGATTACTATGTTCCGTTACCTCATTATATACATCTTTTACAAAAACAGCGCATAAGTAGAATTGAAAGATATGAATGCTTATACATGTGTTACAGAATAAGGAGCAACTTTAGAATACCCCGCCACAAAAATTGACAAGACGTTCGTAGGGTAACTAACGCTTCACAAATGAAGCTAAATCTGAACACTTGAGTTTCTTAGGTAACACTAAACCTAATCCTGTCCCTAACTCTATCCTCGAACTCTAACCAGTTGGACGTTCATGTACATAAACCTACATAGTACGACATGTCAATATCATAAGTATGCAATACTATAAATATATAAATTCATAAGCCTCCATGTCTGGTATACTTTACTTACACAAATACAAAATTAATGACCAATTTAAATGTCATTTTTACCATGAACATGCAACTTAAACTATTCAATGTCCCTCCTCTGTGTATTTGGAACTATTTAACTGCTTTGAAGAAGAAAAAAGTAGTTTATCCAATATTTTAACTTAACCAGTTAGGTAAAATTCAACTACAGGCAATAATCAATTGAATTATATTGTCCATTTCATTTCTTATCCTTCCCCTTTACTTTGCCCTTCTATTTCTGCAATCTCTTTATTTTCTATTTTTATTTTTTCTTCTAGCTTCTATCAATTCTTGTTTTTCATCACTCTCCCTTTAATCCGTTTCTTTTCTCTATTCCTTTCTCCCAAATTTTCCTGACCCCCTTATTATTCCATATCTCCTCATTATTATAAATATATTATTTCTTTATCATTTCTTCCTCCTCTCCTACATATTTTTTCAGGACTTTATTTTCATGAGAAATTGAACGGCAATCTGGATAAAAGACAATGCAGTGTCGAAATCGAGTTTGTTGGAATACATGTATACTCATACTACATGTAAGTAAAGGGGTCTTTAAACCCACAAGCAAAATATATATAAAAGCACTTTAAAAACAGATAATGTAATACCAAAACCATAATAAAACTATAATATCAAAAGGGGTTATACATGTACATAAATTATGAAAGATCTTTCACATTATTCCCACCACCTATTTTCATTTTTTAAACCTGAGATTACATTTTCGGCTTTTTGATTGTTTTTTCAAGCACCAGGCATACATCTATATATACAAGGTTACATCGCCTATGGAGAGCCAGAAGGGCTCACATCATTAAACACATGGTAAACTATGGAAAGCCAGAAGGACGTTTACCATGTGTTGAATGATACAAGTTAATAATGCCCTCTTGGTTTTGGGCAGATACTAGGAAGCTTTCCTTGTGCATGACCCACTTTATCTACGTCAAATTTACTGACCCATCTTATTTCAAAGAATAGTTTTGATGTCGTGACTCAATGGCACGGCAAATTGTGATCACGTGACCCACTCTCGGAGATCAATACGCAGCTGAACTTCTCGTTCACACCCCAATGCAGATTTACTCTGAATGCGGTTGTAGGATCCAGCCAACGACCAAATCCTCAACTTGAAGATCTTAATGCCAGTTTCACGTCATAGATCAAGGGGTGTTACACAAAGATCTTATTGTCGAACTTAACTCTAAGTTGCACTTAAACATTATGGAGAGCCATTTGTAGACTTCAACTGAAATATATTCAAAAGCAAAAATGCAAGTATTTTAGACTTTTCATATATTCCACACCAAGAACATGAAATCTCCTTGATAATAGAAAATATGAATGATTTGAATCAACATTTATTGCCATTCAAAATAGCTTTTACAAAATATTTTCAATGATGCTAATGGCTTTCCATAATTTTTAAGTCCAACTTAGACATAATTTTAACTTTATAGGATCTTTGTGAAACACCCCCCAGGTCGGTTGTACAAATCAAAAGCTCTCATATATTATAGTCTACAACGACATGGAATTTCTAACCTCCAAAATACATCTTTTTCCTGATTGCTGCTAGTGACTGGGCATCATGACAAATTCTATGACCATAGTCTCCGCGAAAATGGGATCAAACGAGATTACACTTCGGTAAATAAAATATTTACTACCTAGAGAATATCCAGAGCTTTCCAAGACTAACTAAAGGTTATTAAAGCCTGTCTGCACTAGTTTGGCCAGGAGGGATTAGACCCACCTGCATGGTCAATGACAGGTGGTTATCTCATTAAATCAGCTCTAAAATAACATAAGAAAGGATCATGGGGGACCCACTGGCACCGCTTAGGCATTGTTTGCTATATAGAGGGTACTAGCAAGTAGCTACTAGTAGTGCAGACAGGCTTTAAATGAAAAATATATACATGAACATAAATTATCAGAGGTAATGTTTATATTCAACTGTCTTTTTACTGCCAAAAGCCGATGAGCTATCTGCTGATATCAAAACCAATTTTTTTTGTTGAAGATCTTGTTATACCAGAAAAGGGAAATATGCCGAAAATTGTCTCTTCCACAGCCGACACATATACAGCGTATACATGCATGATGACACACACATTTAACAAAATGCATATTATCATTAATATAGTATAATATCAATTGAAAGAATGCTACACCATAGCATCCAGATTTTAAAATGTATAGGATTCATACATTTTTACAATAAAATTCTTGATCCCAAATATATTTGGTCATATCAAATATAATTGGACTGAAAGGAAATTGACAATTGACAATTTGAGCACTTCTAGAATAAGAATACTAGCTTTGTGTACCTACATCTACATGTTTAGTTCAGAAATATCGGCTTTATATGTTTTGTTTGTTCTTGTAATCAAATATAGTAGGCAAATATTAATAGATACAATTTCTTTTTTTTAAATAAAAAAAATATAATAGATACACCATCTTAAGCCTCACAAAAAAGTTGCAGGGAATGTGTGGGGGGAATGCCTCCTTCACAAAATCTACAACAATTTTGATACAACATGCATTTCTATGCATGATTTTTTTTAATCTACCACAACCGGAACATTGATATGTCATTAGAATATTTTTACTATTATTGTGTGTGTACCTAAAACGATTGTCATGACTGCATATATTTTATATTTCTAATCCTTCTAATACTGTACATGTATTATTATTATTATAATCCGTTTCAATTCAATTTATTTCAGTAGTCATACCAGAGGAGCTTAAATTGATACTTTAATGGTACTTAGCTCTTGTTTTGGTTTTCTTTCACAAAGTGAGACCTCCTTGCAACAACTAAATAATAATAAGAAGAAGAATCTGGATTTGCGTAGTGCTCAATACGAAATACTGTCTCTAAGCACTTTACAGACATTACTACAACTTGATTATGTTTTCTCTTTTAAGGGCCCTTGAAATGCACACAGCTTTCTAAATTTTTCCAGAGCTAAATTGATCTTCACTGTCTGCTCCGGTGTTTATCTCTTTTCTTTCTCCACCATATTAACCAGTTAGAAAAATAGAAGGGGGCCACAGGCAATTTGCCTAGTATTTAATACATGAACATGTATGTGTCTCCTCACAAAGATAAACAATTGCTGAGTTGTTCTTGTTAAAGATGTTGTCTAAGTTTTCCTTCAACGAGGATAATGTTCATATCACAAATTCATTGATTTCAAGATTAGAGTGTAAACTGGGGGAGAACAGAGCCTTGTAAAGTTTTCTTGTGTTAATCACTTACATATCTAATACTGAGTACCATTACAGGACCCTTTAAATTATTGATTTCACTTGCTTTTTTTTCTCTTCTAAAAGTGCCCCATACTTTTTAGGAGCAATTTTGTTATAACATCCGAGAGGTCCCCCTTGTCCCTGCCATGGTAAGGGGAGGGGAAGGGTGGATTTTGGTGCAGGGTTAGGAACAATTTTGAGAGGGAGAAAACGAGTGAGAAATATGAGTGAGAACAAAAATGGGTCAATTTCATAAATATTAGATGTACTGTATACAAACTAATGTTTAGGTAATTTGTTCCCTACAATGATGAATATGTCATACATGTACAGTACATGCAAAGGCAAAAGCGGGAGAAATAATGTCAACGGTCCGTTTGGAAGCGCTTAAAGATGTTGCATTTGTGTACGCCACAATGTGAAATGCTCTACACAAGAATGGCATATTTTTTATTTATTCATTTCATAGCCCTTCCCAATATGGGATAGTGTTAAAGGAAAATATATTTTTCCTTTTCCTTAAAAGTACCATCACTCACGATGGAATACGATACAAATTATAGTTCACATAAATACATGTATAAGCCATATATTTTAAAATGTAAAAATATAAATTTTCAGCATCAACAAACACATGTATGAAACTGAGACCTTCAGCTTCACCAAATGTGACAGTTATGAAGCGTTTCAATGTATTGATGAAGCATCTTCAAACCGAAGATGTAGTTCTCGTCTCGCGTCGTCGTTTCAATCGCATGCGCAAAGTCGATCATTCGGATCTCAACGTGGTGCGGCGAGAGGTTCGTGGCCCCTTCGTGGGGAAGTTTGGAGTCCTTGCGAGAGCTTTCCCGCGCGTTGCTGTGTTTTGTGCAGGCTGAGATGTCAGGTCCATGCGTGGAATGGTTGGGAGTTGGAAAGTGGCAGTGGTTATGATTGTTACCAGAACGATCATCCCTTACGATTGTTCCTCCTTCTACAGGAGCATGTGAAGTTCTCTGTATTTCTTTGACACAATTCACGTCCCCTTCATGTTCATGTCTTCCTGTGACTGCACTGCGAGTCACCTCAGTTCCAATTCTATCGCTACCTATCAAGTTACTCAATGGAACATTCGTCCTAGAGTCCCTCTCTTCCCCTTCTGTTCTAACTCTATTCTCTCTCTGGTTCTTGCTGCCTCTGTTGAGTCCACAAGAGCAATCATCAACCTCGTTATCATCACGGTCTGATGATTTTTTCCTCTTCAGAGGATACGTGTCCATTTTCACCGAGAAGATCTGATCGGTGTGGCCGTTGAGGCCGTTGATGGGCGTCGCCGCTCCATTGGAATGCGGGGCGAGGTTGGAGGGTTTCTTGAGGGCGTCGTCGTCGCCGGGAGAGACCGCGCCCTCATAGACGAAGAGCAGGGAGCTGGAGTAGAAGTGGTACCTGTCCTGGACCTGGAACCAGTCCAGGATCTGCTGCAGACGGACTAGGAACGAGTACATCACGTCTGTTCGGATGGTGTCATCCACGTTGAAGAATGTGGCTAAACCTGGAAAGGATACAATGCAAAATACATTAAATGTCTTTTAATATTTTGTAATGTAGTAGTGGTGGTTATTTTACCTGACTGCTAAGAAAGCATAAATGCTTGTTAGTAAGCAACCAGAGGACCGACGGCTTAAGGTCCTCTCCAAGAGACTTGGTAATGAGGATTAATGCCTTACCAAAGGGCACTAGCGCATCGTCTTGGTTTCGAACCCAGGTCACTGGATTACGAGACCACTGCTTTACTGACTGAGTTATCGTGCCTCCACTTGTAAATGATTGCTAGCTAAAAATATTGGAACATAAGACATGCTGAAATCATGTCAATTTGCAGAATTAGGAGGATAAGCCTTCTATATCATATAAAGTATGGTAGACAATAATATTGCCCCCCCCCCCCCATAACTATCCTTCTGCCTAGTGTATTAAAGTACAAGTAGTGTTAGATTGACAAACCTGTTTATGGAGTAGTTGTTAGAACTGTCCCTGGACAATGGTTCGAGAGGTGGTTATCTGGAGGAACAGGTGTCTATGTAGGGAGAGGGGGGGGGGGATTTCTAGTAATTTTCTTTAGGCATGGCTACCCTCCCTCACAATACCACATGAAGGAATCTACATATATACATAATCTTCCTATTGAGCAATACAGGATGACCGCAAGAATTTTCGAGGGAATGGCATCCAATGTTTAGGACCCTTTAGCTTTCGTGAAAATCACATCCGGACCGTCAAGGAAAAAGTTTGAGAGCCCGTGCTATACATACATGTAGTTTCTTTTTACAAGTAGAGCTCAAATTAGGCTTTTTTCCTATTAACATTCTGACGATTCTAAACTACATTTATCTCCATTTATCTTGTATGGACAGGATGTGAGCAAGGACATGCATGAAGACGGGAAATAAATCAAGGCCCAGATTATTTGTTTCAAGAAAGTGACATTAATTCTCTCATGGGTTCATTATTTTGTGTTCAAATAAAAGACATGTCACACTTCACATTGTTAGTTTCGAATGTACTTTAATAAATGAAGTCATTAGCATGGGGGCACTGCATAATTACAAGTGTATCATAAAAGGTAAAGGGGTACCTGGTAGGATTATTCCTTGAAATGCACTGTGCGCCGAAATCGGTAGCCGGAACTAAAGCTAGAGTAATAATTTCTGAAGCTCTTTGAAAGCACATAGAGACTAGGTATCATGCGCTAAACAAGAACGGGCTATTATTATTATCATTATTATTTAACCTCTCTGGTATTCTGTAAATTGGAACATTCTATCATATCAAGACACTAAATAAATATGAATACATTTACCGGTACTTGGTTAACAACTTTGCATAGTACTTCATGTATTAAGAAAATGGCGATGCCGATGCCGATGCCGATGCCGATGCCGATGCCGATGTTGTTCTGAAAAACTGTACATCATTCTTGGTTTCCTTTAAGCTTCCCCCCACCCATCTTCCTGTCCCTTCCCCTTCACTCCCTCCCTTCCTCAGTCAATTCCTTTTTTTTTTCTTTCTTTCTTTCTTTCTTTCTGTCTGTCTTTCTTTCTTTCTTTCTTTCTTTCTTTCTTTCTTTCTTTCGGTTATCCTATACTTTAGGGTGTTTTATTATTTTCGGTTGCTAACTTCAGTCAACAGCTCTACATGGAGTCGGGCTAACTCGGACCAGGGGACAACTCGGCCCAGGTACAAAAACAGTCAGTTTTTGCATGTTTAGGTTTAGGGTTAGGTTTAGGGTTAGGGTTAGGGTTAGGGATAGGGTTAGGGTTCGAGTTAGGGTTAGAGCTAGGGTAAAATGACAAAAAATAATCGTTTTTGTTAGTCCGACTCCATGTAGATCTAGAGCTGTTGACTGAAGTAGGAAACCGAAAATAATAAAACACCCTAAAGTACATAGGATAACCTTTCTTTCTTTCTTTCTTTCTTTCTTTCTTTCTTCCCTCTCCCTCCCTCCTTCCCGGGAAAAAAATATTTAACAAATTTGGGGGGCTACTTTTCAAGCTTGCTTGCATGGAAAAAAAACTTTTAATTTGTTTTGCATTGAACTCTATGGACATTTTGGGGGGCTCTTTAAGTTTTATGACTTTTGGGAGCTCTTTTTTTTTAAAATTTGGGGGCTAATTCACCCCAAGTCCCCATGTACTTTTCCCCCTGCCTCCCTCCCTGCTTCCCTCCCTCCCTATCTCTCCCTCCCTCCCCCTCTCTCTCTCTCCCTTTGCTCCCTCTCTCCCTCCCTTGCTCTCTCATTAATTCCCTTTGGTCTAGGGTTGAAGTTGAGAATTCTGTTGAAACTGACCACAGATCAAAAGCCCCAATACACCATTAAAGCATGGACACTGACAGGTTTTAATGCAGGAGGGACTTACCTTCTATCATATTGCTGATATTGAGTGTCTTTCCCCATGTTTTGTCGTATACCGTGTATTTCTGGCTTCGTGGGTGATACACCTAGATATAAAAAGTGAAGGATATATAATTTCAGTCTCAAATATTACACTAAATTTTACTGGTACTAGTTTAATGTAATGTCTTTAGAATAAAATTACTGAATACATACATATCAATAAATGTCTGGTTTGACAATTTACATGTACATGTATAATGCACCCAGTACAGGTAAAGTATGTAACGCAGATCAGTAAAGCAAAACATAATATGATAATAAAAGGCTGTACATGGATCAACAGCCTTTGGAATCAATAAGAATTCATAGAACAATTACATTAAATATGAAGCTACTAGGCAATCTATTCGATACAGCATGATTTTTTTCTTTCAATAGAATTGCCCCAAATAACGAGATGTATTGCATGATTAAAAAGCTGGTCCAACAGAGTGAATAAACTGCTTTCAAAGTATCATCTGTTTGGAGCCAGCAGGGCATTAATTGTTTAAAAAAGAAAGGATGATACCAGTCCATGCACTTCTGGCTCCACACCGGCGCTACGTGTACATACATGTACATACATGTTTTTTTCTGACAAAACTTGAAAGCTGCCCTTTGCAATGTGGACAATACATGTTGGCTTAAAGGTACTATGTCCCATTTGCAGGCCAAAAAAATGAAAAGGTTAAATTCCAACGGCATTTGAAAGACAATACTAATTTAGAACTTCCCTGAATAAAGGGGACTTGAAAATGTCTTTAAGTGGGAAAATAAAGACTAAATATTACTGTAGTTGTCGAATCGACTTAGGAGCTATAGAGCTAGTAAGTAATAGTCTGATTTTTCAGACCATTTAACCGAATGGTCGTTCGTTTTATGCTGCGCAAAGATCCAATCAGTTTAATTTTGGCCATTACAAGAAGTGGGTTATTGATGTCTAATTCTTGGTCCCCTGTTGTTTCTGATCTATATAAATGATATAATACACTCATCAACATTATTCTCATACTCACTTTTTGCTGATGATACCAGCTTGCTGTTGGCTGATAAGATTAAGAAGGCTGAAGATTTATTACTAATTGCGAATCAAGAGATTCAGAAACTGTATGCATGGTATTGTTGTAATAAGTTATTGTTGAATGTTCAAAAGACCAAATGTGTTATTTTTCGCTCCAAGGGTAAAAAGCTTCCAGATGGCATTACTTTTCTTAATGTTGGAGGCCATGATGTTGCGCTTAGTGAAAATGTTCAGTTCTTAGGGCTAACCATGGATGAGCATTTATCTTGGAGAAATCATTTAGATGCTGTATGCACAAAGTTGTCCCGTAGTGTAGGTGTCATTTTTAGATTAAAATTTATTTTACCTGAAAGAGTGCTGATAACATTATATAATAGTATTATTCTTCCTTATTTGACATATTGTAATGTTGCTTGGGGAAACACCTTTAAGTCATATCTTGATAAGTTGAGAGTATGGCAGAAGAAAGCAATACGGCTTATTACTAATTCTTATTATAGACATCCAAGTTCTCCATTGTTCCTTCGACTAAGAACGTTACCACTAAGTGGACTTGTGTCGTTCAATTGCATATTGTTTATGTTTAATCCTAAGTCTATGCCTCATGAATGTACGTTAAAAGATTTATTCCGTCAGAACTCGCAAATTCATAATTATAATACACGTCAAAGGTGTCTTATTCGACAGCCTTTTGCAAGAACAAATGTCACTCTGACCTCTTTCCATATCTCTTGCATTAAAGAATGGAACAGTCTGCCTGATGATATAAAAAATAGTACAACTCTTTCTAGGTTTAGAAGTTCATCTAAAACGTACCTGCTTGAAAGACTGACATAGTTTTTATTCGCATCTTAGTAATTTCTCATTCTGAAATGCTTTTTGACCACTAAGGACCTACTCGTCAGTGTGTTTGCTGTGTATGGTGATGTGCGTGTGTGGTGTCTGTGTGTGTGTGTGTGTGAGAGTATTTGTATGTTCTATATTCTGTAGCTTAGTATTATTTTTCATCCATTGTATAATCATACGTAACATTCTTTTTACTGTAAATGTATGTATTTTGTTATAGGGCCCCGCTCACAAGCTTAGCTTCTAAAGGGGTCCTAAAACCATTCAGTTTATGATGTAATCAAGTTAGAATATGTTGATTGATTTACTATTACCAGTCTCTTTTTTATGTAACAGATTATATCATGCTTTGTATGGTTTTGAATAAAATGAACTGAACTGAACTGAAATGCTCATGTACTGTAGTACCTTTACAGCTCATGTTATGTACATGTACATGTATGTTATTAAGATGAAAGAAGCCAGTCAGTCACTCAATAGTGTCTGACAGTGAAGTCTAGCAGGTAAACAGGTTTCTTTGCATAATTTTAATATTAGGACACTGCTCAAGTTTAAATATCACAGATAGGACATACATAACATATTCATAATTCCTGCAAAGTTCTACAGAATTTGATGTTGGCTGCAAAAGGGTCATAGTATCTTTAATATATATTTTTGTATTCACAATTGACAATCGTCTCTCATAAAAGGACTGTTGATTCAAGGGTGCGTTCTAGCTCGTGAAGACCAGACTCTTTTCAGAGAACATTATACTCATATATAAATCATTCATCCATTCCATTTCATTCAATTCAGTAGCCTATAATACTGAATAACTTTGGAAATTGTGTATTTTTACCCAGTAAACTGCGGAATGTATGCTGTGGATGCAAATAAGGCATACAGGAATTTGTGTACTTGTACAAGTGCGCAAATTCCTGTATGTACACTGTAGGTCTATTTTATGAGTTTGGGGGACTTCAGTTTCGGAATAACACTTTATGTATTCCCCTCTTGAAAATCTTAGATGGTGTTCTGAAGACTACTTTCATGTTGACTTCTATTTAATAAAGTCCCAGAGTTTACATACTGTACCTCTCAATCGGTATTTTGAAAACAATGTTAAGGTAATATGTTATGAGCCTACCTCCCACACACTCACTAAAATCAGGAGCCTTGCAAATTTGCAATTCATTTAAAAAGACCCCACCCCCTTCGTCCCCTTGCTCATAGAGCATGTACAGAACCCAAATTGAACAATGGGTTCTTGTCTGTCCTATTCGATTTGAGTGTGTACGTGTGCTCAGTAGAACACTGTATACCTGAAAAGATGTTTCACAGTTCACTGGGTGTGAATTTAAACTGCAATATCTTGGTAGAAGGGATATTTCAAATTTATACCCGTAATTTGAATGCAATATAGCAACCTTGAACCCCTAAAATCCAGAGCAAATTACGTTTTGGTGTTTGGTAAACCTCTATATAATAATAATAATAATAGTGATGGGGTTGTAGTGGTGTAGTGAACGAGTGCTGACTGGCACTGCATGTAAGAAAAGAATTTCTGTTAATTTCACTTAATCTTTGTCATTATGATTTCATTGCTTTCATTATTACATGTTATTACCTATTTTGTTTCCTGGAATTTTTATGTTTGCTTTTTCTATTGTACAAAACCTGTAATTTGGCTTTCGAGCCGGGATTGATTTTTATTTCAATAAACCATTACTACTACATATTATATGGTATCTAGTATCTACTTGTAAATCCCAGAACATTTTAAACCATATAAATACAAGCAGAATGGACAATAAATATAAACATGCATGTAACGACACAATGGCGACACTACTCACTCTCATGCCTAAGATCTGAAAACCTAACTTCTCCATGTCGGGGTATTTAATCTTGGCGCTCTCTGCCTTCTTGGTGTTGCCCCCTTCCTCCGCGTAGCCGATGCGTCCGATCTTGATATCCATGATGCACGGGTGTTGGTAGCCGATCGTCATGTCTCGTAGCTTGATGAATTCCACTGCAAAAAATATTTGTAAGGAAAGGTTAACTTCAAAGGGCAATCCCATGCATGGTAAATGCTACATTTATATTCAGAAAATACAGCGGCCCATATTCTACTAAAATAAGCCATTTTTGCATTGTAATCAAATTTAATGAATACTATGTACATGCACATGTACTTCTTTGTGAAGTGCCTCGATATAAATGATTCCATTCACCTGCTACAAATTACTGTATTTCATTAGTCAGAATGCAAATTGCATACATTACGTGTTGCTAGGTAGGGCAAGCCATAATGTTATCCTACCTAGCAAGTTGCAACATCTAATGTACATGTAAGCAATCTGAACTCTGACTATCGAGATAATAATAATAATACTCTGTTTTTATATAGCGCTTTAAAATTACAATCACTAAGTGCTTCCAAACTTGGAGTTTATAACCCCGGCTTTAGCTGTGCTGCCATTACGGCGCTCAAGCATTTCAAAGAATTAATCCCTGCCAGGTACCCATTTATATCACCTGGGTTGAGTGTGGCAAATGTACACGTACACTGTAGATCAATGTCTTGCCAAAGGACATTAGTGCCGTCGTGGGTCTCGAACCGCGGACCTTGTGATCGACAGTCCAGCGACTTAACCACTCGACCACGGCACCTCTACACATTAATTTAATTTGTATGAGGGCTTCACAAAAGCGTATGCATAAATTTGGTTACATTACGAAAATGACCTATTCAAAGGGCATTCCCATGGAAAATGTTTAGTACAGTCATCATTAAGAAATTCAGTGGCCCATATTCTGTTAAAATTTAAACCTGATGTTTGGTTTAGCAAAAGACGCCAGATGAGAATTACACCTATGATCTGAAGACGCTTCTGCAATACATTGAAACGCTTCATACCCGTCACATCTGGTGATGCTAATGGTTTTCATTTCATACGTGTTTGTTGATGCTTGAAATTCTTAATTTTTTTTAAATATGTGGCTTACATCATGAGCATTTTATGTGAAGTTGTGAACTACTGTACATACTGTATATATAATTTGTATCATCCTTGGCCTGTACTCTACTTGAATTTAAACCTGATGTCGGTTTAGGAAACTTTAGGCTATTGTTTGAAATCTGGTATTAAAGGTATAGCTTGGTAGTGGTAAAATTGCGGTTCAAGGGCTTTGGGGTGCAAAATATCCATTCAATATTGTTTAGATATTGCCTTCAGAGGTCTAGATGGCAATACTTCAACCTAAATTTGCAAGAAAGCAGATATATACATGTATGCCCAAATGTTCAATGTTGAAGTGCATTCACGATATCTATCCAGGCTGGATCGATATGATAATTTACAAAATATATCAATTACCGGTAGTAGGCGGTTTCACCGGCAAAATTTGTATCATCACGCAAAATTAGTCAAAACATATTCTTTCACATGATTGGTAATAAGAGCTTTCATTTCATTTTTTGAGAGGGGGCGTTTCCAAAACTGGTCTATACCTGTACATCTACCTTTAACAAAAGAAATTACTCTGAGGTCAAACTTTATTGATCCTAATACCCAGGTTAAGGTTTAACTGAACAATACATGTACGTGGTTGAATATGGATCAATGAGTCTCAAATTTCAATACATTTTTATAAATAATCATATAAATTTTTTTGACCTTCAAGCTTCACTGATTCGTTAACAATATCTGTTTACGATTTCAGCCCGCTGATTGATGTCAAATCAATGATATACAAATAACGCACGTCCCAGAGTGCAATAGCGGTGAATGCAGTACACGCGAGGTTTCTTTAGATTGGTGCCGCTCTGTGCAACGAGCCGCTTGCGGCGAGTTGACAGTGCGAACCATCTGAAGAAACCGAGCGTTTACTGCATTTACGTTTTGCACAACAGGGTCAAGTGCGTTATTTGTTTTATAAAATAGCGACACAAATAGCAAAAACGAAACTTTAGATCTAATAAGTTAGAGTCTACGAGAGTTCGATCTAGATCTAGATCTAAGTTAGAGTTATGTTGGTTCTACTTCTAATTAGACTAAGACCTTGCAGGCTTACCAAAAGTCAATGGGATTCATTGCCTTGATTAAAAATAAAATCCATACAGTGGGTCTAGAGACGAGTCTACATCAGACAGCTGAAATTCCTGGCTTCATTATAAAATCCAAAAGTCAAAACAGGCCTAAATCCAAGGCAAAAGTAAAATAAAAACTTGCTTTTTAATAATACCCCGCTGGCCGCTCTAGCTAGCTAGCTAGAGCTAGCTACGCGTACGTTGCGCTGGGGATCATGGTGGAGCGTACAATATTAGCTACGCGTAGCCTACAATAATTGCAATGCAACTCGAGGGAGCGCGTACTACACGTACGCGCGCGCACTGGATCTCCATGGTCACGCGTACGCACCGTGCAATATAACTTTTTACTGCGCTTTTTCTGCACTCATATCTGCAAAATCGTGCTTGCATCAAAATTTTTTCAATGTCATGTGACGCGTATTGACCAATCACGATGCTTAAAATACTAGAGCCATTTTATAATACATAATAGTAATAATACTTAATCACTGAAAAAAATACCACTTGAGAAGCTTAATTTGAGCAATTTGACTATTGAAAGCTGTGAAAAAGCTCTGGAAAACTATGAAGGGGAGCCCTATTGTCTGCACATCTAAGAATCATTTGAATTTGACAAGAATTTTCTTTCATATGATATTCCTTTATGCTTAGTCATTTGAATGAACTATTTTGGGTCAGTGTGAAATTGCAAACAATAGCCACTTCAGGTATTGAATTATATCAACACAGTTGAACATGCAATAGCTGACAGCTGGTCATATCAGCAGTTCATATACAATTGTTATCATTTACATATGTAAGAAGAGACCACAAATTGGTATGCTGCTGGTTGATGATGTTATGGAAATCTTTTCTATCCCCCCCCCCCCAAATATGAATAAACATAATACCGGTAATAATAATGATGATGATGATGACGATGATGTTGCTGATGCTGATGGTAGTGCTGATTATGATGATAATTACATGTAGATAAAAGACCACTAAATTCCTTTAAACTTAGTATTTTGAAAATCTGTTTTAGCTGCTTCACCATATCCTGGGCCTGGGGAGCATTTCAAGAAACAATTAATCAGTGGTTTTTTACTGACTAAATATCATTTTCACTGACAATTTTCCAGGCCTCTGATTGGTCAAATTTAGTCTCTTTTATCTGTTTCATCATATCCAGGGCAGGGTTAGTTTTAACTAGAGCGTGAATGCTTTATTCTCACTGGCCTTGCTGTAAATACTAAAGTACAAAAGCACTTTAGCTGGAATTCGTTGAACTGTGACCATTAAACTTTGAGCTGTAAGAAGAGCATATCACTATACAGCAAGTAATCTTGAAAACCCACAATGCATGAGGAATATTGTCAAGACCACATCAACCATGTCAAGACTCTTTGGGAAATGTATCAGCTTTAAGCTCCACTGCACTACTTATAGCTACTTGTGCCCTCTATGATATAGAAAACAATGCCTAAGCGGTGCCTGTTGGTCCCCCATGGTCCCCCATGATCCCCTTTTTCCTTTGTTAACTGAGTCTGAGAGCTGATTTGATGTGATAATCACATGTCAGTGACCTTGCAGGGAGGTCTAATCCCTCCTGGCCAAACTAGTGCAAACAGGATTGAATAGAACACTCACGTCTCCCGGCTTATATTTATCCTCGGCTCACAACAACATAGTGAAGTTAAAAAATACCTCATCCTTTGCGAGTTTGTGACTATTAAAGTCCCATAGATTAGTATTGAATTGATAACAAATGCAGGTTAACATTAAAAATCCAATACTGTAAACGCAGAAATATTTGGGGTGCATTAATTTTTGCGGATTTTGCGCTAAAGTCGGTGTCCGCAAATTTTAGAACCCGCGAAAATATAAACATGACTTTTTATGCGTGTTCTGAACGAGCCAAATTTGGTGCAATGCAAATTTAAGAACCAGCAAATATATTTTGGGCCTACTCAGCACGAAAAATGAATCGCGCAAGTAAATGAAAAAAGATAAGTCACAAAACTTCCACCCTGTGCAAATTTGGCAGAAAATGTGACAAAATATTTGGTCTGACAAAGTCTGTTTGACAGTCGTTGCAGGAAATTAATGATGTGATATCCAACAATGACCAGCATATTTTTGTCTTTGAAGTGATTCGAGCAGTAACATAAAACTTCTACCATATGTTGATATTGTAAAAACCTTGGAGTGCTACTACGATCATACTATGGAGGCTGTTAAGTAATCTGTTAAGGTCATCTGAATAAAACCACTGCATTAAAGGCAAAGTCCACCCTGATATTAAGTTGGTTTAAAGCCCCACTGCACTACTTATAGCTACTTGCGCCCTCTATATCGCAAACAATGCCTAATCGGTGACCCTTGGTCCCCCATGGTTTCTTTTTTCTTATGTTAACTGAGAGCTGATTTGATAAGATAACCACCTGTCAGTGACCATGCAGGGAGGTCTAATCCCTCCTGGCCAAACTAATGCAGAGGGGCTTTAACAGAAGCAGAAGAATGTGAGGAACAGGTCAGTGATGGTTTAAGCAAAAAACAATTACAAATAAAAGAATTATGAATTGTTGAAGGTGCAATCAATAAAACACATATTGGCAACTCTGTGACATATCTTGCGAGCTCCCCTCCCATTCGCACTTTACTAAAATAATTCAAAAATTTATATTTTCCCTCAGGGAAATTTTAAATCATACAACCACCTTAGAATTAGATACAATTATTGCAAATATGAGAGAGATAGCGATAGAATCAGACACAGAGAGAATGAAGAGAGAGAGGGAGAAGAGTAGGGAGTGACATCCTGAGACAGAGAGGATTGAGAATGACAGAAAATTAATACCTTCCTTTAAATGTTTTAAAAACCTTGAACAAGAAACTAGGAATTAAGTTGTATGAGCTTCTGATTTTTAATCAAAATTTGAAGCAAACAATACTTTTAATATATTTTAATTTTAATGCAGCCTCAGGCTAAAACTAAGACATGTAATTTTCTCCTCTTTTTGTCGATCATCTGAGATGAAAACTGATTTTACCTGATGGATCTTCCTTGGAAACGACTGTTCCTCTGAAAGGGCACACCAGACCACGGGCACCACGCAGGACAGGGTCATCCTCCTCTTCGTCAAAGACCTTCTTGTAAAATCTCTTCTCTCTGTCTCCCCGGTTGTTGGTCTGAAGAACCTTCAGGATGGACCCACTGTTGTCTTGCAACAGACCTAATATGGATACAGAAGAAGTAAATGAAGAATCAAAAGATAGAGATAATGTTAAAGTATGAGAATATTGAGGAGCACATTTTCTCTTCCTCTCTCTCTCTCTCTCTCTCTCTCTCTCTCATTCAACTGAAGAAAAATGTTGTTAAAGTCGATCTACAGTATCAAAACACAGTGTAGGCCTACAGTTTATAAGTACTTCAAGATCAAAATCATTTCATCTTACATGAAATTAAACGGTTTAACGATTTAAAGTCATCTAGACTCTCAACTCAATTTTGCAATCCAGGAGGTTTCTTGAATAAAATGCTAATTTTTTATGACAATGTGATTAATGTTATTGTATGTTACATAACGTGAATTCATAATTTTGCTAGACATACATTTTGTTTGTATCTCATACCTCTATTATTACTAGATCCATAAAAAATGGAACAAAATAACACTATATTTAATCAGGAAGATGATCGGACACACTCCCCCCCCCCCAAAAAAATAAATAAAAATAAAATAAATTTAAGTGCAAATACTTGTACCTGAATGAATGATAAGCACCTACTGGAACATACATGTAGATTAAGACTGTGCACAACAGTGTAATAAGGTAGGCCTACCCAAGTACACTCCCAGGCTTACAAGCGAATACTCGAACATATTCGGACGCCATGTTTTTTTTATAATTTTGTTGATTTTGTTTTTGTTTTTTTTTTCCACCACCATACCACTGGAGCAGTATCCCAAGTTCATCGCCGAAAACGCATGCAATTTTACTTCGAGTTGCAGTTGAAGGCATTGATTTAATAATAACAATAACAGTAAACAATGCTGTTTTAAAAACCAAAGATGGCAGAATAATCCATTTTCAGAAATCTGAATATTTGGTCCCAGTTTCTGAGTGGTGAGTTTGACAGTGCTTGAGTTGGGAAACATTTTTACCGACGGTAACATGCCAGCGGCCGCTGCTCTCCCTGGCATGGGTAAGCGTGGGCCTGGACAGTGCCAGGTGACCGGGAATTTTTATATATTTTTTTGTTATTGTTTTGTTTTGAAGCCGAATATTCGAGTACGAGAAATCGTACTCAAGTAGTCGTCAACCGTGCGGGTACTCGAGCGTTCGACTTCTCGTCGCAGCCCTAATTGATGTAGACCTACTGTAGATCATGAGATATACAGTACATGAATATAATTATAAACCAAAACAATAAGCAAGACAACTTTCAGCTTGTTTATCTCTCTGGCCATGTCAGAAATTTCCTCAATCAAATGAATAACAATTAACAAGATTAAGTTATTCTTCTTACCTGTTTCGTGTCAATTTCCTTATCTCTTTTGGAGTATTTTTCCTAAAAACGAAAGCCATTATGATTATAATATACACTTTCTCACAGGTTTCACTCTCATACACAAGTGCTACCCACCCGTGTTTATCAACCTCTGAAATGGACCCTAAAAGGTGCCCTTTTCCAGTTTTCTAAGAAAACGTTGAAGCCTGTGAACCTGAAAAGGTATTCTTTTTTGTTTTTTTGTGAGATCAGAGCTCGAAAAAGACACCCTTCGATGCTTTTTCTGGACGTGGGTGCGTAGCCAGTCATGTTGGGAGTGACCCCCCTTCCCCCCTGTCTCTAAAGAGAGGAGCCAATCCTACCCAAATCAGAGGCTAACAAACGAAAGAGATAGAAATTTCGGTCTAACTCGTTTTAACTAACCTGCTCGTGTCTTATTTTTTCCGTAGACATGTCCTGCCACTTGATGACTTAGCAGCTTGCATCCTTTTGGCATTGCCATTGGGGGTGGAGGATCAATCTTTTCTTCACACGACATCTCCTTTCAAACATGCGATGATCCAATGCAAATGAGAACTAGGCTAATGCAAAATGAAAATAGGGACTTGCATCTGCAGCATCGAGCTCGAGCTAGCTGCAGAGCTTCGCGTCGACAACGGCCGGATAAGCAGCAATGTCCTGGGCCGTGATCCCTCCGTGCACAGAGAAAGGAGTGTCAGACAGTGGGCAGAGCCGCGGCTGGAGCGGAGTTTAATAAAAAATGAGTTGAAGTTGAAGTTGAACAAGTGGAAGAGAGAACAGTTGGTCGTTACTCAGACCACCCTCCCCTCACAATCGGAATCCAAATAAATCCAGGAATCGGATGATCATTTCCGTTACGCTACCAAAGTCCGACATTCTTCAAACCCACGGGGTGTTACTACTGTTACTTTTCTGGCTGGAGAAATATCATCGTCATTCATTCATTTGCTAAGCTTAGCAGCTAGCTAGTACGTATGCGCGCCCGCGTTTGATCTCGACTTACAATATACAGTACACACGTATCAAAGAAAAAAGAGCGCGCGTCTAAGCACGCTCATTTACCACAGGACTTGAAACTACAGTCTTGTGTCATTTATGCGCGCTCAACTATCTTTGCTGAATCGGTGGTTGAAAGTGAACATAGCTGAATATTATTCTGCGAGAATATGGTGTTCTCAAAATCAACCTCAAACTAAACTTAAATCAAATATTATTACCAGCTTTACAACAATCTATTTCGGACTATATTTATATACAAAATTGTTCTATCATTTTAAACTTTTTAGTTTTCGTGAATATGTGGTCACATTTTACGTTGATAAAGTCCTTGATTTTCGGAAGAATTGAATTGAAGGGAGGGGTTTTCCTCCAAAACACTCATATAAAAAATGTTTAAGGGGGGGGGGGGTTGACTAACCTATGGGTATGCCACCCGTATGCCATAACTAAACTTTAAGTTTATTTTCGGTAGTATCGGTAAAAGAAGAGGAGACAAGTCATATAAATACGATCAAAACTATTTCACGAAAAATCAACTCAAGGGCAATTTCAATACCCTATTGTACATTCGCATTTATCAGATTTGACAAGGATGCATTTTATAAGCCTCGGCATGCATGCATAGGCCAACTTAAAGATAAAGTTACTACTGCATGGTATAGGCCTATACGTCATGCAATTATATACAGTAATTGTAAACGAAGTGTCTTTGAGCTATTGGTAAGGATGATGATTAGAATAATATAATGATTATGTATGAGGTACATACCGGGGGGGGGGGTCACTCTCAACAATGATGAAATGGACCCTATTGGCGTATCGCACTTTTTCTGAAATAACCCTTCTTAAAGAAAACGTCGAAACCTGTCAGTGCTCCTGAAAAGGTACCCTTTGTTGTCGTTTTTGTGCGATCAGTGCTTGAAAAAAAACCTTTTGAAGGAAAAAGTAGACGACACCGAACATGTGAATCTGAAAAGGTACCCTTTTTTGTTTTTTGTGCGATCAGTGCATGAAAAACACCCCTTTTTAAGAAAAACGTCGACGCCGCTGTATAGCTAAGACACTCTTTCGCCGCTTTTTCTGGGCGCGGGTTCGTATAGCCAGTCATGTTGGGAGTGCATACAATTTGAGGTTTTAAATGATACTAGATTTGTTATTCTTTCTTCACTTCACGCAGAAATTTGTGCAAGTATTACAGACACATTTGGCATGAAAATTTGGTCCAATTCAGATATTTCTCGTCATATTTCCAATGTGACAGCATTTTTAATAGCAATCCTTTTAAGGAAACACATTTCAGAGAACATTGCTACTCTGATATTTTGATGATGAGGTAAATATAGGTCACAAATTCACCTCAACTGATCAACCTCCTCATTAAATCTAGCACCGTAAAGAAATTAGGCCTATCCCAGAAGCCTTTAAGGCTTCACAGTGGCAGTTCAAAACAAGTGTGTTATTGTTATAATTAATATTATTAATATTATTACTTTTTTTAATTTTTATTTCTTCTTATTATTTTCATATTTTGTATAACTATGTATATTATTATGAGTTTGATTTATATTGATATTACTGGAATTATGAATGTTATTATTATCATTGCCATTATTATTACAATATTAGTCGTATAATCATTATTATTATGTTTATTATTATTGTTATTATTATTATTATCAATATTAATTAGATCAATTTTTGTATAGCATACTACTATACTCTAACGCGCCATAGTGAAGGGGAAAATTGTTACTTTACCTACACAAAATCTGTATTCAAAAGCTAATTCTTCATACCGCACAATACGAACTCCAGGAACAGTGAATACAAAACAACAATACGATTTGTTTGTCTTAATCAAAGCAGACAAATGAGTGAATATCTGATATATTTTTTTTAAAGAGAAAAATAGTTTTGTTGTTTTAATTGCGGATCAAACCCAATAATTTACACAAACTGGTAATTTCCCTTGCAAAAAAATCTCGATTTATTTCATTTTACTTTAATATAATCAAATTATCCCTTTCCTTGAAAGGATGATGATGAAATAATTATTTTACTTAAAGAAGAATTGTGCAAATGTGTTTTAAACATTTATTTTATTTCATTTTTATTTTATTTTTATTTTTTTAGAAAATTTGTGATTGAGAGTAAAGACTGAATTTTCACTCTATTTTACCTTTCTTTGGAGTGACGCCAGTGAGCACTATTTTTTTTTTTTGGCCCTCGAAAATTTGAAAAATTGCACCCCCCCCCCCCCTTGAGCCCCAGGGGAGGGGGCCCATCTCCGAATAAAGGTTCAATTAACATGTTTTTAACTGTATTTTTTCCCAGGGGAGGGGGGCCCCTCCCTGGATCCACCACTGCCCCCACCTCGGGCCCAGCCAAAAATTGGCAAATTAGACGACCCAGCCTTTTCCTGGGGGTATTCTCGTCCTAATGAGGGATTCCGATTTCGCCCATCAATTAACTTTCATAAAACAGTAACTGTTCTTCTTAAAGGTAAAGACCAGTTGTGGTCATGCGATTGCATCGTGAAAGAAACGTTGTGGAATCGATCAGAAAAGGTTGATCATCTAGCATCTAGCATCTGCAAGGTTCTGGAATCATCAAAATGATAAGAAATTTGGCCCATTCTTCGTAAAGTTACAAGCACTATACACAGAAAGATGTATATGGGACTACCCTATATCTCTCACAGACCATGAGAGAAACAAATTTACCAAATATATGAATTAGTAGGCGGTTTCCCGGCAAATTTTTTATCATCATGTATTAGTCAAAACATATTCTTTCACATGATTGGTAATGAGAGCTTCCATTTCATTTTTTTGAAATTGGGGTGTTTCCAATACTGGTCTTTACCTTTATTACCCGTTCGGATATGTATCCATTCCGCGACGTATTATACGTTATTAGAAAAGTATAAAGAGAACTAGGCCTACTTCTTCTCTTTTAAAAACAGACGATACGTTTCGGGAAACTGTAAAATATCAAATTGAAATATAAACACAAATAATTATTACTGCTTCTAAATCTTTTGTATTAAATGTTACTGCTTATGCGTTGTTTTTTTTTCTTTTCAAGAGTACAATTGGTAGTTTACAAATATTAGACCGCTACCTTCAATTAATTTTGCAATGACAAATTTCTGAGAAACTAAATTCTGACTAATTGGGGGCGCGGTAAAGCAGCGTTATTGCAAGGATAAAGGTAATTTGCTTGTTTATTGATGATTGGTTGACTTTTTATTTTGTACTTTATTTTTGTTACATAGAATAAGCAGATTTTTATTTGTAATCAAAGATATACGGAATGAGGCCCAAGGTATTGTACAACAAATATATGGTCAGCCCCACTCGTTGATCTGTGTGTTGGGTTGTGTATTGCGCACCGGCGAATTCATTTTCGGCCAGAGTCGATTTCCGGGGGGAGGAGAGGTGGTAGACCGAATTTTCCATCTCTTTCGTTCGTTAAGCCTCTTATTTGGGTAGGGTCGGCTCTCTCTTTAGAGACGGAAGCTGACTATACGCATTCCCTAGCCTTGCCCTTGCTAACACCATGGCCAGATATGGCCATATTTTTATGCCCCGACCATCCCCCCCCCCCAAATGTCATTTTACCTTGTGCATGTTGATTGATTGATTGATTGATTTTTATTCGACAAGCTTCCAACATACAACAATATACAATAATAACAGATCAAAAAAAGTCAGCTTGAACAGGATAACCCACGAAAGCTCGAGAGCTTAGTGGGGTCCCTTACAGACATGTATAAAATTAATAAGTTAAAATAGTAATAGACCTATTTACAGACAGATAAGAAAATTAAAAGAACTACTTATTAAAGATAATAATAATAATAACAACATTAAACTGATGATAGAAATGATATTAAGTACAAGAAGAAAAAGAAGAAGGAGAAGAAGAAAAAGAGGAGAAGGAAGAAGAGGAAAATAATGATGAATTTGTAGAATTTCTATAACGTACGAAAACATAAGTATATACAACATGAAAAAGTATGAACCGACAGAAGAATAAAAATTTCAATCATATAACATGTTATTCACTTCTCTTCTCTGACTGTCAAGTATTAGGTATTCCTTTAATTTCCTCTTAAAATGATCATAGTTTCCTATTTCTTTTACACCATTGGGAAGGGAATTCCAATGTTTTATGGCATTGTAATAAAACGAATTTCCAATACTACCTACTCTTTCTGGTAAGTTAAAGTTGAATCGTTTATTTCTTGTATTATAATCATGTACGTCAGTAACAAGATCGAAGTTGGATCGAATATAATGATTCGACCTAGTATGATATATTTTATGCACATGATGCAATACAAGTTGTTTTGATCTTTGGTCGACTTCAAGAAAACCAGCTTTAGAAAGTTCGCTGTAGCCAACATGAGCTCTTGGACCAGAACAGTTGATAAATCTCACCATTTTGTTCTGTATAATCTTCAACTTCTTTTGATCTGACTTGTTTATGTTACTATACCATGCAGGGTTAGCATAGTCAAATAAACATTGAATAAGAGCAAAACAGAGTGTACGTCTTGCTTTTAAATCCATACAACTTTGATATCTGTACAATATTGTTATATTGTAAATTAGGCCTAGATCTAGATCTAGGCTATAATAAATTGGCTCTACTAACCAACTTGACTAAAATAATTCGTTTAATGGTCCCTTTTTAGGAAATTATGTCCAAAATTGAAATCCATGTTGAAATCTTGCAAGACGTATTTTAATTCTCGCTGCGCATGACGTCATCTAAATCTCATCTCTTCTAGTCTACGCCGAAGGCAAAATGATTATGAAGAAAAACTGTGATAACGCCATTACGAACGTGTAGCTCGCGCACAGTTTTTCCTTCATAATCATTTTGCCTTCGGCGTAGACTAGAAGATCTTTGAGTTTATGTACAGTAACTAACTGCAGCTGCCATTACACGCCAGCTCAAAACATGCACAAAATCTAACGTTAGACATTACATGCAGGACATCTACCTATCTCAAATTAGATTTTAAGAGCTGGATTTGTTGTGGTAGCTAGTTTGCCAGTTTCACATATTTGCAAAAGATAATCACATGCATATTTGTAGAAATTTATCATGTGCATATTTGCAGAGATTAATCATGTGTGGCATTGTGCATAACCTTTTGTCAAAGTTGTGTAAATAGATCTATGTATAATTCCATATTATATTTTCTTAATTACTGATAGACCTGAGGTGAGCATTTTTAATTTTAGCAAAAGAAGACCTTAATTTGCACAGTGTAATTGCAGCTCAATCTTTGATTTTGGCATTGCACAAAGTCTGCTGTCAAATTATGGACTGGTTATGTCTTGATGAAAATTCCAGTTTTAAGTATAATGAATCAAATGAAATATTTGAATGAATTGGGAAATACAAAGAATCAAAGTAGTAAAGTTTGGCAATTAAATATACATTGTATATACATGTATATGTAACAAAACTTAATAACAAATTATAGACTATTATGTTCATGTAGTAGCTTTATTTTGAGTTCTGTGAAGGGGTAGTAATTTAGAAAGAGCTTTGAGCCTTTGAGGCAAACAATTTATTTGTATTAATTTTAAAAATCCAAAAAAAATCATAAATTGCTTTTATAATCAAACATATTCAACTACATGTACTGGTACATTTAAATTGTAGTTCTAGAAAATGTTTGTAAGAAAATGCCCAGTTGACTGTTTTTTTTATAAACATAACTTGTGTGCATCTCATTAGCAAACCAGCAAAATGTCAATAGTTTTTTTTTTTTTGGTAACGTGTAAAATAAATTTTTGGTTCAAAGATTTTAAAGAAATGCAGGTTTTCATTTCCATTTTGCGTCTTGTGATGTATTATGTTCTGTCATACAATGATAAATGTCAGATTATGTATGGTGTTAAAATGAATTACACTGTCTCTTTAAAGACAAAGTTATAAATTATGTGTACAATGGCATATTCTTTATTTTCTACAAAACACATGTATCACATATTCTATATATTTCTCTGTCGATGTTCTGACAAATGAAACATTTCAAGATAAGCTAATAAAGAAATTTAAGAATTTGAGTGAGACACCTATATTGGCTGAAATTGAATCCCATATATTCTTTCCCCCAAAAATTTCCTCTTCTCTTATACTTCTGATTTTAATTTGGTTTTGAATAGTCTCCAACAACACATTTTCAGATCAATCCCAAATCATAGGCAGATTTAAGGAGTGATTGTGTTTATTCAATGTAATTTTCAAGATAACCTGATATTAGATATTTATTCCTAAATTATTCTCATCAATGGTTATGTTCAGTTTTCAGATGTGTATTCCTAGATTTGCATACTTTTTTAATTCTTATGTTCAAGTTTTCAAACACAGTTAACAACTAAATTATTCCTACCCTTACCAAAAAAAAATTAAGTATGTGAAAACTTGAATTGTCCCGCTTTATGTTTCTTGATAATATAGTATATTAAAGCTTACATCTAAAAAGTATTCAACAAAGGCCCCATTTCACCTAGTCCCCCTTTCATTCTTGAGTTACGAAAAAAACAAAAAACATCAATTTACAAGGGGTGAATTAAGTTAGTTGTTATTAACTGTTTGTATTCCTAAATTGTATAACCTTTCATTCTTATTCCCAATTTATTCACACAGATACAAATTCTGAGAAAAAGAAGGAGTGGAAGGAAATTTAATCTTTCCTGAGGTTCATCACATAATATCTCTCAATGGACAAGCCGGAGGTAGATCAAGCCATCGCGTCGCCTCCCAAGGAGACCGAGGAGACGGACGGAACAGAAGCCGACGCCCGAGGGGCACGCAGATCACCCTTTGCTCTCCTGCATGACAATGCGAGTAAAAGCAGAGAAAGGGTGACGGAGGAGACGTTTAGATTCCCAGGGTATGTACATGTATCAGTGTGAAATAATGATTATATGGGTAGCGGTGTTCATGGTCTAGTACATTACCGGTACGTCACAGACTGTGGGTCACGTGTTTTTTTTGTATTCCCGCTGCAGCACTGATTTCCTTTGGAAAGTTATTTATCTGCATTTGCCACTATCTATGGAAGTGTAATATACCTACATGTAGGAACTTATAATTCTACTTAGAATGATTTCAGTGCCGTATTAACGCAGCTGGGCTGAAGCTCTGGTAATAATAATACTTGTAGGCACATGGAATTCCATAAACAAACCAAGCAGTCATTGTTGAAATTTTTCTGAGTTGTAAATTGTTTTAATCTTGTTTTATTAATTTGATTCCCTGAGCAGTTAAGACAACATCCTGCATTCATAATCCTGCCATTTTAGAATTTATAAAAAGTGTTTCACTTTATTGGTATTCACAATATGTCTTCTGTTCTTTAAAAAATATTCTGGAATCACAAAAAAAAGACAACTGTAACTCGCAGGTTATTAGTTTTATTACTTGAAATGGTGACAATAAAATCTTTCATTCATGATTTTGCTATTCTACTAGGACAGGGAATTTTGAGTATCTTTTTAATTTGGGTACCTGCTCAAATTTTCGGGCAGTTAATCCTACATGATTCTACAAAGAAAATTTGGTTGATGAGTTTTCTATTATTGGTCATGATCTTCTTCTGTTCGGAAACAGTTTCCTGGAGTCGCTGACGAACGAAGACACGACTCGGCTGCTCTACTACGACATGAACCACAAGAACCGGGGCATGGCGGTCATTTTCAACCATGAAAACTTTGACTGGAAGACGGGAATGAACCAGCGAGTCGGAACCAACCACGATGTAGAGAACCTCAAGCTTCATCTAGGACGTCTAGGCTTCAAGGTCTTGGTCTTTCAGGATGCATCGGCTTCTGAACTCAGAAGGAATCTTGAACTAGGTGAGAGAGATAGATAGAGAGAGGGCGAGGGGAGGACACAGAGAGAGAGAGGGGAGGCGAAGGAGAGAGAGAGAGGGAGAGAGAGAGAGAGAGAGAGAGAGAGAAAGAGAGTGGAATCTTGAACTAGGTGAGATGCTGTACACCCGCTGCATGTACAATGAGAATTGACTTGGCATGCCCAAGGTGTTTGGTTATTGTTTCCCCCGGCAGTATGCCGGTGGGGTACTTTGGATTCAGCAGGGTTACGCCGCCGCCGCCGCCGCAGCCACCGCGTCATATTCTTGTGTGTGCTCTAACTGCATCATTCATTCAACGGATTTCTTTCAAATTTTTTATGGAGGTGTATCTTGGTACAATCTACACACCTGCAACTTTTGGTGATGCTGCCCCCAGTGTTCCGTCTTCTTTAGGGTCAAAAGCTCATATTTTGATGGGTGTTTAGTATGCGCTCTGCAGGTCATATTCCATGACGGATTTCTTTCCAATTTTGTATATTGTATCTTGATACAATCTACACTTTTGAGGGATGCTGCCCTCATTGTTCCGTCTTTTATATAGTCAAAGGTCATGTCTTTTATGCGCTCTAACTGCCACATTTCTTGACAGATTTCTTTCAAATGTTGTATGGAGGTGTGTCTTAGTACAATCTACACATCTTTAGTGTTTGGTGATGCTGCTCTAAGTCTTGACAATAGTCTGAGCCAATAGTGGCTATCTCTACTTCATCCTTTTGTTAGGGAGTGGAGAGAGGATCTTTGTCCCTCCTCCGAACAAAAGGATGACAAAATAATCGCTGCCACTGCCGGGGGATACATTCGCATTGCGCGGCAATACAGATTGCGATATTTCTAGTTTTGTGTCATTTTTGGCAGGAGAGGACTAGAGGAAGTGAGGAACCATGAACTACATGTAGATGATATGTGATATACAGTATTGAGAGAGAGAGAGAGAGAGAGAGATATTAAAGCATTAAGCTTACATTGTCATACCTCGGTATGCTTCTGTATTATTTACAATTGCAAGTGTCTAATGATGGTAGTCTCCTAGTGTTTACTACTGTGATGGTCATGATCATACTATGTGAACTAGTGAACCATGCAGAAATAAATGAATAAATACAAACAAAAATTTAAAAATCTGTATCTAATAGTTCTGTGATGCATCCAAAAAATATTTACCTATGACAGCTCCAGTATATAGATGGTTAAGACTCTTTCCTCCCATGTCTTCTAATGGCAGCTAAAAACAATTTGCCAATATATGTCTGAAGAAGGTGCCTGCACTGTAGACATTGAAACTGTCTACAGACACCTTTTGAATGTCTCATAGAACTGCTTATTACAAACATCAGTTTAAAATTAGAGCTTGATTATCTATGCCAACAATTACTATTGTATGTTTCTAACAGCGTCTAAGGCAGACCACACAGACAGCGACTGTTTCATGTGCGTCTTCCTAACCCACGGCGACGATGGCATCCTGTACGCAAGGGACTCCACGTTAGATCTGCAAGAACTCTTTGAATTCTTCCGAGGGGAGAAGTGCCCGACTCTCATAGGGAAGCCCAAGTTATTCTTAATACAGGTAATGATATGTTCTTGCTTATTAAATGAGTGTTTGTTAATAATAGACCAGTTCACGGTTAGCACATGTCCCAAATTACCCTGGATATCCACAGATCTTCAAAACATAAAGAGGTCCCACTTTGTACATTTTATAATAATCATTCCTACAGCGATGGATAATGGATGATTACATAACTTTCATGAGCACGTATCCAGTATTTTTTTCTTGAGTCTGTGTATTTCACAATTTGGTCTGCAATGACCTTTATCTGTTCATGCTCAAACTGCAGCTATGAACTGGCTTATTGTTTGAGTGCTATGGTGGGTTTTCACAGTACCAGGTTTCTAATAATATTTAGAGGAAGAAGTGCATGTTTTTGTTTTGAAATTAAAAAGAGTTTAGTACCCTGTATAAAATGATTTTGTAAAAATACACCATAAAAAAAGACGTAACGTTGAAATGTGCATGACAAATTTTATTTATGATACATGTTGGTAAATGAAGGGATATCTTATAGGGTAAGTGATCATTTCCATGACTGGAATTTTATAAATGAAATGAATATTTTACTCAGAAACAATGAGGTGATTCTTTAATCAAGGGAAACAGGATTAGTATGGTGCACAGCTCCACATTCTGAACATTTCTGTATTTGATTTTGAGTAATTTGTAAGTTATGAAATGAAAAATTATTCTGCCATAGTTTTAACCCCTAATTCCGATGTAAATTGATGTCATTATGTTACAAAATACAATGAACAAAATCAGTTAGGGGCTAATGGATAAGAAATATGAAAAAAGGAAAAAGAAATACATAAAACTGCACACACGGAAACCAAGTCAGACTTGGGTTCCGTGCCCGTGCCCTGTTTTATGCGAGCAGCGTACATGTACAGGTACGTCAAGTATTCTACTCAAAGGTGTCTTTTGTCTTTTAATTGAGAGTGTATTTAAACTTGCAACATCTGTTTTCAGGAGGGCTGTTTGAAGCTCGTAAATTGGATATAGTGTTACCACAGTGAACCGCTTACATACAGAACAAAATATTCTGGGGGATTGGTACACTTTTAAATTGTTGATTGTTTACATTACAGGCCTGTAGAGGAGATAGGCATGAGATAGGTGTTGACCCTCCTGTTGACGTGACGGACTCTGCTGCACCAGAAGATGAATGGGTGACAGTCACAGACAGCGGAACAAGACCAACCATCCCTGCGGCAGCAGATATGCTCTTATCATATTCGGTAGTACAAGGTAATCTATAATGTCTATCATCCGCCGAAGTGTTGTAGTTGCATGGTTTAAAGCCCCTCTGCACTAGTTTAGCCAGAAGGGATTAGACCTCCCTGCAAGGTCACGGACAGGGGGTCATCTCATCAAATCAGCTCTCAATTAACACAAGAAAAGGGGGATCATGGGGGACCAACAGTCACCGATTATGCATGTTTGCTATATAGAGGGCGCAAGTAGCTATAAGTAGTGCAGTGGGGATTTAATATAACAAAAATGTTTCTTGACATACACATTTTTATGCCTCCGTTACGAAGTAGCCGGAGGCATTATGTTTTCGGGTTGTCCGTCCGTCCGTCTGTCCGTCCGTACGTCCCGTTCTCGTGATCGCGTTATCTGAAGAACCGATTGATGGATTCCTGCCAAACTTTAGTCATGTATGTATCTTGCAGAGCCGATGAACTAATTAGATTTTGGGGTCACGAGGTCAAAGGTCAAAGGTCACAGGGCTCATTATGTATGCAAAAACAGCTCGTGATCGCATTATCTAAAGAACCGATTGATGGATTCCTGCCAAACTTTAGTCATGTATGTATCTTGCAGAGCCGATGAACTGATTAGATTTTGGGGTCACGAGGTCAAAGGTCAAAGGTCACAGGGCTCATTATGTATGCAAAAACAGCTCGTGAACGCATTATCTCAAGAACCGATTGATGGATTCCTGCCAAATTTAGGTCATGTATGTTACTTGCAGAGCCGATGAACTGATTAGATTTTGGTGTCATGAGGTCAAGGTCAAAGGTCATGCGGCTCATTATGTATGCAAAAATAGCTTGTGATCGCATTATCATTAGAACAGATTGATGGATTCCTGCCAAACTTAGATCATGTATGTATCTTGCAGAGACAATGAACTGAGTAGGTTCTTGGGTCATGAGGTCAAAGGTTAAATGTCATGGGCTCATTATGTATGCAAAAATAGCTTGTGAACGCATTCTCATTAGAACTGACAGATGGATTACTATTTAACTCAGGACATCTGGCAGAGCTAATGAACTGAGTAGATTTTAGGGTCATGAGGTCAAAGATCAAAGGGTCATACATGTACATGTATATGTATATGAGAAATTGCTTGTAATCACGATATTCTGAGAACCTGTTAATGGATTACAATGAAACTTGAATTTGAAAAAAATTCTTCTGTTTTGGTTTGTAAAATTGCTCTATGACGGAGGCATCATTTTCGACTGCGCGCATTCGAAGTTCCATCTAGTTTACCAAGAATTCCATTTCTGAAAATGCTACCTGCCTTCTCAGAGTCTATTTGTGTTGGGAAGGTAGTTGGTAGGAGTGAAATAGAATAAGAAAGAATGTTCCTGACTTGAACATTTTTTCTGGGACCCTTTTTAGTGCTCCAGCCAGCTATCCCAGACACTCTCATGGGGGAGTAAGATTAACAAATTTCCTGACATTATTTTTGTCTTTCTTTTCTCTTGACCCACCCCTGGTTGTTGTTATTTTTTCAGGGGAGGGGGCGGGCATCATTGTTCTTGTTTCTTTCTTTGGAGACATAGCCATTTCTGCCCGCTCCGCCTGATCGAAAAATGTTCTGTAAACTTAATATACAAGGTTATAGGAACAATGATTCATACTCTGGTTTTGCCACCTCTATTGTAGCTATGATCTTGATACTGTATGATTGACACTCCAATATGTGCATGTGTAATACAATGAAACCTGTCTATAAAGACCACCCAGGGGAGACAAGAAAAGTGGTCTTTATAGGCAGGTGGTCTTCATGTACAGGTTCCTTTAGTGCATGTGTCATTGAGAAACCATTTTCAAGGGAAACAAAAAATGTGGTCTTTGTAGACAGGTGATCTATCTATAAAGGTGGTCACTAAAGCAGGTTTGACTGCACTTCTAGACATAGACATTTCAGCCCGCTCCTCTTGATCAGCAAATGCTCTGTAAACTTAATTACAAGGTTATAGAAAAAAATGATTCATACTCTGGCTTTGCCATTTATGTTGTAGCTCAGGGCCCTGTCTTACAAAGAGTTGATTTAAATTGCAACTGTGCACTTAAGAGATAGGAAACTGAAAGTTGCGATTGATCCAAATCGATCGCAACTTTTTGTAAGATGGATCTTGATAATGTACATGTATGATTGACTCGCCAATATGTGCATATGTAATAGTTCTATGATTCCAACATCTATCATTTGTGTCTTCTCTGCAGGTTACTACTCGCATCGAGACACGGCGTTTGGCTCCTGGTACATCCAAGCCCTGGCCAAGGTCCTGGCCCTTCACGGTACCACCATGGAGATCACCGAGATCCTCACCCTCGTCAATCAACTCATCTCCCAGCGCGCTGTGGAGCGCTGCCTGGACCCACGCATGGTGGGCAAGAAGCAGATGCCGTGTTACATGTCCATGCTGACCAGGAAGCTTATATTCATGCCCAAGAAATGATGTCTGCAATCCCCTTGGAGGTAGTGTGGTAGTATCGGTAACGAAGCGATATTCAGTGGCACTTGAAACCGTGCAATTTTATAAAACAATGTCCATATCTGGTCAATTCATAATAATTATTTAAAGTTCTGGTTTTATAAAGTATTTAATATGGAATACAGATATTATTATTACCCTGGTCCCTAGATTTATTCACTGTCACAGTGTGCACCATTACCACTCCCTGGGGAGTATCCCTACCCTATGGTCACCGTGAGGGTATCAATTTCTATCACACAGGCTTTGGTCATCCTACCAGGTCGCCCATTCCTCACCTGAGCATGGAGTGGCAAATGTAAATTGATGTCTTGCCAAATGACTCTTGAAACTGAATACTGAATTCTCATAGTCTCCATGGCTTAATGTACAGGGACCAACCCGATGCTGGAGGCCCGATGGCTCAGTCGTAGAGCATTGGTCTTGTAACCAGGAGGTCCCGGGTTCAAAACCAAGTCAATGCGCTAGTCATTACCAAGGCCCTTAGAGAGGACTTAAAGCTATCGCCTCCTGTTTGCTTACTTACAAACACACTCATGTATTCAGGTAAAACAAACAAACAAACTGACTCACACACCTATCTTGGATCTTGCCACTTTGTTACAGTCATGCACCAAATGTAGTTTTGTAGACACTGGTGCGTGCCTGCCTTATTTAGGTAGCTCAGTGAAATTTAGTGGCTTAAAAAGACGCATCCAGAAGGCAAAATGGGTAACAGTTGGTGATGTCAGTTGATTAAAAGTTCTTCTTTGACATATCTGAATGATGTTTAAGTAATATTAAAACCAAATCAAGACAGTACATTTACATTACCCCTCTATATCCTATAACGATGTGGTTCTACCTGTGTGTGATAACATTTTTCATTTTCGACGATTGAGCATTTTGCATTCCAGACCCGTCTTTTCATGCCAAGTCATTTCACTAAGTTACCTTAGAAAGATTCTAGATATGGGGATGGCAAATGTTGATTGACCAGATGTGTTCCTTTGTCAAAAGGCTTCAGGTTTTGCCTTACTTTTGCATCTTATAGATGGGCAATATGTACATCATGTTGGTAAATACATCTATTACCAAAATATTATTATCTTTTTTTCCAAGGTTATGAAAGTCTATTGATGTTGACCATGACATTGTATGTTTGTGTTGAAGAAATGAGAGTAGATTTTGAGAGTAGGTAGTTCTTGTATCCCCTTCATAGGGCTCAACACTAACAAAAATGTTATGCACACAGCTTGTCAAATTGTCAAAATCTCAAAATGTAGATGATCTAGTGCACAACCCCCCCCCCCCTTCCTCCCCACTACCTAAGACCCCCAGAAAAAATGGTAAATGTTGAGCCCTGTCTGTATGTTAGGTTGCCATTAATCGCTTTATAAAATCAATTGTATTTTACTGTCTCAGGAGTACATGTAGCTATTTAGAGGTAATCTTGAGCTCTGTTAAAGGCGGGTAATTCAAATTGTATTAATTCATATTCATGAAGTTTTAATATAATTAATTTTTAATACTTCAAAGAAATATTATATTCCTTATACGGTACAAAGAATCTTGTGCTACAATTGGCCAAAAGTAAATCATGTGATGAAAGATAGTTCGCCCATCAATGATGGGAGAAGAAAGATTAGTACTATCTACACAGTGCAACGCACTTTCATTGAAGATTGTATACGTTGCGTATACGTACGTATACAAGTACTGCATGCACTGTACGTATCGTACACTATTTGCTAGCTGTTAATTGATACTGTTAATTGATCTGAATGTATACGCTATCTATCCGAAGCTTTGCTTCGGAAAGATAGCTACATCCAGATTGTCTCGGAAGTGATAGTTTGTCCCATCACCTTCACCAACATTAATTATTTGCTTACCATCTGCTACGTGATTTTGGTAGACAGAACAGTTGAATAATCAGCTTGTAAATGTACAGAATTCAAGAAAATTACCCTACTACATGTACTCACATGAGAACACATAATCTAGTCCTGCGCGTGCGTAGAACTTATCGGTATGTGTATTGTGCATCTCGTTACTTGTGGTTTTTCAGTAATTTTTGTAATGTTAGTTTTCATTTGACTGGTCCAATCAACCCATCCGCTTTTTTTTCTTCCAAAAAGCAATGCCATTATCAGAACTCAAGATTGGCTTTCATCATAGAACTAGGCAATATTTAGTGTTTCAGGCTTTCCAGTGAGAATTGATTTGATAGCTCTTTTGTGCCACAGAATTTACTGAAATTGGCAAAGTTTTTAAAAGTATCTTTTTTTTAAAAATTGCTTGTAAAATGCTTCCATGTATACATTGCATATGTGATTTAATAATTGTTTTGTGTTATTAAGACTGGAGATAGATTATTTATGTATGTAGAGGTGTCATGGTCTAGTGGCTATGTCACTGGACAATGGATCGAATGGTTCACGGTTCGAGCTCTGCTGCGGCACTAATGTCATTTGGCAAGACTTTTATCTAATTTGCCACACTCGACCCGGTCTGCTAGAGAGCCATAAAAGCAGCTTTGCTAAAGCTGGGGTAATAATTGTGGAGCGCCAGGAGTGTCAAATCTGACAGACATGATCACTGTGCAAGAACGCACTATTGTTATTATTATTATTAAATGTATTGCATCAATAGACCACTGTGCAATTGGGTTGTATATCAAACACTACTACCCTTGTTGATTGGTGAAAATGATGTGCTAATGATGTCTTGATTTGTTGACATGCAGCATGTAATGTCAGTCCACAAAGTCCCTTGTGGCTGGCACCAGCAAAGTTCAAGTTGGGTATCAAATTTGTGCAATGTATGTTCATACAAAAATGATAACATCAAATTATCATACATTCTCGTGTTTAATTTTTTCTCTAATTCTCATGATGGTTTTTACAACGCAAGTATCGCTTTAATGATTATAGTGAGATAAAGTGATAGTTTGTGTGAAAAGCCGAGGCCACCATGTATTTACCGTTTCACATTTACTTTATTAGTGATACCGGTAAACAATTAGTGAAAAGCATTCACAAGGATGAAATGTGGAATCGGCGTCAAAATCAATAGTTGTATCTGCTTGCTTAAAATGCTGTAAAACTCATTCAAACCCTCGTGCTTGTAGTTACATCTCGGACCAGGGTATGTTTTCATTTGCAAAGCAAACCACTGCCTTTTAAGTTCTATATATCATCTACTGAGTAGCAAAAGAAACTAATTTCTCAAAATATTGAGATATCGGTAATGCTTTTCTGGATACCGGTATTAGTTTCAACAGTGGATATAATTTTGTTTATTGTATGCATGATGTTGTGGTCTAGTGGCTAGGTCACTGAGCTGTGGATCACAGGGTATTGGGTTCAATTCCCTGCCACAGCATTCAGCAGACATTTAATCTAATTTTGACTCTCTAGACTCGGGTGAGGTAATGGCTGCCTGCAGGAAGAAATTTCTCAAATGCCCCTGTGCTTTATCAGGGTAGTGATGCGAAACTTAGAGCGGTGTAACTATGGTAACTTCATGTATGCACCTATATATGCACCACAATATGACAAGCTTTTGTTTGAATGCAGTCGTTTCCTCTATCATTCTCGAAAGAAAGTCAGATATTTACATTGCCTTTGCTGTTGCTGTCGGTTGGTCCATGCAGTAACTTCATTACCAGGATATCATTGGGTTTTCCATGTTATCTATGACTTAAATACATGTTTATCTATTTATTGTACATGTATTTAGCTGTATCGTGAATTCATAAGTTCACATATTACTATTCAGTCTGCATCATAATATTTTACATATATGTATGTAGCATAGAGAATTCTTGAGTTGTGTTTATTCCATAATTGGTCGCAAGTAGATAAACCAACCAATTAAATGCAAATTCATTTAAGTTTTTAAACAAATGAATAGTATATATAAGAATTTTATTAATTTTAATAGTATTAATGTAATCATCTTCTTTTAACTGTTGGTTTGAAAACCTTGAGTGAATTTTTTATATTATATTATAATATAATTATAATTCTTTCAATAATCATGATTTAATTACTTTGTAACATAATTTATTTTCTTGTAATTTTAACCATTAATTGCCAAAGGGATTGTAAAACTTCGCAGTGCTGGTAAACCTTCATGAAATATGGTCTCAAGTTTAAAGGGGAATGTATTTATTTTTAAGATGTGGCTCCAGATAATGACAAACTATTTGTTATCATACCTTTGATCATAATTATTGCAACTCAAACTTTTTGCATGATCTCTGAGTGTGTGTCTCAAATTTTCAACTGCGCAAATTCTTTCAAGAGCTTTCATCAGTTTGTGTTAGATTTGGTTTTTGGACAGTGATTGAATGTAGTGGAAATTTGTACAGCTTTTAGAATATTTAGACTACCGTAAGGATATATAGTGGAGTCGAATTGAGGCATGTATGGTTATAATACAACATATATTGAAGAAACTTCCATTTTTATTTTTGCTTGTAAATTTATGTATACTTATTATGAGGCACGATGACCATCATGTCATAGAGCTAAATCAAATCAAGGTTGAATTCCCCTTGAAGTATGTGAAATAGTTTAATCGGGATGAGTGTTCAGCTCGTCATGGTTAAATCCATTGTTTTATATTCATATTCTCTTGAAACTATTAAATATTTGAAATAGGTTTAAAGTAGAGGGCTGGGTATATGATGTTTTAATTAATATGTTAGTATTCAAGAAGCAATTACATTGAGGAGAATGTTTTTCACAGTTGCAGCTACTTTTTAATTGGACTTGTAATATTTTATTTCTTTAAAATATTTCCCCTTTCTTTCTCCTTCCTGGCATGCATGGTAACCTGTATTATATTTTGCCATAAAAATGTTATTTGTTTTAATAGTTGACTAGTGAGATATTTTTGCATTAGCAATAGGTTTATGTGTTATAGACTACTTAATTAGAAAATTCTCAGGTATAATAGTTTGATGTATAGTGAATCATGTTTTGCCATATCTGATTTAAGTCCTGTTAAATTTTGAAAGAATCATTTAAGAATCAACCAGAAAATTCTGTTGTTAGATATATTGTTGAAACAGTACGAATCATTGCAAGCTTAAACTGTATTTGTTTTAAATACAAGCTATAAAAGTGATATTTTCTTAGATCATCTTAATTTAAACAAAAATTCTCAATTGCAGTAGTCGTATTGGTGAAATATTGTAAGATGCAATAGTTAAAATAATTTTCACTCTTTAGTCAGTACTTTATGTAATATTTTGCATTGTACATACTTATGATATGTGTTAATGAGATATTATAGTTATCTCAAAGGAGTCAATATACTTACTAATGAATGCTCTTATATGTTTTAACTGTAGATATGATTTTTTTTCTGCAGAAAACATATTTTTTAAGTTTGGTACTTGAAAAGTACCATATAGGTATTTTTCTTGTTGCTTTATGTCTCTCTCTGATTGTTGGTCTATATATCTTGATGTTTGCTTAACTCCCCCCCCCCTCCACCCCACTCTCTCTCTCTCTCTCTCTCTCTCTCTCTTCCATCTCTTTTTGAGTGTCCTTTCTGTCTCTCCTGCTCTCCATCCTCCCCTTTTCTCCCTTTTCCCCAATGTTTTCATTATAAGACTATTTACTTATGCTAATAGTTATACTTAACTAACTTCATCAATAATGCCAATGTTTGCATCTTTTTGTTATCACTTTAATTATTCTTTTATAGACATGTACTAAATCCTACTTACAATATGCATAGATATTTGTGTAAGTGTATGCAGTATGCATGAATGTGTGTGTTTGCACCCTATTTATTTTGAAGTGATTCTTAAGCGTTTATGTGTTACCATAGAAATTGTAGAAAGTAAGAATTGTATTACTGAATTTGGCCCTAAGCTTAGCCTTCATGCCGATTTATTTTGTAGTAGGCATCCTGTAAAGGAACAAATTGACTAGTTCACAAAGTTATTCAAATTTATGTGTACTTCTCCTGCAACTGTTAGTAATGACCACTCTATTAGGGCATGGTCGCATACAAGCATCAACAATATTGATCTCACATCCACTATATGTGTTACTTATAACAGTTTTAATCATTATATATTGTCCAAGTTATTATTCATGTGTGACCAGCAAGAGGCTTGCCTAACAAAGCAACAACTATTGTTTGCAACAGGTCA